ACGGGCTCACTCTGCCCGTGGTTTTTCTTAATGGGTCACCGCTGTGCCGCAGCGGACGACCCTTTTCTGCGGAGCCCCTCTTCAGAGACCGAAGAGGACCGCCATTGCCGTTTCGCGCCGCCTCCAGGAAGCCCTTAACCTGAAACTGTTCTTAACCTGAGGTACCACTAGCTAATGGGGCCTCCCGCTGCCACCGCACCGCCAGAGCACGATTTCTGTTCTCATCCTGAAGCAAAGCTCTTAACCCGAGGTACTGTTTCTGGGTTAGCGGAGTCTGTAACCTGAAGTGTCTGTAACCCGAGGTACCACTGTATAGTGGCAAAACTAACTTTGTATATACTCTTAAGGGGTTTTTGTGGGCAGGGGGCATGTAATGAGAGCTGAGATCCTCAAAAAGCTCAACCCTGCCAGTATGCATTTTGTATTTTTGTGCATACAGTGGTACCTCTGGATGCGAATGGGATCTGTTCCGGAGCCCCGTTCGCATCCTGAGGAGAATGTAAGACACGTCTGTGCGTGCGCGGGGTTGCGTTTTGCGCATGTGCGTGATGTCATTTTGAGCGTCTGCGCGAGTGTTTAAACCCGGAAGTAACGCGCTCTGTTACTTCCGGGTCGCCACAGAGTGTAACTTGAAAACGCTCAACCTGAAGCACATTTAACCCGAGGTATGACTGTAGTTGCACAGAATAACCCTCCCAGCCCCCCAAAAGCTTTGCCAGTTTCCTACATGTATCTCATGCTGCGGAGGTTTTGCAGCCTGATCTAGATTGTTGCAGTGGGACTTCTTGGCTTTCACAGCTAGGAATGGGAGCTACAGCTGAAGCGAGCCCTTTTGAGGCTGGCAGAGTGAGCCTCCTGTATTTGTTTTCATGCATCCTCAGATCTGAACTTCTCTTCCGCCTCCTGAAAGCGTCGGTTTCAGCTGGCTTTTGTAACTTCAGTTGAAATGAAAGTGTGCTTTGATTTGCACCTACCCACTGCTAGAGTTTGCAGACCACAAATTGCTTACCCCCGAATAGTAAAATGCAGAACTTGCGGGTTTTGAAATTGGCACATTTCGCACGGGGGCTTGACAGCGTGGTTGAATGGAGAGTGGTGATCCTCAGCCACATTCTTTCCTATAGGCAGACTCCTTTGCCAGCATCGTTGCTTTTCTGTGAGAATTTGGCAAAACTGCAGCTGCATCAAATCTTCACACTCTCTCACACACACCCCACTTTCTGTTACTGCTCCAGTATCTGGGGGGGGGCAGGCTTTCTTCTCCCCCGATGACATCACAAAGGACAAATTAAGCCAATAATAATACAGTGGTACCTCGGGTTAAGTACTTAATTCGTTCCGGAGGTCCGTTCTTAACTTGAAACTGTTCTTAACCTGAGGTACCACTTTAGCTAATGGGGCCTCCCGCTGCCGATGTGTGATTTCTGTTCTCATCCTGAGGCAAAGTTCTTAACCTGAGGTACTATTTCTGGGTTAGCGGAGTCTGTAACCTGAAGCGGATGTAACCTGAGGTACCACTGTAATAATTTTATTATTTAAACCCTGCCTATCCGGCTGGGTTTCCCCCAGCCAATGGTTTGCCCTCTGTTTAAATGGGGCGGGGAGAGAGAGAGTGAATACTCCCACTGCTGATGTTGTGTGCTTGCTTTGACCATGAAGATGCACAGAACCATAGCTGCAAGCTCAGGGGTACAGCATTTGCCTTGGATGCAGGAGGTCTCAAGTCCCTGTCTCCTCAGCATCTTCAGGGTAGGCCCACCTGGGAAAGAAACCAGGAGTGCTGCTTTGCCGGTCCATGGAGAAGAGACTGAGCAAGACAAAGGGAAGTTCTGACTCAATATAAAGCAGCTTCCCTACGCTGCTTCAGTTTCAGTGGAGTTGGCAAAAGGACGATAAGTGCAGAAAGTCAGAGCGTACCCCACCATTTTGTGAGTGGCGAGCTCTTTGTCCTCCTGTATCAACGATGCAAGCATGTGTTCTTTTAAAAGTTTGTGTGTCCGCTGTTGGCTTGTTCCGGATCTGGCTGGCTTCGCTCTCTCTTTCTCTCTTTTGTAGTCCCCTTTCATAGCCTGCTCTGATGTCTGTTTTCAATTCCTTCAGCATCTGTGTGTCTGCTTTCTATTCTCTTCAAAATCCCAAGAGTCTTCACTCCCCTTCCCCCATGTAGCTTAAAAAAAACACAGACACACAAACTTGAGGATGCCTTAGCCAGCCTTGTGAACTGCGCTTTAAAAAGAAAGAAAAGAAAAGAAAATGCAGAAATATGTGAGTCACAGCTTAAAATCTTATACCTTTTTTGGCAGTACTCTTGTGTTCGTTTTGGATGTCTTCCCCCCTTAACTTTAGTCTTCTTCAAAGCCTCTGGTGAACTGTTAGTTCAAAATGACAAGGGTATTTCTTTGTTCTGGTATTCTGGAATATGTTATAGTTCTCCTGTGCACTGTCAAACTATTCAGCTCATGGTAGGGCAGCTGTTTGTAGCGGAATGAGACTTGCTACACCACCTTTTGCCCCCCTTTTTCTTTTTTTGTTCCAGGTTGGGTACACTCACTGCCATTCTGGGTATTTGCTTCTAATCTTCATGACTTAAGGGTAACTATGAAGGCATGTTAATAATTGATACAACTCTGTCAAATACTGCAGAAGCTTGCTTTGGATCTGCAGCAGCACAATTATGCTTTAAAAAACCGGGGGGTGGGGACTTTTGTGATATCTACTGTTGTTGTGCTGGGATGCGGGTGGCGCTGTGGGTTAAAACTACAGAGTCTAGGACTTGCCGATCAGAAGATCGGTGGTTCGAATCCCCGTGACGGGGTGAGCTCCTGTTGCTCGGTCCCTGCTCCTGCCAACCTAGCAGTTCAAAAGCACGTCAAAGTGCAAGTAGATAAATAGGTACCGCTCCGGCGGGAAGGTAAACTGTGTTTCTGTGCGCTGCTCTGGTTTGCCAGAAGCGGCTTTGTCATGCTGGCCACATGACCCGGAAGCTGTACGCCGGCTCCCTCAGCTAATAAAGCGAGATGAGCACCGCAACCCCAGAGTCGGTCACGACTGGACCTAATGGTCAGGGGTCCCTTTACATTTACGTTTACCTTACTGTTGTTGTGATAACTCTTAGAGAGGTCAGAAATGGTTGGACCATGTGCAGAGGCCCCATAGAATTAACTTTTAACCCAGGGAAGAGTTTTAATTTGACAGTGACTGAGAACCATGGCTTGTGGTGCAATGCTGTACCCATTTACCTGAGAGTAAATGCCGTTGAAATCAATAGGACTTCCTCCTGACTGGATATGTATAGGATTGCTATCATTGTAGCACAGTGGAAGGAAATTAGCCGTGGGCCAGTCATTGGACAAGTTGCCTAATGGAGCTGCTTCTTGGCTAATGATTATCCAGCTTATTTCATAATTTGTCTTGTATAACTAGATCAGGTCTTAGTATCTCAGCTTCAGAATGTGCGCTAGCTTGTGAAATGAGGAAGCCGGGCTGATTTGGGCCGTGTGATCTCTTGTTGACAAATCCACACAGGTTGCTGATTTACTTTTGTTTTCCTCTATGTACGTACACACCTTTTTTTTTTTAAAAAAAGTACCGGTATTCAGATTATTTTTGGGTCTAAAAACTTTGATACTAACCAGTTTAGCATTATCAGGCTTTTTTCCCCTTTCTATTTCTATCTGAATGTGCACCCCACCACCTTTTGAAAACATGGCTGTTTTAATATGCTGGCTTTTCATTGATACCTGCAGCTGCATGTAGATCACTTTTGTTGAACAAGTGGGGCGATTTCTTGCTAGTGGGGTACCAACGCTTCTCCAGTATCAGTAGCATGCTGTCAATACATTGAACTGGCGTGGGGGACACCTGCAAGGAGAAAAGCCTTTCTTAATTATAGCTGCTTTCCCTACAAGCCAAAGGATCCATATAATCAGTGCTAGAATTTCCCTTCTAGTCTGTTTCATTGCCAAAGGGAACTTTCTACCACCTTACAAACACACACACACCTCCCCCCTCACCCCAAGAAGGAAGAGAATATTTGAGTTGCGGGAGTGCATACGTTTCAAAGAAATTGAATTTTAAAAATTAATCAAACAAGAAATCATTGTTCAATTGGTGAAGTAACTCTTTGTGGCAATAGGAAGCCAGTGTGGATTTGCTTCCCTTTAATGACCACACACAAAAAGTGAATAGTTCTACATTCATATGGCACACTCATATAACCTTTTTTTAAAAACAACAACACCCCACAACAAACCCTTGTATTGCTCTAGGCATGGTGCATGGAGAACATTTTACTAGGTACTAGGCATTGGCACTGACCAGTAGGTGCCCAGAGCAACCAGCTGATCGGCATCGATTGCGGCAGTGTTGGTTGTGTTGCTGGCAACCATTTCAGCTCTCTCCCCTCCTCCCCGGGCACTGCTTAAAGGTAACCTGTAGAAACCAGTTTGACCACAGAGCAGGACAGAAACAAAACATGGGGAGGAATGTGTGTATTTGTAGGAAGTGTGTATTGTGGGCAACAATAGTTCTGCTTTGCTCAAGGTCCCCAAGAAGTTAGCATCTATACCATGGGTAGGCAAACTAAGGCCCAGAGGCCAGATCAGGCTCAATCGCCTCCTAAATCCGGCCTGTAGACGGTCTAGGGAATCAGCATGTTTTTACATGAGTAGAATGTGTCCTTTTATTTAAAATGCATCTCTGGGTTATTTTGGGGGCCTGCCTGGTGTTTTTACATGAGTAAAACACGTGCTTTTATTTAAAATGCATCTCTGGGTTATTTGTGGGGCATAGGAATTTGTTCATTTCCCCCAAAATATAGTCCGGCCCCCCACAAGGTCTGAGGGACAGTGGACCAGCCCCCTGCTGAAAAAGTTTGCTGACCCCTGATCTGTACTAATGCCAAATCTCCTGATGTGAGGAACGCTCTAAGGGGTCACTGACCTCTGTTTCAGATATATATCTGTCAGGAGGCTCTGCAGTCAAATGAGCAGGGCTTTATCTGGAGTGGGAACGGGCGAAGATGGGTGAAGAACAGCACTCCACCTCGTGTAAGCTATGCTTCTGAGAGAGCAGGGGTTGGCGGTGCCTGTCTCAAATATTCCTTAGTTTATTGCAAACATGCGCCTCAGCTATGTTCTCTAGGAGCAGACAGGCATTCATTACTGCCTCATTCCTTTCCCTGCCTATGATGGCTGCTCCACTGAGCATGCAAAACTGCCTCGGAGCAGTAAATCAAAAGTGAAGGGAGAAGATTTCTGCAAGCGTGGGGGGAAGGGGAGAGTCATCTTCTGATGCCCCTGTTTTGAACCATGCTTTCCTACCCCACTGAGCTATTTTCACGTAACTCCCTCCCCTAGAGCTTTCCAGCACAACTGCCCTTTTCTGGTTTGCATCTAGCGGAGCCGCCCTCAGTGCAGCTGCTTTTTTTGGTGAAATTAGAAGTGCTCATCTCATGGTTGTCCCCCATTCCATTGAATAAAGCCACCACGCAGGGCAGAGAATAGTCTTGTAGGAACAATTACCCTGTGCCTCCCATGCGACAGGGAGCATGGCAGCACGTAGCACTGTACTTGAACATTTAACCCCTGGTGTATGTTGAAGGGGAAGGTGGAGCTGGGGAGCATTTTTCAAGGGCCACATTCCCTTGCGAGTAACGTCCCAGGGCTACGTGCCAGGGGTGGGCAGGGCTACAGGCAAAGGTGGGTGGAGCAACAGAGGTGGTTCTTACCTTCAGCGTTTGAAATTAGCCAGGCGCATTTTGCACCTGGCTATCAGTCTCTTGCGACCAAGTGAAGATGCCTGGGCGCCAGGATGGCTGGCGCATGACATCTTCACCATCTGGAGGTGCATGCCTGGGGATCATTGGATCATGACTAATACCACACCCTGTCATTCTATCACTTATGTCTTATCTGCACAATCAGATTTAATTTCAGGAACCAAAATGCTTTGTCTGTGTAGCCTGAGCAGGAGCAGCGTACAATGTTAATTGTTGTAGCTTGTCTTCCCAGTGCCCTGCTTATAGTTGTGAAGAATATACATAATGTTATGAATGGTCCATGCCACCATTAAGAAAAAGAGGTCAGAATGGGCCAATATATATGTGGGCTGTCCCTGGATCAAATGACTTTCCTTCTTTTACATTCTCAAAGTTCTTAATCTATCTCCAGGTTGTCCTCTGAATGAGCCAGATACTTAGCTGAGAATCAAATCACAGTCAGTCCATCATTTGAAAAATAAAGACTTGAGAACCTCTTGCCCCAAAATGGCAACCAGACATTCCATTTTGGGCGACTGTAACCTTGGTTTAAGGAGCCATTTGGCACCTAACACTGCTTACCTTTGTGCAGTACATTACATTCCAGCCACCCCAAAGTCAGAGGTTTCTATACAAACACACCAACTAGGTAAAAGTACTTGAGGAGGGAACAGGACAGGGTTGGAGAGGGGTTTAGGCATTACCTGAGGAAGCGTTTCGCAGGTTGTATGGAGAGCCCCACCGCAGATGGTGCCCTCTCATGCCCCCATTAAAGGAACAGAGCAAACAGCACCTCTGTTGTCTTGAGGAGACCTAACTCTCTCTTCCTTTCTTATGTCTGTGTTTTAGGCTTGGACTGTTTGAAGACCATCAAGAGGCTTGAGGCCTACCTGTGAGGCTGCAGGAGTACAATCTGCTCCACCCACAACTGAACAGGACCTCACCGGCCCCACCACCCTGACTCCTGTGCAAAAGAGCTCTCACGCTTGTTGCCAAAATGCCTATTTTGAAGCAGCTGGTGACAAATTCCGCCAACTCCAAACGCCGCTCTCGGGCCGACCTGACGGCAGAGATGATCAGCGCTCCCCTTGGCGACTTCCGCCACACCATGCACGTGGGACGAGCTGGTGATGCTTTTGGGGATACCTCCTTCCTCAACAGCAAGGCTGGGGAGGGGGAACAGGAAGCCGCTGAGGAGACAAGTTCCTCATCCAAACCAGGCCTGCTGTCACGCAAGTTCCGCAGCAGCAAGCGGTCTCAGTCCGTCACCCGGGGCGACCGGCGGGATATGCTGGGCTCTCTGAGGGACTCTGCCATTTTTGTGAAGAATGCCGTCTCCCTCCCTCAGCTTACTGAGAAGGAGACGGACAGGAGTGGTGGGAAGCAACTGCCCAAGAGCCTTTCCTCCAGCCCTGTCAAGAAAGCCCCTGAGGAGAAGACCCCTGAAGAAAAGCACATGAACGGTGCGGCAGCCGCTCTTAGCTCTGGGCCCCACAGTCCTGGCTTGGAAGAGCGGGCCTTTGGTGACATAACGGACCTGCCCTTGGTAGTGCCCAAGGGCAGCTACGGCATGAAGCACGCAGAGTCCATCATGTCTTTCCATATTGACCTGGGGCCCTCCATGTTGGGGGATGTCTTGAGCATCATGGATAAGGACCCATGGGAGCAAGAGGATTCTGGTTATCATGGTGCAGAAGACCCCCAGAGGGAGGCAGGCCCTGCGGAGGCATTGACAGGCCACTGGCTTGGCCAGGAAAGCAAGCTCCCCCAGGATTCCTTGGTTCAGTCGGATGACAACAGAGCAGCAACCTACAGCCCTGGATCTGCCCGCAGCATTACCAGCCGCCTGACAATGGACAGCAGCTCCATCTCGAGCGGCACCTCTGTGGGAGAGGAACAACGTACTTTAGTCTCCAGGGGACAGAACCAGGGCGTTCCAGAGCATACGAGGCAGGACGCTGCTAAACAGCCGGAAAAGGAATTCTCCTTCATGGATGAGGAAGACGACGAGATAAGAGTATAAGAAAGGTGACTGGAGCCTTTACACTTGGCTTGGCTCAAGAAGGAAAAAATTTCAACAGATTCTGGAATAAGTTGTGGTGCGGAAAAAGTTGAATGCTCTTGACCCCCTTTCTCAATCTTCAGTTTTCAACACCATCATTCCGTTAAACAGACAGTTGAAGAAAGATGGTGTTTTCTTTTGCTTAGTTTTCTGTGTTTTTTGGGGGGGGACTGAGACAAGGAACAGGTGGGAGGAATTCACATTTAAATGGCCTCTTTAAAATATTTTGGGTGATTCCAGAGTCAAAGGCATAAAAGACAACACTTGAGCATATTTGAAGAAACATTCTTCCCAGGAGAGAACTCGGAGTGTAATGAAACAGGTTAAACAAAAGCAAAAGCAGGCCAAGAGTTATTTACTGGCTGTTCAAAGCAATATAGAGCTGAATACTAGAGCAAAGCTCAAAAGAACTAGTTTCCCTATTAATATATATATTTTTCCTTTACATTTTTACTAGTACTTATTATTATTATTTTCTAATTGCCCAGGAGAATACCATTCTGGACCTATCACAACATTGAAGGATGCAATATATTTGTAGAGAGCAAAAAAAGATGGAAGCTTGAAATAACCAGACCCTCCAAATCTTACATGTTTCGGAAGCTAAGCGTTCTCTCCCTGTGGGCAGGCCTCTGGGAAGATCTACAAACGTTGGAATTTACGCTAGAGATTTCATTCTTGTTTTTTTCAGATCAGAGCTAGAGGAACTCTTTGGGAATACAGATTGTGGGGGTGTGGTGATGGGAGAAGCACAGCTATTTTACCTTTTGCCTTTGCGTTGGGTCCTTCTTTTGGTCTTGTTTTGGGCACACAAGTTGATGCTAGCAATTCTTGGAAGAGCATGACTTAAACCCTCCCTGCCCCTAAATGTTGCCACCTTTGATGGTGGTTATGTGAAACTCTCCCTGTAGTGGAATGTTTTTGGAGAGAAACTTCGTTTAGCTCCCAAGGACTGTTTAGAATTCCCCAGTGCGAGGTGAATTTCAAGAGTGGTGGTCAGTCTAGCTGTCCCATTGATAAAGAGAAATCTCTCCCCCCCCCCCTTTTCTGTTTCCAGGCTCTTCCTCCTTTTGTAACACGGACAAGATGTTTGTGTTGCTAGGGAAACTAATGGGGGAATGTGGCTTACCTGCACGCCTACAGGTGTAAACGGAATGTCCCACAAGCAGCCTAACCTGATACAACTTCATCCTTTCTTAGTTGAGACTCTAGAATATCACCAAGGCTGACCGAAGAACAATGATCTTGGCACTCCCCATTCCAGGAACAATGGAGACTCTGCCCTGGTCAGTTCCTCCCCATTGAAATGGCTTTTAGGGCCCTCCCTCCCTGGTTATTTGGGAGCTGCTGCTGACATTTCTGCCTCCTAGAGTGTCAATTTTTCTTTTCCTTTTTTTTTTTTGCCTTCATTTTGCAGGGCATTAAACACTTAACTCCTGCCTTAATTTTTATTTTTTAACTTTTTGTTCATACTGTATATTAGATTTGCCCATCCCTTTGGGAGTAGGTTTATCTCCCTTCTTCGGATTGTGAACTTGTTGCTTGTGTACAGGTGTTTCGTTGGTGCATTGGATGGAGGACTTTTTAACATGGAAGTATGTTTTTGTTTTAAAATTCAAAGAAATTAAACTATAGTGAAAAACAAACAAAACCACAGACCTTACATCTATTGGGAATGTTTTGTTTTACTTGTGGGAAGGCTGAATGCAAAAAAAGGAAGAACTGGTTAGATGGTTGAACTCACGTTACTAAATCAGGAAGAGTTACAAACCAACAAATGGCAGAGATACCACTCTAATCTTAGGCCTCATTTAAGTGTGATGCATTTTTTGACACTGTGTCCATTAGGCCAACACAGAAACCACACTTGTAATCTTTCTCTTTCCTTGAATTACACTCCACCACCACCCCTCAAAAAAAGTCTATGTGGTGGGCTTTAACTTTTCTTTTGAGTGTTTTTGTGTGTAGAATTGTCTCTTCCCTCCTTCACTTTTTTCCTGTTCCGACCAAATTGGCCGATTTCTCCCCCTTTAACCTGAACAATGATTTCTACTATGGCCGAGGGGGTGGGGGGGCATGTGGTAAATAATTTTTATGTTGTAGTCCCAGTCAAAAGTGTTTTGTTTGTTTACTAAATTATTTATAGGCTGTCTTTTGGGGCATAGGCCACCCAAGCCTGCTCTCAACCTCTTGAAAGCGCAATAAATAACCAAAGGGAAATCACTGGGTTTTTTAAAAAACAACAACAACAAAACAGTTAAAACTGTTACAAAGCCTAACAAAACAGCTAAACATACTTCTTTAGAAAAAAGAGGCAGTTTGGAAAATATGTTCTGTTTTAACAACCTGCAGGGTACAGGCCGTGCATAACCTTCAAAATGATGTGTAAACAGCACAAAGAGGTTGTGGGGACACAGGGATTTAACCCCTCCATTCTCAACTATAAAGTGTTGTGAAGGTCTGAAGGCCAATTCAAATGTGTACAGCTGAATGCACTTAGAAACCCCCTTTCAAATCCTCCTGTTCAAAAGGGGGAAGGTTAAGAGTGGCCACTGATACTGGGCACTGGACTGCCACATATCCCCCCACTCTATATAGTTTATGACCCCGTGCACTGTTGTGAATGACTGATAAGGGCTTACGGTCCATGCTAAATTGGGACTTGTCTCCTGCCTTAGTGTGTATAGGCTCAGGTTTCACTTGTCACAGGAGGAGGGCGAGAAAGATCAGCAGCATCACGCAGCTATGTTGGCTGGAACTTTAGGGACACCTTGACCCACATACATGCTGTTAGCCCCACACAAAAGAGTAGACTCCAGATTTGCACCATTGACCTACCAAAGCAAACACAAGTGACTTAACCCTGTAGCAAGGCTTTCCAGGAGGAGTCCCCACCTCCACCACCGTGTTCACAGTCAAAAACAGATTTATTGAGCCTGGGGAGGGGGGCACCCTATATAGGTTGTGGGTCATGTGTTATGCAGAGCTGGTGTAATCTCATGATGTCACAACAAAATGAAACTTGGGACAGCAGCATTCTTTTCGGAGATGTAGAAATACTTGTTGCCTGGAAACCCTTTTATGATGCCCAGGAGCTGAGTTTGAGCTGTACTTCCTCTTCCTTTTGAAAGAGTTTCTCAAAAGCACTGCACCTCTCCAGTCATAAGCTTGCATCTCCTTGGGTTGGGAGACTCCAGCTCCTTTCTAGCACCGCATTTAGCCGTCACACTTGTGAGTTGCATCCATCCGTCTGAAGAGCGCGGCGTCCCAGCCACGCGCAGCTGCTTTCGCTCAAGGCATGACCTTATCTGCCTCACCCACAAGCCCCCAGTTCCCACCCAGCCTGCTTGCCTCCTTCCATAAAGAGCCTTTTCAGCAACGCCCCAGGCACTGCACTGTACAACACACAGTGTGCGGAACCTACGCACTGCTGGTTTCATAACTTTCTGTCGCCCTGGGAATATTTATCAGATCTTTGTGTCCCCCTCTCAGCACTTAACGGCCTACTGTCAAACCAACAATAGTGCAAGTTTGTTTTCAGCAGATGGATCTCGCAGGGAGTTGGCTTGCCTCGGGTTCCCCTTGTGCTATGGCAGCCTGCTTACAGGTCTAGCTTCCTCAGCTCACTGCAGCCTCAAGTGTTTGTGAGAACGGGCTCTGGAGAAAACCCAAGCAAGGGGATATTTCGAATGCAAGCAGCTAGCAGCCATAGTGTTACTGTAAGAGGAAAGGGGGGCGGCATGGAACAATTAGCACAGAGCAATGCCAAAGGATATTGGTGCCCTACATCCACTTTTCCAGCATGTTACGAGAGTCAAGTCCCTGTTTTGCAGGCAAATGCAAGAGCAGACAATGCAGGATCTATCTGAAACCCAGCACTCAATACAATGGAAATGCTAGCCTGGGACACTGATCCATTGTTCTGTGAAAGAAACAACAGCGGCAGCTGCTTGGGGGAGGCCCTTGTGCTCAGCTGAATTGGGGCAGGTTCAGCCTTCTGTTTACTAAACAGCCAATGCAGTGGTTTCGGGGAGCATGGTCAGATAAAGGAGAAAGTCCTCTGGTCCACGTGACAGGCTTTCCAGAGAAGAGGCAATGCAGGGTTGGAAATATGGCTTGGAGATGTGAAACACACACGTGCACTGGAAGTTTTGGATTTGACTCCAGGGGACAACAGATTGTGTCCCCCGTTTAGGATAAATTAATACAGATTGTGCACTGTTCAGCTTTGACTCTGTACAGCTAGTTTGCAAGAAGTCAGTATACTCCCTCAACAGCATTAATTTTGTGGTTAAGAGAAAAGTCAAGCTTATTTCCAAGTTACGAGGGATGTCAGCAGGCAGTACCTTGCCAGCAGATGTTTTCATACGTTCTTTCAAATAATGGAGGAGCGATATCCTTCCATCTTCTTCATGCAAATTATTTTAAAGGTTGGCACAAAGGTTACAGGTGGAAAACACTGTGGAAAAGGCTTTCTGCATACCCACCCACGTTCACCTGTTGCCAGTTTGGGAATACGATTGCAGAGTGAAAGAAAACACATCATCGTCTTCCATTGACTTAGTGATCCGGTCCTTGATTATGGAGCTGTCACCCAGGGTAGTATACCTGTGTATATGAAGACAGCACAGAGTCCTTCCAAAATGCATGTTCTATGAGTTACCAGATTATATCCCCCCAAACCAACGTTCCTGCAATGAAGGTACTTGAAAACTTTGCCAAGGACCTAAATTAAAACCTCTTTCCACTACTGCAATTCTGTCTCTTAGTTTGGAAGATGAGCCCTTTTCCATTTTTTGTCTCCCAGCCAGACAGCTGTGGAAACTAGGTTGTTTTTTTTCCCCCAGAGCCAAAATAACCAAAGGAGATGCTGAAGTTGAAACCTTGGTTGTTTTGGGGTAGGGGGGGCTGGCTTTGGGAGCAAAGTAGTGTCATAGTTCAAAGTGGGTTGTTTTTTCTTGCTCAGCTGTGTGTTTGGGTTAGAATATTTTTACATATGCAGAGACTGAGGCTGCAGACTTGAAATTTTGACCGTGCCTCTTTCTCCCAGAGGCTCACTTGATACCTTAGAGGCATCTTCAAGTCAGAAGGCCATGCCCATAATCCCTTGGCTGCTGTGCTGGGTGGAGCATGTACAACTAATGGCCTACTTTGGGGATTGAGAGTTCACTTGGAAGTGGAGCCTGTTGACCACATCTAGCTACCTTTAAGAGGCGTGAGGCTAGGCCCGCAATGAACCATGGTTTGCATTGCAGTGGTACCTCGGGTTAAGAACTTAATTCGTTCTGGAGGTCCGTTCTTAACCTGAAACTGTTCTTAACCTGAGGTACCACTTTAGCTAATGGGGCCTCCTGCTGCTGCCGCACCGTGGCTGTGCGATTGCTGTTCTCATCCTGAAGCAAAGTTCTTAACCCGAGGTACTATTTCTGGGTTAGCGGAGTCTGTAACCTGAAGCGTCCGTAACCCGAGGTACCACTGTAGATGAAAAGTGAAGCTCAGGCCTCCCGGCTCCCCCATTTCTCTATTCTCTACTACAGCCACAGTGTTTTGGCCTTTCCAGGGAGTGTGGACTATGCAGAACTCTACAAAGAAATGGGGGCGGGGTGGGGAGGCGGAATACAAACATCATCCATTGTCTTCAGCATTTGCTTTGCAGCAGAAGCGTCAATGAATAAGACCAGCAACGCCCCATGTATTCTCCAGCATCAGAGGCAGAATGCCATTGAATACCAGCTGCAGGGGATTGAATGCTTGCATTCTGCTTATCAGTTTCCCATAGGCACCTGTGAAAACAGAACTCTGGACTAGCCTGATCCCGCAGGTTCGCTCTTAAGTTCTTGCGACAGCAGCATCACTGAACAAGAAACTTGGGACTCTGGGCTCAGAACTCCCCGGAGTAGCGATGTTTTATTTGAGCGATCACCTGGAAAGGTGGAGCATGGGCAATAGTAGCGAGAGCGGATTGTCAGAGAAGGGAATCACCACCACCATCATTGAAAACACTATCTTCTGAGACACCTGTCGTCTTTAAGACTCTCATTTGGCAGCACGAACTTGCTGCAGGCTGACAGAGCAGAAAGCTTGCCATGGGTTGCTGAGCAGGCAGTTTACGAGAGCGCTGCTGTGCTCTCATCTAAATAGGAAGGGAGGGGGTGACAGCTATACCCAAAAAGGCTACAGGCAACCACCAGCGCTGAATGCTTGGTAATTAAGTGACATCCTTTTTGGAAAACTAGGAATGCCACATCAACTTTACAGTAACACTTTCCTCTTGGGAACCCTTGTTCCCTTTTGCGCAAGCCCCACAACTGCAACACATTTCTTGTCTTAAGCCCCCTAACCGTTACAGTCTCAGTCCTGCCAAAGTTAAGCATTGCTAAGTCGCACTGGTTTCAAAAGGAGATTTTGGCCCATCTTAATATCTATCCCATTGAGATCAGTTGCACTTTGCTGCCAATAAATATAGACAGCAGACACAACTGAATAGCTTTTCTCTTTTTGTTCTCAGCCCTACTGTAACAATGTTGAATCCAGCAACGCTCATGTCCCTGATGTCTTTTGCAAGGATTGGGACTTCCAGAGCTGGAAGCAGATGCGAGCTTACTGCCTGAAGCTCTAGCCAAGCTCCCCTTTCGACACAAGAGATAGATCCATACTTTTCAAGGGAACAGGTTGTAGTCGGAAGGTTGGCTCTCGAGCTGTTACTTCCATGACAGAGAATTGCCCTGAAAACAGCTCATCAATAACGTTTGATCTTGTGTTCCTGACATAGCCTCTACCTTTTTAGCACCCAATTAGCCAGTGACCTATATTTTCTGATGCCTATTGAGTCCAAGCGAAAATGCAAAAGCCGTGTCATTTGTTGTCTATGTCATGAGCCGCAGAGACCATTCCCTGGGTTGATGGTTTCAGAGAAGCCAATTCTGTCAAAGAAAATGACCTCATTCTGCAGGGTTATAAAATCTCTCTGCCAAATCAGTTCTTTCCTTTCTGCATCCTGTGATGGAGAACTCAATACTATGCAAAGCAGCAAAACTGGTCACTTATCTGGAAGCTGCTTTTTTTTTTAAAAAAAGGATCAGTTTTAATAGGCCGCCATTTGCCTCTTATCAAATTCTGGACTAGTTATGAATGATCTATTACACAGTGTGCGTCCCGGAGGCGGCAGATGGAAATCCAACTGGGAATTTAATTTACTTTATATAACTTGTTTTGGGGCAGACACAGAAGACGCTACCTTTAATCAAAGTTGGTTTTTGCTGAAGAATTGGTTTGCATTTGAGCATCACTGAGCTTTTCCTGCAGTATGAAAAATGTTGTAAGGTGATTTAGGGATGCAATTTCCACTTACAGTGGGACTTCCAAGTAAACATGTACAGGGATACATTGTCAGTTAAACTAAAATAACCCAGGTGTAGTAGCCAAGAGTTGCTTGCAACTACAGCCCTCATAAATCCTCAGGTGAGGAACTGTAATAACGCCGTTTGCATTATATATTTTAAAAGTACATATGGAGGCCACTTGGTTTTTAAAAAAATCTTCAGTATCAGCAATATATACTCTCAGATATCCATTTTAAAAATCAAATTAAAACCTCCTCAGCTGTTTGTCACAGTGCAGCGGTTGTGATCCAAGAATTTACACCTGGAACAGTGATACTTTACTTATTTAATAAAAGGATCTGGAGTCCAGAGAGTACCACTTAATGGAGAAGTCAAGATCATGGGTAGGCAAACTAAGGCCCGGGGACCGGATCCAGCCCAATCGCCTTCTAAATCATGTTTTTACATGAGTAGAATGTGTGCTTTTATTTAAAATGCATCTCTGGGTTATTTGTGGGGCATAGGAATTCGTTCATATTTCCCCCAAAAAATATAGTCCAGCCCCCCACAAGGTCTGAGGGGCATTGGACTGGCCCCCTGCTGAAAACGTTTGCTGACCCCTGGTCAAGATGCAGACATCATCATATGGATAATGGGAATTTCCCAGCAAACCATGCAAGTTCCCACGAAGGGTCTTGTCTTCAAGTTTGTGGTGACTAGGCAACAGTGAGAATAGCAGATGAGAGACTATGTGCATGCCTTCTAGAGCTCCACTGTGGACTGAAGGAAATGAAACACACCAGGCCTGGTTTCCATGATGTAAGAACCATGTTCAGAGTCACCCATTTGCACGTCCCCAGCAGTAACCTGTGACTGTGTATCTAGAAAGCTTGAGCAAGCTGCACTGGAATAAGAACGTAAAAGTAGTCAGCCCTTCTTGGCATGTTTGCAGTAGAGCAACCTGGCATGCCACAGAAGTCCCAAACCCACTTCCCTCATCCTCTGCGGCCCCTAAAAGATGGGTGGAGTCACTGCACTGGGAGCCCAACAGATAGGATAGAGGGGTGTGTATGCAGGACTTGGGAGGGCCCAAGTATATTTGCAGGATGCATACTGAGAGCAGCAGCAACCCTGTAGCTCAGGATGGTGGAAGGCATAGACCTCTAGGTTTTGACTGCATGAACAGAATTCACAACTGCACCAAAACCTTGGGGACTTTCAGCAGTTTGTTAAGGATGCTGGGGATAGTCACTCTGCGAGGGGGGTCTCCTAACATGATGAGATTGTGGGGTTTATCTGGGCCCCCAGTTTCTGAAAGACAAGCTTTGCAAAAACATTTGGGAACCTCAGGCACAGTAAATCAACAGCAAGCAGCCACACGAGCATGTTATTGGGAAAGGTGGAGAAACCTTCCTAGCAGCTAGGATGTTCTCCCCATAAATTCCCTTCTTGCCGTGATAGACAAGTCCAGGTGGCACATACCTGTCAAGCAAAGCATCTCATCAATACTTACATGTCATCACCATGCACACACTTGTCTTCTATCCTGGCCCTCGATCACCATCTGCAGGCTATTGTAACTTACTGCAAGAGGCACGTTCATTCCCACAAAACATTCAGGTTCTGAACTGGAATCTTTCCCCTGGCTTGTGTTATATCCCCACATGGTACAGAAACTATTTCAAAGATTAAGATGGCACCTCGACAATGGCAGTTAGGATTTACCAAGCACCTGTTCCCTTCCCTTTTCCAGCCAAGAGAGCTACAAATCATTTAAAAGCAACAGTTGGCAAAGGTGTACTACACATCTAGCAGCAAAAAAAAAAGGACGACCAGTTGTGTTCTTATAAAAGAAATGCAGCCCCAAGCCAAAAAGCTAGGAAAATCTTCAGGATTTATATTGCAAGCAGTCAAATTAAGTTTCACAGGAACGTGTAAAATGTGGCAATAATATACTTCCTGCTGTTCATCAAGTGCTGGAAGTGAAATGTTTGCAATAAAGACCCAGCAATTAATTGCAGGTGTGGGGTTTCCACAACTACAGAATTATAAATCCATTGTGACTTGAGTACAAAAGAGTCAGCCCTGATTTAAATCGGCGTCTCGCTTTTGTCTGGCGAGCCTCTACTCAAAAGGGCATCTTAGCTAGTTATTGGTATGGATTTCTTCCTCCAGAAATGGAACAGTACATTATTGATGTTACTCCTGCTCAGCTTTAGTACGCTCTAAAATCCATTATTACTGTAGCACTATTGGCTGCTTTGGGACACTTGGTCAACGTGGACTAGTTGAAACCATTCCATCTTCACTGGTGCTAGAATGCTGTTAAGCCCGAGACTGTGTACACATTATTCACTGAAAGCACTCGCTCCTACCCAAATAATCCTGTCCTCAGGTTCTGCTTGTGAGCTTCCCATGGGCATCTGGTTGACCACTGTGAGAACAGGGTGCTCCAGCAGTGCTCTTCTTACGTTTTTCCATTTGAACAGTCACCCAGAGACACAAATGGCATAGCAGGCTGGAACTAGATCCAAGTATGTCAATGGAAAGCTGTTGCACAAGTGGAAATGGATGAGGCTTGTTAGGTGAAACCCACCCACAATCTAGGATGGTGCTAGCCTTCATCCTGCAATATAATTATGGAAGGGGCCCATTTACTCTTACAAATAAGCCACTAGATCTTCATGGCCTGTCGAAGGAAAATGGATAAATAAGAAATAATAATGCAAGACACTCAGGGCTGATCAGCCCTGAGTGCTCACTGAAAGGATAGATCCTGAAGCTGAGGCTCCAATACTTTGGCCACCTCATAAGAAGAGAAGACTCCCTGGAAAAGACCCTGATGTTGGGAAAGATGGAGGGCACAAGGAGAAGTGGACGACAGAGGACAAGATGGCTGGACAGTGTTCTCGAAGCTACCAGCATGAGTCTGACCAAACTGCGGGAGGCAGTGGAAGACAGGAGCGCCTGGCGTGCTCTGGTCCATGGGGTCCCGAAGAATCAGACACGACTAAGCGACTAAACAACAAACAACAACAATGCAAGACAGGCTATTGTTATGAAGAAGCAGCCTTGCGCTGTTGTTCTTTTCAAAGGTTTACATGAGTGTTATAAAGTGGGGAAGTTTTTGCCCTTGACTAAACTTAATATTGGGACGCGGGTGGCGCTGTGGGTAAAACCTCAGTGCCTAGGGCTTGCCGATCGCATGGTCGGCGGTTCGAATCCCCGCGGCGGGGTGAGCTCCCGTCTTTCGGTCCCAGCTCCTGCCCACCTAGCACCCCTAAGTGCAAGTAGATAAATAGGGACCGCTTTCTAGCGGGAAGGTAAACGGCGTTTCCGTGTGCTGTGCTGGTGCCGGCTCGCCAGAGCAGCTTTGTCACGCTGGCCACGTGACCCGGAAGTGTCTCCGGACAGCGCTGGCCCCCGGCCTCTTAAGTGAGATGGGCGCACAACCCTAGAGTCGGACACGACTGGCCCGTACGGGCAGGGGTACCTTTACCTTTAAAACTTAATATATTTTTTTAACTCCCGTGAAGACAACTCAAGTGTGCAGGCACAGGAAATACGTCTCATCATTAGCAATGTCATGAGTCTGTGTCTAATAACAACCTAAAATAAAATAAAGAATGCATTCACATGCCACAGTACCAAAGGCTGTGCCTCTGTGGTGTGTGTATGCAAAATACACTTTAATACCCAGGAGAATAGCATATTAAAATTGGGCTTGGCTAGACCAGATCCACTACAGCCCCTGATCCACAGTTCTTCTCAAAAAATGGGGTATGAAAGGTCCGATCATCCCTAAAAAAAAGAGCTGCATTTTAATTCCACTCAAGATTCCCACATGAGACTAATATCATCTTTTATGCAACCTGAGCAGACTTCATATATTCAGAAAAGTAGAAGAGAAATAGTTATTTGCTTGTTTAATAGTAGTCAACAACTGTGAGTTCATACTGCTGTTGGCTCTTGTCAACAATCACAAGAGATTGCAGTTGTTGCTAGTCTGTCTAGAACAGGGATGGGGAATCTGCAGCTCTCCAGATGTTTTTGGATCACAGCTTCCTTCATGTCTGACAGGAGCTACTTAACTTCTGGAGGACACCACACTGAGGAAGGCTGCTCTAGGCCAAGACTGGTGACTATCTCTCAAGGGCCTCCAGATGGAAGTCCTTATGGAGATGTTGCTCCTAAGTAACAAAGACAAAAGTACTTCTAGCGTCTTCTGCAGAATTTTTCAGCTTGTCTTTTTCCTTCCGGAACAAAGGTCCAAACTCTGTTTGCATGCCGACTCCTTCCGCCACATCCTCTCGCATCCTCGCCAGCGGTATTTCTGTCAGCGACTGTGTTCTATCGTTGGGAGAGAACAAAACCCCAAAATTAAAACTATAAAAATGTGGAGGTTTATACTTCTGCTGCCATTTCATCAATATGTATAATCGAAAACAACAGGACTTATTTTCAAATAAGCTTCCATACGATTGTGCAGTGAGAGAGCCTTTCGTAATACAGCAGCAACATATTTCTCAGCTATGCTCCACAGACGTCTTGTAAGAACTTTCCCTTTGTATTGGGTGCAAAGAGCAGAGACTAAACATCAGTTGCCAACTCAGGGATGGAAAGCACCCCTGGTCTACCACCCTCCATCCACTCCTCAAAGTAGTCTTCTTGTACAAATAGTTACTGATTAGGGCTATAGCTACTTTCTGATTAAAGGGCGTTCTTGGAACAGTTTTTGAACCTTCATTTACTTAAGCAAAGTGGAAAAAAGTTATCAAGTCTTTAATCCAAAGGCATTGTACATGAGTTTGCACGGTTGCTTTCTTGAACAGCAGGAACCCCACATACCAAAGATCAAGAACTCAAGCAACAGTGACCTTGTCTACGATAAATACAGATAAAAGGCCTTACTAATGTGTGGATAGCTCCAGGCATAGCTGAGGACGCAGCCCAGAAGCAGGATGGAGATACCAGCCACTCCGTTCTTTTTCACTTTGATGTATCTGTTGTAGTATCCATTCCAAGCTGTTTAGGAAGAAAGACAGGAGCAGTTTGATTGTTCTTGTCAGTAGTTTTAAGGGTACAGATCAAGCCTTTCCTTTTTCATGCATAATAACAAAGGCTGTGCAGCCATCCTCAACTCCCCTGCCAGCCAACTGACTATTCCAAAGCAGCACAGAAAGACACAGTGCATGATTTGCTCTCGCACCTCTGTGTTGCTCCAAGAATCCCCTGCAGAGACAAGTCACGGGTGGCTAGCCAAGCAGGCAAATCTTGGAATTTTACATCCATCAGACGCCTTTCTGCCAGTGGAACTAGGAAAGAAAACAGCTAGATCCTTTCCCCCGCCTCCCTGGCAATAATAAACTCCTCTCTTTGCAAGTTTCCACCAGGGTCCCATCCCCGGATTAAGTATTTAGACTAAGTAAAGCTCATACTGGTTGAATCACTGACCAGTGAGGTTTGTAGGTCAATGTACTCAGAGTAACTTTGCTTCCCTGTGATGTTCTGCATGATGGCCCAAGCAGACATTGTGAGAAATGTTAGACGTGGAATCTGGAAAGAGCTCTAGTTCCAAAACAGCAGGCTGAAATCTCTCCTTGCCCCTTTGTACCGCAACAAATCTATTGGCTGACTCACAAGCAAGCTGCAAGCATGGGTGCTTCTTCACAAGTAGACCTACTGGCAATAGAAAGGGCTCCAGGCTGCCTATGGAAATCCGGTTGCTGGGAAAGGCTTCATTTCTAGTGAAAGGGTATGGCTTGCCCAGTAAGTGATCTACTCACAATGAAGTACCCTGCCTGCCAAATGATACAGCAGGCAGAGTGCTTATCATGATGAGTTTTGCTGCTGCAGGGCAAACAACATAAAACATTCTGAGCAGAGAAAAGAATGGCTTCTCTCTTGCTTCCTGGAGAAGGATGGATTTATGCAAACCAGCTTCATGGTAAAATCTAAGGTGTTCTGGTTCCCAGCTTAGCCCATAGAGCCTGAACTTGCAAGTGTACTCAATCTATAGTAACATTCAGGGCTTATTTTCAGCTGGAACTTCTCACGTGGGCGCCTTTGCCATTATAAGAGAACAAGGGAGGAGTTCGTGGTGAGTACCTCTTTTTCTAGAAAACAACACTGGTAACAATATCCAGAAGGGTAGCCATATTAGTCTATAGTGTTACCCTACCTATAGATTACTTGAGGAATTACTTCCCTATTATATACACTTCTGAAACCGAAAGAAAAAACACCCATTGAAATAATAAACAGAGAGAAGAAGTTGATTCCCTGGAATAAATTTTTAGCTCTGCGTTGCAGGTTTCTTGCACCAGGGAACCAAGATACATTCCCAATACTAAGATTACGTTGTTCACACAGCTCCCCGCAGCCCATCCCAAACTACCACCAAATTTCTAAACATCTGAAATGATTTTTAGAACCTTTGGAATAAAAAAAAGTCAGCATGACCACATATCCAAAGCAACCTGAGAATATGCCGGCACCCTCATGCATCTTGCTATAAATTAACTGGAGGGCATGTGTGAGGGCAAAACGACAGCTTGCAAGACACAACTTTCTACATTATATATAAATTGGCTTAATAGCCATTTCCTTCCTGCAGGGGGTCGCAGAAGCCATAACTCTTTGAAAGGGTGTAGGAACATCTAACATTCTCAGAAGAACCCTCAGGAAACCACAGCTCCCAGGGAGTCTTCAGGGAAGGTGTAACTGTTAAACCTGTATGAAACTGATATACAGTACTTCTGTAGTGTATACTGCCTGAGAGTAGCCTGCAGACAGTTAAAGGAAGTGAAAAATCAATGCAATTCAAAAAGAGCCTAGTGTGCCCAAAATGCTCAAACTCATATTTGAACTAAAAGAATATTCAAACAGGAAAAAAGGAAAAGAAGGACCCAAGAGAAGGGCTCCCAGGAACATGGGGTAAACATCCATGAAGTGCTGGAACTGAGGCTCATGATTCTGAAACAGACTCACCCAATTCAATCCAAAGCAGATCGTGACTTGGATCAAATCAATGGTCCACTTCAGAATCCACAGTCTGCTTAATTCCTTTACGAGGCCATCCAACGGCTGGGTGCCTAATTCAACTCCTCCAAAAATGTATGTGCACTCAAAGTGTGTGGTGCCAAGGAGCCTTGTGCACTAGTTGCTCCAGGTTGTGGGTGGCTGGGTACCCTGTTTTGAAAAAATATATACGAAGATATTTTTTTTTAAGAGGAATGAAGGCAGCACACAACCCTTGGACTGCCTCATATGTACTTCTTGTTTTTCTGCATGGATTTTAAAGGATTTCCCATTTAAAACCTACCCAGAAAGGGGATGAAATGGGCTTTAATGGATTCATTCTCCTCACCGGGGCTTGAGAAAGCAATTCAAGAAAGGGAAAAGCAGCTGTGTTCTGGTAGGTCTCGCCCTACCATCAGGATTTTGATGGCCTGGGATTTTAAAACCAAATAAAATATCCCCAGAGAAAGAAAAGACTATGAAACAAAGACTGTGTGCACCTTCCTCTTCCTCCTGCATTAACCATGCATGACTTGATCACCACTTCAACAAATCAGCCCACTGGGTAGCAGCGTGAACTGTTCTCTCTTAGAAATCAATGGTTAAAAACTTCCCTTTTTACCTTGCTGGCCTTCCCAAGGGAGACTGAGTACGTTAGCTTCCGGGATGACTGTAGCCCACTGAGATGGCCTCTTTGAAAATAAACCTAGCCCACAATAATTAGGATACAGTTCTGGAAACCACTCCAGTCCCAAAGGACTTGGGCGTATGCTTCTATCCGGGGGTGTGGGCCAATGGGCAGTAGGCATTTCTAACGTTTGGAGTGATGATTGACTCACATATATCCCTGGGCCTTTATCTCCTATAGTCACAACAGAACGCAAAGCAATATCTTTTCCCAGACTAGTTAAGTAGTAGTTAGAGGTTTCATTATGTCTTTCTCTGAGGGCTTCTGTAAATGAGGGGTAGATCTCTGATTTGAAACTGATGTAAACTGGAGATTCTTTCCGATAGCCCTCCCCTTTGAAACATACAGGATTTTCTTCAATCATGCTTTTTATTCCTGCAGCCAGCTGAACAGGAGTATTGGAGACTTGTCTGCAGTTGTCCATAAAACGGCCATCGGAAGTGTGTGCTTTAATTGTAGCCACATTCTTTTTTGTCTCTCCACTCCCAATTTCCCCTGAAAGTTCAAGACCTGAAGCGCTCTTTCCACCCTCAGGTTCTGTCATAATTTGCTGCCCATCAGCCAAGGCAATCTCTGCATCTCCAGATGGTGGTTTCGCAGGCCAGCATCCTGCCTTCTGGTTGCCCACAACACCTTTATTTAAAGGGATATTCTGAACAGATGATTCACACTTGTTCCTCAATATCCTCACACGATGGTTTTCTATCACTAGTTCTACAGTATCAATAAATCTCTGAGGAATAGGTTGTAAATTATCAGTGAAAGAATCTGGCTTTGCAGATGCTTCTTTCCTTTGCCTTTGTTTCGTAGAAGGATTAGTTGTCTGGCTAGCTCCACTAGGAGATTCTGAAGCTGATTTTCCATTCTGATTCAGTGGCTTTAAAGTGAGACTGGATGCAGATTCCTCCTCGTTAGGGGGAGGTGACTTTTTTGCAAGCTTCGTTGCTGAAAACACCTTTTCAGCTGATTGTGTTCGGACATCTTCTGATGCTCCTTGATTTGTGCCTTCAGTTTTGTGTGCTTTTTCAGTAGCGCACTTGATTTGCTTTTGTGCATCCTCAACTGAATGCTGATGGCTGCATCTTGCTGATCCAGCTGTTTCCTGTGGTTGCAATGAATGTGTTGTTGCTTTTGCTTTGTTTTTCTTATTTTCTTTTTTGGAGGTAGTTTCTGTGCTTTTGATCTGCTCTTTCTTTTTCCCAGCTTTCTTGCTGGGAGGCAAAACATTCCTTGAGTCTGCATCTCCCGCCATCTTACAGTGAGGCAGGTGAGACTTGAGCCTTTTAAATGGCTTTTTGCAGAAGGGGCAAGTTTCTACTCCTGAAGTGATACCTGCCATTTTTCTGCCTGCAGAGGAAAATAAGACAGCATGGATTGGTAAACTTTCCTACATCCCTTCATGAGGAAAGGAGTGATTGTAGGAACAATTTTAATGGAACTTATACCAGGTGCATAGTAAAGTGATGCCTGTATTTTGTGTGTCCCATCTGCTACCAGTTTCATTTCTGTATTTTTAATAGATCTTTTTATATTGTTTTAATTGAATTAGGGTTTAATTACTATGTTTTTGGTTTTTCTATTTTATCTGTAAGTCCCTTGAGGGTCCCGATCTGGGAAAATGGTGAGTTGTACATGGAAATAAAATTAGTTGTGACTTTTAAGAAAATTAGTTGTGTTTAGACTTAAAGAGTCATGTTTATACAGTGGTAAAGGTAACGGTAAAGGTACCCCTGCCCGTACGGGCCAGTCTTGACAGACTCTAGGGTTGTGCGCTCATCTCAGTCTATAGGCTGGGAGCCAGCGCTGTCCGCAGACACTTCCGGGTCACGTGGCCAGCGTGACAAGCTGCATCTGGCGAGCCAGCGCAGCACACGGAACACCGTTTACGTTCCCACTGGTAAGCGGTCCCTATTTATCTACTTGCACCCGGGGATGCTTTCGAACTGCTAGGTTGGCAGGCGCTGGGACCGAACGACGGGAGCGCACCCCACCGCGGGGATTCGAACTGCCGACAATGCGATCGGCAAGTCCTAGGCGCTGAGGTTTTACCCACAGCGCCACCCGCGCCCCTTATACAGTGGTACCTCAGGTTAAGTACTTAATTCGTTCCGAAGGCCCGTTCTTAACCTGAAACTGTTCTTAACCTGAAGCACCACTTTAGCTAATGAGGCCTCCTGCTGCCGCCGCGCTGCCGGAGCCCGATTTCTGTTCTCATCCTGAAGCAAAGTTCTTAACCTGGAGCACTATTTCTGGGTTAGCGGAGTCTTTAACCTGAAGCGTATGTAACCTGAGGTACCACTGTAGTTTTAAGATACATATCTTCCATAAAAAAATGCTCCAAGGAACACAATTCTTCCTATTACAGTAGTACAGTGGCTGTGGATGGGATCCGGTCTGGAGCTCCAGTCGGATCCCGAGGTTTCCGAAACAGGAGGGACCGCTTCTGAGCATGTGCGCGACACAGTAGAGCGCTTCTGCGCATGCACGTGCGGAGAAACACTTCTGGGTTTGCCGCTTTTGCAACCCGAAGTTTACGTTACCCGTGGGTAACGTAAGCTGAGGTTCTACTGTACTAGTGAAAAGGCACATGCAATCCAACTACAGTTTAGTAAAGCCAGTGGCAGGGGGCAGAGAGCAGGTGGGGGCGGGGGCGGGGTTGGTGCGTGTCCTGGGGGCATCCTGGGGGCGTGGTGCACGTCCGGGGGGGTGCCGCTCGTAGGGTCATGGCGCCCAGCGCAAGCGGGGGGGGGGGGGCAGCTGCAATGGCACCCTGCCGGGATCGTGCTGCCAAGGGCAGTGCGCTCCCCCCCCCCGCACACCTCTTCCTCCACCAGTGAGCAAAGCCAGGGTTTAATCACTCTGTACAATAGGGCTGAAACAGGGATGTTGTTTTCATGAACAAAGAGTTGTAGTTCCATTTAAATTAATGGACTGGAGTGAGTTGATTATCTAACTGTAAAACATAGAAAAATCCAGCCTTTCCTGGTAGGAAGATGTAGTGGAAGGGAAACTTCCTTTGTTCAATACCGTCATTGTCTCCTTTCATATAAAAGTAGTATTCCTACACTTAAATGATGGGAATTTTAAGCTTCTAGCAAGATGGAGCAGTTCTTTCAACTTGCAAAGCGGAAACAAAACACCCCACGCCCCGGAATCACGAAACGAAAGTTTGCGACGCTTCCATTCATTTGCCAGTGGCGAAAAGGAAAGCAAGTTTAGCTTCTTAATTCCCAGGTTGCCTTATAGCCTTATAGCCGAGATCAGAGACAGAACTGCTTAGTTTAAATCTGTTTAAATCAGATCTTACTACATCAGGGCTTGTGTAAACTCCACCCCCCGCCCCAATGTACCTCGATCAACGAAGGTCTAATCCTGCAGCTCCACAAAGCGGTGATGAGCTGTGTCAAATGTTCTCCACATCGCTCTTCCCAGCTGCTGCTAGAAGACTTTCCGTAGAAACCATTGAAACTGAAAGTGGGGTTAAATAAAGCTGCTCTTGTTGAAACAGCTGCGCATTGGCCTGGCCATTAGTCACATGAGTCGCATCATGCCATGATAAGAGATCGCAAGGCAGCAAAGTGCTTCTTAAAATGGCAAGGGAAATGCTTATGCAAAACCGGATTTTCTTTACCTTAGTTTGATATCAGGAGCTTTATTTTGCAGCAGACTATAAATGTGTATTTTTTTATTTCCAGCCAAACGAAAATTCAAGCTAAAAGAATAAAACCACGAAATAATAAAATGATAATAAGCTTGGAATAGAATGAGTGACGTAAAATATATTCCATAGGTGCATATTTGTACCACACATAGCAAGTAATTATGAAAGTTGCCAAATAAACTCATACTTAATGGGGATTTGCTTTTGTTTCTGCATGGGGGCGCTGTTTGTGATGTACATGACCGCACCATCTCATGATTGGCACATTCCCAGAAAGTGTGTATTTTAAAGTAAATACGGCGTTATAAAGCTGCACACTGACTGTGGTTCATGACAACACTGCAATGTAGTCTGGCGTTATTGCCCCACATTGCAGCGGGGTAGAGTGCATTTGTAAGACCCTAGGGTGTAATGTAGCCCGTTGTTAACATCTTCACATTGCAACCTTTAGTGGAGTTTATAACCTTCTCCGCTCGATCACGTTTCAAATGGAGGTTCAGGCTCTAATTAAGTGTCACCTACTCAAGTCTTTATTAGCAAAACACAACGTCAAAAATCTCCGGGGCAAACCTGCCACAGCCACTATCAAAATTTCAGGAACGAAGGTTCTCCAGCTGTTTGGGGTTTTTTGGGACTACAACTCCCATCATCCCTAGCTAAGAGATGAATGACGGGGGAGGAGGCGATGGGAATTGTAGTCCAAGAACAGCTGGAGACCCGAGTTTGGGAAGCACTGACCAGTCTGTGACATGTATTTCAAACGGACTTTGTTCGTTAACATAACGTGTGAATGGGTGTAGCTGAAACTACAGCAAAAAGAGAATCCGCACAGAAATACCACGGGAGCGAGGTGAAGTTAAATTATTTCCCAGCCCAAAGCTCCATCAAAAGCAGGCATGTCGGCCCAAGTAAAAAAGGTGTATATGTGTTTATGTATGTGTGTATATATATATATATATATATATATATGGCTTTAAAACATTGCCATGGCTCGATCCCGTGTGTGTTTCCTGCCTCCTGGGTCTTACTCCACATGAAAACACATCTGCAGTGGAATCCCATACATGTCTACTCAGAGGTAAATCCCATTTTGCTCAGTGGGTCCTTACTCCCAGGTAAGCGGGCAATGGATCGAAGCCCCGCGGTCAAATCCTACGCCATTTCCCCTTAGAAGCAGGATCCATTCAGCTCAGGGGCATTTACACCTAAGCGGCCAAGTACAACGCTGAGCTCTATGATTATGAGGAAGGCTATTTATTACTGCGACGTATCCCTCTGACGGAACTGAAACACTTGACCTCCGCGCATGCGCAGGCCGATAGGGCGGGGGAAAGAAAAGAGTTTTGTGAAAGCGCATGCGCCCGCCGCATACTGTGCAATCACACTAGGCGCATGCGGGGACGGCCTCGGCGTCGCCAGCCAATCCGGTTACGGGGCTGAGGAGTCTCGGAGGCTGGGGAGGGTGGGGGTAAGGGAGCGCTCTCCCTGTGCTGCCAGTGCGCTTGCGCGGGAGGCGTGCACACCGGAAGCGGCGGCTTGTGGTGGAGGAGGAGAAGAAGGCGGAGGGCGGAGAGCCGAGGGAGGGAGCTGCTGAGGAGAGATTGTTTGGGAGCGTCACAGCGGGGCCTGCTGGCCTTTTCGGCGTTCGGCTCTGCGAGAAGCGGCTCGGCCCGGCCATGAGCTGCCGGGGGGCGCTGCCAAGCGAGCGGGGAGCTCGGCAGAGGTGAGGGAGGCCGCGGGAGAGAGAAAGCAATGGGCGGCGGTGGGGGTGGGGGGAGGCCCTCGGCTTAGGGGGGGGGAGAACAAGAACGTACGGTGGCCGGAGGGGGGAAAACTTCGAACGGCAGGGTGGGGGGAGGGGCGGCGGCGTCTGTAGCTGAGGGAGGGGAGGCTCCGTTGGCAGAGGCGGGGGGAGGCTTCCCGTCGGGGAATTGATGGACGGCGACTACGGGAAGGGCGACTTTGGCGGGGGGGGGGATGGGAGGACCCAAGAAACCACCTGGCAACGTTAATTGTGATCATGGCTGGTCTCGAAAGCGCCCTTCTGCGAAGGAAGGGGGTTCTGGGTCACTTGAAGGAGAGCCGCCTTCGGTCTCGACGCGAAGCAGGCCCGGCAGTGGCCATTTTAAGCGAAGCTTTTTGACAGGGCAAAAAAATAAATGAGCATCTTTTTCCTACCCCACCCCTACGCGTACACGATTTCCCCTCACATGTATACTCGCCCCTCCCCCCGCCGCCGAAATTTAGGTTGCTGACCCTGCAGTCCTGATCACCTTTACTCAGAAAAATGTCAGTGGGGGGAGGAGGGGGTATTAGTCGCTTCCAAATTCTTTTTGGAAGGGTCGCAGCATAGATTCCGTGCGTTAGAATGGCTCCTACGTTTATAGCCCACCCTTCATCAGCAGGGGTGCCAAACGTGGATAAAATATTGGGGAGGAGAGGTAAGCCCCGCCCCACATAACTGATCACAAGATGTGGCATATGCACACTATTTAAATGGAAATACTGTACCCATAAACTTTGGGGAGGGGGGTTGGTCCCCTCTCAAATATTTTTTTTGGGGGGGGGGTCAAATGGACCTCAGCCCCAAGGAATTGGCTGCTATGTTCCTCAGTCTTGCTTAGGATGGGATATGTCATTTTCCTGCCCCAACCCTCTTTTTATATTTGCAACAACCTTGCGAGGTGGGTTAAGGCTGAGAGAAACACAACTGGCACAAAGTGGCCCAGTGAGCTGAGTGGGGGGTTTTGAATCCGCATTTCCTTAAGACTAGTTGTATGCTTTTTCAACCATGTAAAGCAGGTTTTTTATTAGCCCTGTATTGCAAATGAGGGGCTGAGATTAAAAGGCTAGTGTCAGCCAAAGGCTACCTAAGTAAGTTCATGGCTGAGGTGAGATTTAAACAGGGCACACGATTTACATTTGTGCAATGCAATCCTGATTGTGTTTAGCCACTTTGCTGCTCAAACTTTATGTTCCAGGGTTAGTTAGGGTTTGAATTCTGTAACTGTACACCATACACAGTTGTCAGCACAGTTCTGTTATATAGAGTGTTAGGCTTCTCATAAAAAATGCAGAAGTCTATTTCCAACTGCCATGTATTTTTGTGCCTTGCCATCCTGCATAGATGCTATTAGCAGTTAGGAAAAACAGCTGCCTGAGGTCTTGTGTCATCACTGGTGTGTGGTTAGAAAATTCAGTGGGATAAAAAGAATGAGGACTTGAGTCTAATCAATATATTAGTTTTGTGATAGTGTCAGTAATAGGTAAAGGTTTGTAAATTGTTAATATGCTTTCCCTCTATTTAGCAAATTGGTACCATGTAATGCTATAACCTAATCTCATGGAATAATGCCATAAGAGCATGGATAAATAATATCCAAAACTGAACGGCTAGCCAGATGGAATGTATGTTTAATGATCCTTGGACATTTCTACCCATCAAGATACCCACGTTGACTTTTGAACCATTTGCTTTACATTTCGTCAAAGAGCGTAAAGCTACAGTTTTGGCCCAAAATGTCACTGTACTCTGGGTTCCACAAAATGGACAAAACAGGGCTTTTGTTGATGATTAAGTCAAGCCCTTCAGGCAAAGTGAACATACCCATGAATGACGGAAGATGCTTCCTTTTAGTCTTATTACAATGTTTCCTACAACCTGACTTGATTTTAACTGCCGACATATATATATAGAGAGAGAGAGAGAGAGAGAGAGAGATACTGATGTCTAGTTGAAGGCCATAAACCTGAAGAACATAACCGTTCTTTAATATAGCCGGATGTCATTCAGAATACTCCATGGCTAATTTTTAGAAATGGCTGTTGCTTGGAGAAATCTTGAATATTGTACAGTCATACCTCAGGTTACAGATGCTTCAGGTTGTGTGTTTTCAGGTTGCGCACCGCGCAGACCCCGGAAGTACTGGAACGAGTTACTTCCGGGTTTTGGCACTATGTGCAGAAGCGCCGAATCACGACCCGTGCACGTGCAGACACGGTACTGCGGGTTGCGAATGCTGTGGGTTCCGAATGTGCCTCCCGCACGCATCACGTTCACAACCCAAGCATCCACTGTACTGAGATCCTCAGTCTGGGAAGGACCAGGATGGTAATTTCAAGAGGTGATTAATTGTTAAAGGTATTTCCTTCCAAGGTTTCACAGAGTAGTAAGGTGAGTGGTGAAAAAACATTCTTCAATTAATTCAGGTTGAACTACATCCTTTGATACTGATCTCTTCTGGGTTTAATGTCTGGCTCCTTACTAAAATGGGCAGCTGAAGAAAAATGTAAACACCACAAAGCAGTTAAACTAGTTGTTGGTAATTAGTGCAGGAACTGTAACATTGTTTTTTATTAAAGTGTGCTAGGTACAAGGAATGAAACTTAATCTCTGCTGTTCTTGCATTGTTTGTTTCAGGAAGAGGAGACGAAATGGCATAGAGGAGGATGTCCACATCCCACAAACAAAACGCAGTAGCCAAAATGCTGTTTTTCATGACTCCTGGGATACAGAGGTAAGATGTGCTCCACTTCATTGCTGAGCTGGTATTGCTTTGGGAATTTGTATCTAATCAACTGATGGGGAGTGTTTAAGCAATAGATATATGTCCAGATGATCAGATATATAGATATATGTTCCGATTTGGTTACTGTGAGGAAGACCTTGATCCTGCCTTTGAAGTTGGTTCAGAAACCATGAGTGTTTAAATAAGAGATGTGAGCTATATATTCATTAATTGATTTAGAATACTTACATCCTGCTTTCAAGCTCTTAAGAAGCTCTCATAGTGACTTATAAAAGATTCTTACAATGTGATCACATTCAAGTGTATCATCAGGAACAGAAATAACATGATGTCTATATAGTGCCAAGATTGTTCAAACATTTCTGATTTTGTCCTTGGTGGTCTTCTTTGGTTTCACCTTTTAGCTATTCCCTACTAGGCAGTAGAATTCAATGAGATAATCCTGAAGTGAGGGTAGAGCAGCTTAAACATTCAACTTACGATGGAACCAGGGGTTCCCCTTGCTGGCAGTTACATATATGCAGAACTAGTACTTCATATTTTAAATATAATTAACACAATTCAGAAATCTGTAATTCGCAGTGCAGCTGGTAATGTTATCATTTTCCAAATGCTGCTCATTTTTGTATGGCACCACTAGTTTTTGTGTTCAGCTACGCTCCTGAATTCAATGTAAAAATCTTGTGGTTGGTGTATTCAGGGCTTCTATTCAGAAATAACACTATGAGACAAGCTTATACCAAGTTATCATAATGACTCAGGGTTTAATATGCTGGAACTTACCTTCTGATCCCAGGCCCGTAGAGCCCAAATTAAGCAGGTTTTGTGTATTTATGTTTGGGTGTGTGTAATTCTTCAATCACTTGAAATGTGTGTGCCTTGTTTGGTAGAATTGGCCATGGAGCTATATGATGTAGAAACATTGGTCTGCTTTTAGATACAGGTGCATGTGCACATCATTTGCATTGTATTATACAGAACTGTACACTGCTATAAATGAACTTATAAGTTGCCTAGCAATTGCTTTTCTACTGTACAGTATGCCTGGAACTTATGCGGGGGTTATGTTCTGGGGGTTGCACCTAAAGCCAAAATCGTGTATAGTCAAAACCCAATGGGTTCAATGGCAAGTAGGATTGCCAAAGTCATTTTTCCCAGAACTCTGTCCACTTTTTAATTTTCTGTTGTTGTTTTTTGCCACATGTGAAAGCTGAATGTGCACAATTTAAATGCATGTAAGTTGCAGGCTTACCATTTAGTACTTAGTTCAACTGTTCAGTACTTGTTTCAAAGGTACTGTAAAAACACTGAGATTGGCAATTAGTTGTCTAGTGTAGGAAGCATAGAAGTATGATACTGCAGAAATAAATATGGCAATTGAATTATTGAGGATCTGCAGTAGGCCAGAATTTGCTAAACCAGGTGCATGAAGTAGGCCGAAAAGATAATAGGTGTGTGTATACACCAGCAGTGGGGAAGCTCTGATCTACCAGGCTTCCTTATTTAGTGCATGAAGCCTCTGTATATGAGGTTGGGGGCAGCTAAAAATGCAGCTAAGCCAAAAGGAGTTCTGTGGGCACCACTGTGCACAGGGCTTTGCAAGCAGTGATGGTCAACTGATTGGCCGATTTCAGACAGTGTAGCAGGAAGAACAGGTCACCTGACATCAGGTGGGTAGCTCTACTGGGGTAGGGGGAAGAAAATGATCTGGCTAGTTGGCCAGATCCAATTTCTCACCCTGGTATGGACTCAGTGTCTGTTCATGTGATGCACGACTAACTTGTAGTGAAATGGGCATTTCCTTCCTCCAAGAGCAAGCCTTGTTTATACAGGAAACATAATGCAGATTGATTTGTGCATAAAGTGATGGAAAGATCTGAACACTACTTGGGAGACTTGAGGCTACATTGTGGGTTTTTTGCATTTCCTGTAGAATGGGTTAATGCACAAATTCAAGCAAGATGGTTATTTCAGAGTGAGCAAAATTGAAATGCCTATAAATGATCTTTGGAACAGGCAATAGGGTAATATTTGGGGTATGTGAAGATGCAGCCTTTTGTGCCCTTTTTAGTGAATAGGGGAATTCGCAAAGGAATGTTAGATTATTTAAATGTGTTTATGGCTATTAGCACAGCTGAATATGCAATTTGTCAGCTACGGAGTTCACTGAGAACAGGATGATCAGGTTACTCAGCTAACAGAAGGGAGCGCTATCCAGAAAAAATACCTACTTGAGATGTGTAAATAACAATGGCTTAAAAGTAAGATGACTTTCATTCTTGTCAATCTTCTGTTCCATAGTCTTCCAGCAGCGAGAGCGGGAGCACCAGTAGTTGCAGCAGTAGCAGCATCAGCAGCCCTGACAGAGCTAGTGGGCCGGAAAGCAGCCTACACCACATAATGCCAGGATCAAGTCCTGTGACCCCTCCTCAGTCTTTCCATGAGCAGTCTGCACTATGCCAAGGTCCTTACTTCCACATCAACCAGATCCTGAAGGAGGCACACTTCCATAGCTTACACAGCAGGGGCCGTCCTCCCACATGATGAGCCTAGCAGTTCCCTGCCTTCTGTGAAGGGGGACGGCACCGTGTGATGGGGATATTTCAACTTAAAAGTTTGTTAAAATTGCACAAAATGCCTGTTGCCTTTTCAGTCTGTATTTGGAATAACAGGTTAACAGGCAATTGTTTACTTGTGGTTTGCTGCACTATTGCAATGCAAAAGGGGCTTTGGAGCAATTTTTATAGGATTCTTTTGGGGGAGGGATGGAGGGTGGATATCTTTTGACATGTTATGATGGGTCTGAGAATCCACTTCTGTATAATAGGAGTGCATAATAAGTCCAGTCTGACTTCTTAATCTGTTCATTAGTAACTGATGCTTTATGTAAAATCCTTTCAAACATTTGCGTTCAGTTTTATAAGTCTTTTTTTAATTTCAATAAATAGTGAATATGTTTTTATGGTAAATTAATATTTCCTAAGGTTGAATGTTCATGTGCATTAAGGTTATTTGAAAATACTGCTAGTAAGGTTTCTCAGTGTAAATGTACTAAGTGGAAGACTGCTTTACTCAAGTACAAACAGGAGTGTGAACTTTTGTTTTCTTACTGTACTCAAAACCAATAGTAACCATTTCATTGCTTATGTTTCTTAATACCTAACAGCTATAAAATAGATGTTTTCTGTTAATAGCTTCAAGTTACCTAAGCAAGGGTCCGGTCTCTTTGGCAGCAAGTACCAAAACTTAAATTCCACTCCCTTAAGTTATGCTGAAGTAGATGCTTTTTACAATGCCAAAAGTACAATCATTCACATTTTATTGAATCATTTGGTCATGCTAGAGAGCCAGCCAAGTTTAAATAAAGATGGTGCTGCTGTGTCCTCCTCCTCAGCTGCAAGCTGCCTGAACAGGGAGCCAGGGCGGAACGTCTCTTCTGCTCTTAGAAGGGCAGCAGCTGGGATCTGTTAAATTAGCAAAAGAAAGTCAGTAACCTCCTAGGCTTTCTTCTTTTTAAGCTGGCTTGCATTCAGAGCAGGCTCATTAGTAGCTACATAAAACCAGACCGGGGTGGGGGTGGGGGTTAATATGTGCAGTTCTCTGTGTAGCAGAGAGAACTGTAGAAACAATCATCCTTGCCTTGAAGCCTTTTGGCGTGTTCAGGAAATTTTACACTTCCCTTGTAGGCTTTTGAGACACAGAAACACAGTCTGCTGCTCAAAGTGCCTCCTACTCCCAGCTCCACTTACGGCAACCATCAATAACTTCCTAGGTAAGCGGGCAGACATGTTAAGTCCATTTTCTTACCTAAAGTAGTAGCTTTCCCTTATTTTGAAAGGCTTACTCTATTACTACAGGGAAGGAGCATCATAATGGCAAGCAGAAAGGGAGGCAGTTTTGCTTATGTAGTAGTGTCTTACATTACCAGTCGGTTCATTTTAGTCTAAAATTAGGTTCATTAAAATGTATGTGCAACATATGTCCAAACATAACCCTGCCATAGCAACAGATGCTTCTGATATTTAACATGTGAATTTCTTTACATACTGAGAACTTTAGATCTCTTTGTCCACCCTTCCCTGCAGCACCTTCTAGGGTGTAGTTGCATGGCAATACAGAAGGAAACCCATGCCAGCTGCTAGTATGCATTCAGTTTCTCATATGTAAACTTGGTAAGTTTGACAGCAGCTATCAAGTTCTATGGCTACATAAGCAAGCCTTAGCACAGAAGCCTACAAAGGAGAGGAAGCCACTCAATTCACACATGCATTAATACCCCAGCAAGATTTCTTCAGGGGTTACTTGGTCAGCATCATACTAGAATGAAGGGTACAAGACAGTTAGATTAATCACTCCTTTAACATACCTTATTATTATTAGAGATAAGCTGTCAATGTGCAAGTCTGTACTAACAATATACGCTAATGTTGCTATCAACTTCTATACACAATTTGACAAACTATTTAACTAATTCATCTTCAAACCTAGAAAAGTATATGCTACTCCTGAAGTGTCCAAAGGAAATTGTGGCATGAGTTTCTGATTTTTTTTTTTTAAAAAACCCAACAACAGCACCCTGGGCTCCCTAGGAAAATATTAGCATTAACATTACCAGTGCAACTAAACAGTTGGCAAGAGTGGAGAAAACCATAAGCTAGAATAAAGGAACAAACCTGAGCCTTCTGTTCAGTGTTTCTCATAGCTGATTTAGTCTTGCGTGAGCTTGACATGCTGAGTGGCAACAGCCCAAATCTGAAAAAAAGAAAAAAGTGGTAAGATATTTTGCACCCCCACATGCTTTGTTTCACGGACTTCCTATTGCCTATAGCGTGAGTCACTTACCTGATTTGACTAGATGCTAGAGGTAGGATGTTATGTAATTCTTGAGAAGTTAAATTACTGCTTCGGCTGGTGTACTGATTCTCTGCCCCTGTTAATAAGCCAAACAGGACCTAGAGGAGCACAGAAAAAGGTAATTGCTTGGTTGTGGCGGCAGTACAGTGGTATCTTGGGTTACAGACACTTCAGGTTACAGACTTTGCTAACCCAGAAATAGTACCTCGGGTTAAGAACTTTGCTTCAGGATGCGAACAGAAATCGTGTGGCGGCGGCAGCGGGAGGCCCCATTAGCTAAAGTGGTGTCTCGGGTTAAGAACAGTTTCAGGTTAAGAACGGACCTCTGGAACGAATTAAGTTCTTAACCCGAGGTACCACTGTAGATGCAACTGCCAAGTGCTCAGTGAACCAGAAATAGGATTTATTAGATTGGAAAGCAGCAAAGGAAGTACCCTTAAACAAACACAAGGCAAACTCTTAACGGTCAACCTGGCCATGTGTGTTTAAAACAAACGTTTCCCTCCCCCCCCCGCCCCCCCCAGGATTTCAGGTTCACTTTTATATCACTTGGTGTTAGGTGTTTGTCTACTATGAGGCATGAACTTCCAAGGATAAAATCCATACAATCTCATGGGATATTTTTGGTTTTGGCTATTCAGGAGACAAACGATGCTTTGATTCTGAATGCTGCAAATAATTGAGAACTATTGGACTGCATGATCAAAGTGTACCCTAAAATGTGCTTACATGCTTATACCACTATCCAACTGTATGCATACACAACCCTTTCCCCCTTGGTTTTCTTTATTGTACTGGTTCTATTGTTGCTAAGGAACAAAGTGCAAAAGACCATTTCTATGTGTATAATTTTACCAAGTAAAGCACCCTATCTTTAAGTACAGTAGCCAAACAAAATTGAAACAGTTATGTTCTTTTGCCTGAACTTACAGAGGTCCGCTGCACCAGACGATTAAGGTTGCTGTTTAAGTGTGGTGTAAAGACATCCAAGTCGAAGGGATCTATATAACTTTCCAGAAAGTCTATCTCTTTCTCAATCCTGAAACAGAGGGAGTAAAGCTGATATCGGACAGAGATACATTTTTGACAGTCAACAAGACAAGACTGATGTGAAAACAAAAAAAGCAGGCATTCAATCACTTTCCAACCATAGTAATGGAATAATTAACAGGATCCTGTGCTGAGCTATTTAAAAGTCCCTTAATTCAGTGAGAACAGAGTTTAACATTTTTAAAGCTACATTCTGGTTTCCAGTTACAGTTGAACTGATGCCTTACAAGCCAGAGGAATAACTTAAAATGTTCCAAATACGTTTTATATAGCAAGATGCCCTGTTTCTAATAAGCTGCCTTAATGTAACCTTTCCTTGAAACTACTGAGACTGGAATCACTACTGTGCCCCTGCTGATCTCCTGGTGTGTGTACAGATCTGCAAGATTTCTGACAAGGATTTCTGTTAAATGGCTCCTTATTTAAGAATTGTTCTGTTACAAAACTTTATGCACAGATTACAGATTTCGGGGAGCATCTTGCTACTCATGATTGCTGTTGTGGGCCCTCTTCTAGTGCTCCTCCTTTCTGCAAATGGAAAGAGTGAGATACAGGTTTGCTTGGTTTGTCTCCAGCCAGCCTCATCTGCTTGTATCCGTGCCCTAAGCTATGGACTGATCTGCATCCAAGTGTATACCCTACCTGCTTCAGCGTAATTTATTATCAATCAATGAACAGCACTGAATTTTAGTAAGTCGTGGTTACATTCAGAGCTGGTAGGAAAATATTAAATTACCTAGATTCAGCTCTGCACAGGTGAGAGAAAATAGCTGAGATATCTAGGCAAGCAAGTCTGAGCGTACTAGCCCTGCGTGTAGCCTCACATACACACTGATATATCAATGCAAGGTGACTGGAGCACAAAGGGTGCAGTAACATTTTGAGGTTTGCAAAGGGAGTAAAAAATAAACCCACTGTTGAAAACACTCAACTCCCGACAGAGCACTGTACCTGGAATCCTGCTTGTTTCTGCTGCCTTTCATATCTTCACTCTTAGTTGTCAGGACTATATTCAGATACCGAAGATCATACAAGAGTTGCAAAGCCCTGTTCTGAGTGATGGGTAACTTCCCTTCTTTCTAGAAACAGGTAGGGGAAGGAAAAATAAGGTTGATTCTTAAGCAAATGCCTAGGCCATCAGTCCTCACATATATTTAAAGTTTCATCAACAATCACTTTAAGCATCTAGATTATGTGGTCCTGTGCCCAAAATACTAAAAGTAGTCCCCTGATAATCACACTAGTGTATGAAAATGTTTATTAGGCCCCTGTGAACCTGGATTTTTGTTTTTTGTTTTAAATCTCATAGCAGAGATAGCCAAAGAATCGCAGCACTTACATACAGAAGGTAGAACATGGACAGTTGTAGAACATCTCAAATTTATTCAGTGTCCTGTATTTTAGAGTTACCTCTAACTGCTTTTGTGTGAGCATGCAAAGTGAGCTCACACTGTTACAAACATACAGGTTTTCCCCATGGAATCATACCCTCCCCCATTAAGAACTTCAACTCTATAAGAAATACCCACGTAATCAGACCTGCTCCTGTGGTTGCATCATTCAGATGCTTCCCCATAAAATGTCAGATCATTGCATGGAGAAGGGTCTCCACTCAGGGTTCAATTCAACATGTTACTCTTCCAATCATTTCCTCTGTGCAAGTATTTCAGCTTGCCAGACAGAACACTACCCCTCCCCTCTCCCTGCTTGCTTTTTTGAGGGTTCTCCCACCCCGAGCCAATTGCAGGTGGCAGGGGAGCCCTGTTATGTAGGGCTTCTACTGACTGGACTGGTTAGGTGAATCCTGCCCTATGTTAACTGAGCTGCTCTGAGATTGGCTGCCTTCTATAGAAAAGGGGAAAGCAAGATTAATGCCACAGTCAAACGCATACATATTTGTAAGTAGCGCCAATTCCAATCAGATTTATTCATGGGCAAAGATGCTATCAGGCTTCTAGTATACTTTTTTAGTACTGATCTGGGAGTTCAAGTGCTGCTATGAACATGTGCAAGGACTAATGGTTTGCTGTAAGCCAACATTACTGATTCTCAGAATAGGTCCACTGAAATTAACGGACATGACCAATTTAGGCCTATTTTTTTATTATTTACTTGAACTTAATAGTTTATTGCTACACAAAAAGGTCTCCAAGCAACTTAACAAAACATTCAGTGGTCTGTTCTGAGTACAACTTGGTTAGTGACAAAACAGTGCAATTAAAGTCCCAAAAGATACACCCTTCGCTTTTTCAACTAGCGAGATGGTCTGAAGGGACAGAATGTGTCACCCTTCAAATGTTGTTGAACAACCACTGGCTACACTGACCGGGGCTGATGGGCACTGAGCTCAGCAACATCTGTGGGCACCACATTGGCTGCTCCTGCGTTAGAACTTTCCCCATGAGCGAGCCTTGCAAAGCGGGAGCCAATCAATAGTTTTGCTCTTGACAATTCACATTTTTCATTTCCTGGGTTTTCGAATACACACTTGGAGCAGGATTATCAATCTGGTCAAACACTGTGCAGTGGTCCACAGACCCCCAACAACGCACCTTTTCCTGGCTCGTTCCTGACAGTTTTTCATAGCCAGCTAATACTTCAGTCATACAAGTCTTCAGTAGTTCCTGCAAGGTGACCTTGGGAAGGGTATGGCCTCCAACTCGATTGACTTCTTGGCACAAACTGAAGAGGAGGGACTGGACGCACCATGATGGCTGTGAAGAATACCAGTGGTAAAAACATTATGTTTTCTTGAAAGGACAAGTGTTTGTTTTTTACTTTGGCAGCTCCACACTCCTTTTGACAGTGACACTTATCCTGAACTGCATAAAGTGGTATTACAAATCAAGGGTGGGAACTTGTGGCCCTCCAGATGTTGGACTTCAAATCCCATCAGCCCTTGCCAGCATGCTCAGTAGTTAGGGAAGATGGCAGCTATAGTCTAACAACTTCTGGAAGACCTCAGGTTAGCCACTCTTGCTATAAATCAACCCCCCATCAGGTTAAGTCTACATACAAACCTTCTAAACTGTGTCATCAAAATCTATACATTTCTAAGACTCAGCAACACAAGCTGGTACTAAATGTGCCTTCTTAGTATGAATAAATATTACTTAGACAGGGACAAGAAACTGGAAACTTGAAACTGGAGGCAGGTGCTGGATCCTAATGACTGTCATTCCTCTTCTCTAGAGGTATGATCAGAGAAAAAAGAAAATCAAACCAAGTGGCTATCACCCCACTGCACTTTTGTAACATTCCACCATCTTCTCAGAAAAGGCACTGAGGAGATTTGGGCTTCAGTCTCAGCTCTGCTGCTGGGTTATTGGGCACATTTGAGAATCAGTTCCCCTTTCCCTTATGTAAACGGAGAACACTGTACAGACTAACCGTTGGTGTGTATCTTACTGCTTTTCACCCACCTGCACAGGGAGCCGTATCTTGGACTTTACACTGCTTCCAGCCTCAGTCTCTTCTTCAATTTCAATCTCTTCCCAGTTGGTGGCTGTTGCCAGAATGGATCCAGCTTGACCCTTTAACAACGACTGTGTGAACCCCTGAACCAGGACCTAAGTGTAAAATACAAATAACAGCAGCAGGAGAGCATCAGAACCAATCTTTTTATGCCCAAGTGAGATTTGGGGCCCATAGGTTGTGAGCATGCAACTATCACAGCATCATTTTTCACATATGAAATTTCTGAAAACTGCCATTTGGCATTCTGGCACCATAAGTGTCCTACCAAATTCCATTCCTTCATTTCAAATCCTTTATTTTATTTTAGTACTGTCAGGGGTTCAGGGACAGAGGCACAGGGTAGGCAGGAGATGGAGAGCGATGGGGATGAATCCCAGGACAGCGTGGAAGAGGATGACAATGACTCAAGAGATTCCATGAGTCTTTCCAGTGGATCAGAGGATTCCCAGAAGGGGGCGCCGGTGGTCAAGGCCAGGGGAGCCCCAGGGGGGACGTGTCAGGAGCAGGGGGCCAGCGGGGGATCCCAAAGTGGCAGCTGGGCGTCAGGACCAGCCTCCCCGCCAGAGTGCAGCGAAGGGGGTGGAGGTTCCAGTGTATCAGGGAAGCGGCTCCGGCAGCAGAGAAGGGAGGGAGGTCGGAGCAAGCCACCCTCCCGGAAGGGGAGGGAGTAGTGAAGGGAGTAGTGTAACTGTCAAAAGGAAGGTTAGAGGTTGGGCGCGCGCGCCAAGTTCAAATGTGGAGGCGCGTGGAAGTACAGGGAGCCCGGAGGAGGAGCCAGGTCCCAAAGCCCGCAGGAGGGGGGAAGAGCAAGCTGGGGATTCCGCGTCAGGGGAATCCAGGAGGGGCGAAACCCCAGCGGGCAGGAAGACCCTGCGGAAAAGGAAAGAGAGGAAGAGGTGGAGCAGCGCAAGCCTCTTAAACTGGTGCGGGGGAGGGACTGACTCAGAGGGGACTTCAACGGTCTAAGCGTAACAGACGTGGGGCTGCGCGCCTCGGATGTGAAGCAAAGAATGAACTCCAATAAACACCTTTGTATATAAGAAGAACTTGGCGTTGGTCTTTTGTGAGCTGAGACCTGAGGCAGCCCTGACAAGTACTATTTGTAACAAAATTAATCTGTGAAGCAATTTGTTTGGCCTTAGCATGTTGAGAGGCAGACACGGATATGGAGGGAAGCATGGGAAAAACAGGCATAATCAGCCTTGATTTTAGCCAAATTCTGCTTTGCTATCTGAGCTAAATGTCATGTCACAGCTCTGGTGAGGAAACATGGAAAAGTCAAGATTCTTCATTGCATCTAGTAGGATTCAAGACATTTCTGCACACAAGAGAATACTGCTCAGACATTTTCCTGCCTTTTTACAATCTGTTGCAGATTTCAAACATCTAGTAACAGGGTCCCCACAAACCAAGGGGTGGCAAGGTTTACCTTGCCTGGACCTGATCGGTCCCACAGAGATCTGTCTGTGGGCCGGATCGCACGCACTCCTGCGATTTCTGGCATCTGTGCATGCACAGACATGATTTCCAGCACCGCTGAAGCGAGTCGCTGTGCCAGTTTAGTGCAGTGCGCCGGGACTCGCTGAGCAGGTGGCTCGGTTCTGCGGCAGCTCGTGGGCCAGTTAAATGGCCTCCATGGACCGCTTCCGGCCCAGGGGCCGCACGTTGCTGACCCCTGCCACAAACAAAGAAAGCATTTGTTCTTATGGTAAGGTGGGAGGCATTGGATGCAGTAAAAAAACAAACCAAAGCACAAGAGGAAAGGGATATTCCACCACCTTCAAGATAGAAACTCACTTTAGCAACAGCTGTGCTCCAAATCCGATAGGCAGACAGGCTATCCTTCAGCAGCCGTTCTTTTAATTCTTGCCATTTAGCCTTTATGGGATTCACCTCTTGAGTTTTCCCTTTCCCAACCTTTTTCAAAGGCCAAGGCTCCCTCAGAACACTTTCTGTGTAACCTGATTTACCCAGAATGCACTGCTTCAAATGCGGGCATAACTCCCCCAACGATCGGCAGAGCCGTGCCATGAAGAGAACGGTGTTGATTTTGGGGTTGTGCAAAGCGTCTGCACATCCTTGAAGTACGTCCTGAGCCTGATGCAGCTCTTCCCTAACACAACCCAGCACATAATCCACACAGCCGATGCAGTGGCTGCGCAACAGTTCTTCTACTGTGCCTGCATCAGCAAACCTGTCAAAGGCAGAGTTCCTGGGTTGAACACGCAGAGCATCCTTAGGCAGAGAGAAGTCAGAGGGCAAGTAGGACAGAAGGTCCTCCAACTTGGCCTTCAGCTTGGAATCCAGAGCGCTGCAGAAGCTTTGAACTCGTGGGCTGTGGGCCTGGGCCTTCATGGATAACCCACTCTTGGTGAACTGACTGCGGTTTGCCACACTGATCCAGGCTGCATCGGGTGGCAAGTCATTTGGATTCTCTGACCATAAGAAAGAGGCCATGTTATGTTCAAAAAGCATATGTTTGTTGTGGGCAGATGCATCAACCTTAGCTTCAAGCTCCTGTGCAGACACAACAAGGAGCTCCTTGGAGCTGCTGGAGATGTCATCAAATCCTTCCTTTGTCAGCGTCTGGAAAAGAAAAACTCATTACACAGAGACAAAAGCTGGTCCATCACCACAGACCCAACCAGAAGCATGGGGATGCTTTTAAGATATAGCAGGAAATGGCAGGGTACACACAAACTCCAACATTCAGGTTTTGAGGAATGTCCTTGAGATCTGCCCCCCCTTTAACCCCCAAGGTTCTTCCCAAAGTTCCACTCAAAATTGATGTCAAAGGAACCAATGCACAGTTAAACCAAGTTGGAAAAGTGGTAAGCATAAAAAGTATATTGCTACCAAATATGCAGTCAAATGGGTTTCTGATCTCTAGAAAGTAAATATGAAGATGTATCCAGGTACAAAGGATACATATATTATAATTATATACAATTATTTCAAGAATAATTTCATCCAGCGTGGGTTAGGAGGAAACAGGAGCTTATGGGTGCTTTAGTCTTTTGCTACAAATGATAAGAATCAGATGATAGTTCTATTCTGAACAAAGTTCCCTTTACACATAAAGAGAACCAGTGGAAATTTCCTAATACATCACAAAAATCTCTGAACTAGTCCTACACAGGAGTAGCTATTGTCCAAAACCAAAAAGCTCAATTTCCGTGGCAAATAATATTTTTGCTTAGTTTGTTAACCTTTAAGCTACCTAGCCCAACTGTGACAATATATTACCTGTAATCTGTCCAAGAAAAGCTGTTGTAACAAATCTTCCCAAAAAAAGATGGGTTTGTCAAGGAGTCGGTGACATACTGTCTCCCAGTTCTGACTCATGGACTCACTGGTGAGCAGTTCCCACACAGCATCACGAATTCCAGCCAGACCTTTAAGGCTCTTCACATAAACCAGCAAGTTTGTGATCCCAGATCTGATGTCATCATTGCACCTGAAAGAAATGCTAGATGAGTCGCTGCCTGAAGGGCTCCCTTGGGAGTTACTTTTCCCTGCACAATAATTGCAGAGCCACTACTTCTTCCTGCATAGTAATTAAAAGCTGCATTGAAAAATACTCATCTGCTTACGTGAATTGTGGCCTTTACTGAATCAGGTAAAACAGGGGTCAAACAGGCGCAGCTAGGAGCCAATGTGATGGCAAAGGGTAAAGATAAACTCACACTCTCCCTGAACAAAGGATGATGGGTAGGTGAAGTGTCACAATCTTGTAAATACAGATAAAATTATGAAGAACTCAAAATAGGCACTTATCTTTCACTAGTGTTTTAACACAGCAGTGTTCTCAGGAAGAGAGTTCAAATATATTGAGCCTCCACTTGTGTGGTGACTGGAGCATAAGAGGAAGAGTACCCTTTTAAATTATCATGATGACAAAGAGTATAAATAGAGTTCAAATGTCCACCTTGCAGTGACAGAAAACTAAAGCACAATATTTGGGTGGTAGGGTGGAGCAACTAAAATGACTTTCCATTGCTGCACCTTACCCAGAACTGAAATGGGGCAGGACAAAGACAAGGATGGGACTGTGCAGGTGCACTGACGGGAATGCCGGATTGGCTTCACCTGTAAACCTGTGGACCCCAATCTGACCAAGGTAAGGTACAATGATGCTGAGAAGGCAGCACTACTTGGCTAGTTAGGGCTGTCAGATGGACCAGAATTATCCCAGAGTGAACCCAGAGGCAGCAGGAAGCAAATGAGACCAGCAGAAGGCCATATTCCACAATAGTTAGGGTGCTACGAAATATCTAGGTACACTTTTGAAAGCTGCATCTTTTTCTTAATTTGTTCAATCTATGAAATTCAGGTAATCAGTACCAACCACCAGTGCTTTTTTTCTGGGGGGATGCAGGGGTATGCATACCCCTAAACATTTTGTGAATCTAATGGGAGAAGAAACTGAAAATTTTAAATTTTTAGTTTCTTCTGTAGCATGGTGAATCATCAGTTCCGCTGCTACCCCCGATGGCGACCTCATTTCCTGCCATGATGTTTCCTGAGTCTCAGACGGAATGAGAGTACCCCTAAACATTTTTTTTAGGAAAAAAGCACTGCCAACCACAATGATTTTCACACAAAGAGTTTTACCCAAGCCTACAATGGACCAGGCAATGTGCTTTTCAAGTGGATCATGATGGCAAAGCTAGTTCCTCAGACTCACATATTGATCCATTTCTGAAGTGTATCTCTAAGGTAATCCTGGCTAATAGGATGTGCCAGAGTTCTGAGTGTTGGCTGGAATTCTGCGATGGAAGATGGCAAATATTTGAATGAGCTGCTCAGCTTGGTTTCTTCCTTCAAAGCTGTGATGCCCTTACCTAGGGGAGAAGAGAGGTCAGGCTACTGAGGATTAAACTAGGCCCTGACCAACGATAACATGGTAATTTTGCATAGTCCCTACCAGTTTTGCTGCTCACCTGCTGGATGCTGGCTTGTGATGGTCTCCAGGGTTGAGAAGAGCAAGCCACAGGGAAGAGATGGGTCTGAAGGCATTCCCTCTGGCAGGGAATAGAAGAGGGCATGTGCTTGATACAGGGTTGTGGCTAGCAGCTCCACCAAGGAACAAACTTGCGCTTTAATGCCAGCATCTGGTTAAAAAAAAAAGCCAGTCAATAATAGCAGCCATTTTGCAAGGCAGAAGTATTGTGCTCATAGACAGACACTTTCTTCTGCATTGCAACTGCTGCCCTGGGTTGCAAAGAAAAAAAGTATCATTTGATGGTTAACATATTTCCATTTCCTCAAAATTCAACTGGGGGGGGAGAGAAACAGCAGTTTTAAAATGTTATCCAAACAACAACCACAATTTAAGAAGGATGTTGACAAGCTAGAACATGTGCAGAAGAGGGCAACCAAGATGATCAAGGGTTTGGAAACTAATCTTTATGAGGAGTGTTTGAAGCAGCTGGGTATGTTTAGCTTGGAAAAGAGGAGACTGAGAGGAGATATGATAGCCATTTTCAAATATCTTAAGGACTGTGACATAGAAGAGGGAGCATGCTTGTTTTCTCCTGGAGGGCAGGACTTGAGGCAATGGCTTCAAGTGACAAGAAAGTAGATTTAAGAGTAAACAAGTGGAAAAACCTTCTGAAAGTAAGAGCTGTTCGGCAGTGGAGCAGACTCTCACGAGAGGTAGTCAACTCTCCTTCCTTGGAGGTTTTTTAGCAGTGATTGGATGGCCATCAGTCATGGATGCTTTAGCTGAGATTCCTGCATTGCAGGGAGTTGGACTAGATGACTCTTGTGTCACTTCAAACTCTTAAGATTCTAACTTTAACAATTCTCCCCCCCTAAAACTCAATTTATCTCTAATGCAAACTTAGGTGTTCCTGCAGGCAATAGAATTAAGTGGACATCAGTACTCAATCTAGCGCTGACTCACCTTCATGCAGATGACTTAAGGACTAATCATACTGCTATTATCTCAGCTACCTCTGCTGCTGAGGCTATGAATTTATTTAAGATTTTGACTGAAAGGTTGGAAGACCACTTGAAAACTGAGATCAAGAACAGTGGCTCAAGAAGATTGATCAGATCTTCCAGCTGGTTCGACAAAGAGTGCAAGCAGGCTAAAAGCTAGCTGAAGAGAGATTACCATAAATATAGGAACTCTAATTTACCCCTCTTAATTAATGAATATGTCACCCTCAGACAGAAGTATAAACTGCTGCTAAGATGGAAAAAAACAGGAAGTAGAAAAACACGCTTGGCATATCTTAATAAAGGCCCCTCACTATAAGGACATCTGCCTCTTCTGGCATACAATATCAGGCCTGCTGGAGAATACTTGTAATGTTCCAGTGTGTACTATCAGATGCAATATTATCACTCTATCATGGGCAGGATGATGAGGTCAACCAAAAACCAGAATCTTTGGAAAACTTACCAGACTGGCCTCCAGTATCTATGACTGAGGCCAAGAACCTTAATTTCACAGTTTAAAAATAATAAAGCACCAGGCATAGACTATTTGCCCCCAGAACTGCTGAAATCTAACATCGACTGGTGGGCCTCCCTGCTGGCAGTAATATTTTCACTTATTGATTCATCTGGGTTATTTCCTGAAGTTTGGGCCACAGTGGTAGTCATCCCTACATTCAAAAAAGGCCTTACATCTGATCCGGCTAGTTAATAGACCCTTCTAGTTATTACTTCTACTTTAGGATTAGAAATACCTGAATATTGCTGTGAAATAATCCCAAAACTACAGTAGTCTCAAGTGAACTACTGTTAGTGACTTCTCCAAAGACAAGGCAGATATATAGCCATTACTTTATTAATGGGGTGGGGAAACACTCACATCTCTGAAACCAATAAATTGCCACTGACATTTATTCAGTGTAGGAATAAGTCTGCTTAGTGTCCATCTGATGGAAGAAACAAAGGTTCAGACCAGGAAGTGGCCTGAGATGGTACAGTGATACCTCTGGATACGATTTTAATTCATTCTGGGGGTCCGTGCGCACCCCAAAACATTCGTAACCAGAAGTGCCTGTTCTGTACAGGTGCACGTGGCGGTAGCCTGCTTCTGCGCAGGCGTCAAAAGCCTTCCCATTATTTCTGGGTTTGCCACGTGCGTATCCTGTAGGATACGCAACAAGGGCAGTACGTAACCCGAGGTTACTGTACACTGATTTAGATGAAAATTTCACTTGCACTCACCATGATGGGGCTGATCCAGAAGCTGCTGAATTGCAGACTTCCTGGCCAGCAGGAAGTCAGCAAGAGCCTGGCGTGGAGAACTCCCCTCAAGAAGCATGGCTGAACACAATGCCTCTGCTACGGCTTGGTCCAAAACAGTCTGGCATTTCAGTAGCAACTTGCTCTCATGTAGGATTGTTGACCTAATTGGTAGACGAAGGAGGCACCGTCAAGAGGTGTGCTGTGCAACACTCAATGAAGAAATGTAAAGTTCAAAACAAGAATCAGTGGTGGGAAATGATAGCTTAGAGCTGCATAACATCATAAAGAAAGTGGTAGCTATTTTACTTCTCTTGCCTAACTGAAGGGAGCTTTGGGTGAATAATAACTCGGATCTATGTTAATAGACTAAAAAGTGATATTAAAGCTATTATGCTGTGGATGCAAACCCCTTTCATCAGCGTGGCTAGGACCAATTCCAGTTTGCTCCTCTCTTCCTAGAATTGCCTTCAGCAGCAGCCATTCCAATTGGCCACATATTAGAAAAGGGCAAGTTAGTAAAAGCGTCATACACCATCAGCTCAGCTGGTCCCTCTTCCCAAAACTGTTTCCTGCAGTGACCATGCTGCCTGGTAATTATGTAACTCCATTATGTACAGTATGAAAGAGATGGCACTCAACTGCACAATCCTGTTCAGAAGTAAGTCCCACTTAATTCTTGGAGCTTACTCAAAGGCAAATGGGTACAGAACTGCAGCAGGTATATGCTTATCTTCCTTTTCACTCTATTTTTTTATTTTCTTTTTTAAAATATGTCTGTTAGATTTTTTTAAACCATCACTATATCCAACATTTTTAGTGCTTTGGCAGGAAAGTGGCATATGTGGAGTACGCATTTCATAAAGCCAACAGCAATAAGGGTCAGAGATAGACCTAAATATAATGTACAGTCCCAAAGGTTCCTGATCTTCTTCCTTCTCCCAAAAGTATTAGATAAAATAAAACCTAAACAAAGAACACCAATCTAGATGGACAACCAAATCTAACACAGCATACTAATTTTAGGCTTATCATCAATCCTCCGAGGGAACGCATTACAACCAGCAGAATGACCTGAAGCAAGTGTCTAGAGTGGATGCAATCCATTTAGAAGATTGTGTGTGTATGTGTATGTGTGTGTGTGTGTGTGTGTGTGTGTGTGTGTGTGTGTGTAAAGTAAGCAATCAATATTCATGTGAAATGTCCAACTCAAACATCAGGGAAGTTTTAATAAATGGCTCTGGTGCAACCAAAACAAACTTCTCCCAGATTCTACAGTAATTTGCATGCATAACATAATCCAAAAGCTAGGGCTAAGCAATACATATCTCCAGATAGTCTCCGCAATGGAGTCAATCATATTTTCGACTTAGCCATAAGGCAGAGGAGCTGTTGCAGAAACTGACTGGAGCTGCAGCTTCTAAACCAGAAATGTGTATGTACCCATTTACTCACACACCTGCTTCTGTTGCAATGTCAGAACTTTTGGCAGCCCTCGGGAGCCTATCCAATCACCAACAAACACTTGGTTCAGTTTTCCGTAAGGAAAGCAAGAGATAGAACTGAACACATCCAAGAGACTAATTTTTCAGGGGCAACTCGGGAAACAATTTGAATATTGTTTAATTTTTTGAACTCTCTACTTCCTTGTAGAGGTTCAACAGCCAAGCTATGCAGCTTAAGTATACACTCACCTTAAGCATACTCTCATCGCCGCTGGGTTTTAAAGTTTTAAGAACTGCACCCATTTATTGCTTGTCATAAATCCTTCACAACAATGGGTGGTAGAAATCAGATAGTAGAGATTCTCAGAATATTATGGAAACTGACAGATTTGCAGTTAAAATACCTTATTCTGTGCTTAGTGACAAAACTGCAGGACTATAGTTCTCTAAGCTACTTAGCATCATCTTTTGTGTCTCTGATACCATTTCTAAGTCCAAGTTCTTGGGAGAGGAAGGCCTACTGTTCAAAATAAGCCTTTTAAAATTAATATTAACATTTTTATCTCACTTTCCACAAAGGCACGCAAAGCAGCTAACAAACCCCAACAGCATTTGCGGTAACATTTCACAGCAACTAAAACATTCTAGCTGTTTTCGAGGGCAGCCCTGTAGTTAAGTGTGTTACTGTAATCCAATCATGATGCAGCTAATGCATCACAGCAACAAGATGAGCAAAGCTAGAAGAAGAAGAAATTGGCTGGCTACTTACCGGAAATGGCTAGCTGCAGCTACTTGTCGTGCAAGGATAGGAAAACGTGCCAGAATTGGGCTGTAGCTGGTGCCAGAAGAATCCAGCTGCAGGAGGCGCTGGAGGTGGCAGCATAGCAGGTACAACTGGGTGGCATATAAGTACTGAGAGGATTCCATAGCACTCCAGATTTTCTCAGGAATCTGCAGTAGTAGTTGGATCTGTGCTGCCAAACAGTAGAACTTCTCCTGTGACTGGCGTACTGCCTAGGTAGGGAAAAATAAGTGCACCCTATGAAATAAATTGATGCACATACAGAAACTACTGGAGCATGGATTGAAAGCGTTTTGAAAAAGAGGAGATGTTGCTAGCATATATTCAGAATTATAGTTCATATAACTATATGCCACAGGGTTTGTTATATTAAGTGCACAGTTTACCCATGTTTACTAACTCAAAAAGGACAAAAGATTCCCGCAGGAGCTGTACTAGTAGATAAGCAACGTGGGTAGCTAGCTACTTATAAGAAAGTTTATAATACGATCATGGAGGTTAAGGTATAAGTTAACATAACACATATCAGTTCTCTTTGCTACAGGGGCAAAAGTAGGCTTTATTTCACTGGGAACAAAGACCCAGTTTGGCACACAAACGCCACATATTTGCAAATGCACAAACACAGGCTGGAAGCCTCAATGGTGCCCTTCTGGAGGCTTCACCCAGGGCAAAAAACCCAGCTAGTTCCCACCTCTGTTTTGCTTTATTGGCTCTGCTTTGCTTTATTAATCTTTTACTTTGGAACGCTTACCCAGGAGCTCACCCATCAAAACACTGATCAGACTAACTCACTTTTCAAGTTTTAAATGATGTAACAGCTTCGCATTACCCAGATCATTTTCTGAATGATTCCAGTGCTATTTTTCTGGGGAAAAAGGTGCCAGAACTCACCACAAACACCTCCCTTGTTCATTTACGAATGGCAATGGCACCCACCTGAGAGGTGCTAGAACTGAGTTCTGGCTGGAAAAAAAAGCCCTGCCTGAACCTGTAAGCGCACTTACGTCTTCTCCTGCTTCCTCAATACATTTTGATGGGTAGAATGTCTCTAACTAGCAAAGTTAATTGTTAATTAACTGGGGGGGGGGGGAGAGAGACAAAGGAAACCCCAGGCAGACCCAAGTTTGGGAAACACTGCTTTAAACAACATAACAGCTTCACATTGCCCCAGATAATTTCCTGAACCACCTGTAATGCACTTACACCTTCTCCTGCTTCCTCATTTAGGGTAGGAAGCTTCTAATGAACAAAGGCAATCGTTAATTAATTGGGGGAACCGCCCCCCCAGCGGGTAGTCTAGTGTTTCTCAAACCTGAGTCCCCAGCAGTTGTTGAGACTGCAACTCCCATCCTCCCTAGCCAGCAGGTCAGGGGTAGTAGGAGTTGTAGTCCAAAAACAGCAGGGTGTAGCCATGTCCTCCTTGTGGGGTGTGTATGTGTGTATATATGCATATATGTGTGTGTGTGTGCGCGTGTGTACACACACACACACACACACACACACACAAACACAAACATACATATAAACACACACACACACACACACACACACACACGTGTGTTTTTATATATATATATATATATATATATATAAAACCGTGACACCCCCATTCAACAACTTTGGTGTATCCCCTTTATAAAAACAAAAAAGCTCAGCAACTTTGCCTGCAAACCTCCCACCACCACCCCGAACCAAAAAATAAATAAATCCATGAGATTGGGAAGCACTGCATTAAACGACGTAATGGGTTCCCAATCACCTCAGACCATTTCCTGAACCTGTGATGCACTTACGGGAGTCGTAGTCCACCCACAGCAGCTGGCGGGAGCCAGGTTTAAAACACCCCCCCCCCGCCGCGCCCCTCAGCAAGCCCCCACCTCAACCGCCGGCCTCCGCGCGGCGGGCTGGCCGTTATGAGGGGCGCCGCCCCCTCCGGCGCGTCCCTTGGCCCGCCGCTGCTGCAGCCCCCGCACGGCCTCCACGAGGTGCTCGGCGCTGAGCCGCATCTCGGCAATGGTGTCGGCCGCCTCGATGAGGTCCCGGTAGCGCTCGCCGACCATCTGCCGGAGCTCCTCCCGTTTGCCCTCGATGCCCGCGCGGACCTGCCGCTCCACGGCCCTCAGCTCCGCCACCGCGTGCGCCTCGAAGAGCGACTCGGCCGCCCCCGGGCCGCCCCGCTTCAGGGCGTCCAGCGCCGCCGCCTCGGCAGACGCCGTCGCCGCCATCGCCGTCGTCCCGCCGCCGCCTTTCCCTCAACCGGAACGGGCCGCGTCGCCTCCCGCCTCCCACCTCTGACGTGTCAACGTTCGCCATCTTTGACAGGGGCAAGGGCGCTTCTCGGCCCGGAAGGGCAGGCGAGATTTCCACTAGTTCAGCCTCGCGGGCGCCATCTTTGTGTAGGGCAGAGTCGTTGTCTCTCGGCTCTTAAAGGGAACCGAGCGTCTTCCGAACTCAATATTATTTCGTCTGTAGATGAAACTGTAGACGAGGCACAGATAAAAATCTGCAAAACAAGATATATATATTTTTTAAAAATAAAATTTTATTTCATAAATGTTAAAAAAAAATCCTTAAATTTATGCACCACTTAAAAGGACCCCAAAGCGGTTTACAGAAAAGATAAAGCAGTGAAATCAAGAAAGAGTCACAACCATGCTTTAAAACATACAATAAGGTAAAATACTAAAACAAATCGAGTCACCTTTCTAAGCATATAGGTAAGGCCTGTCTAAACAGGAATGTTTTAGTAGTGTTTAGCTTTGTCTTGTATCTGAAGACAATAAACACTTTGTTACTTAGAACTGTGTGGGAGAGGTTTGCCTTAACTGGAGAAGAAACCTTTTCTGCTGGGAGCAGGAAACCTCTGAAGACTTTTCCAGGGCTCTTTATACTCTGCTGATGCATCAATGCACTACCTGAGGTGACTTATGGACTCACTGTTAAGTTAGTGTTCATGGAAGACAATCATACTCCTATACAAGCGATTGCCAAAGAAGAAGAGAAAAATGAACTACCAGCCGACTTCTACAAGCACCCAGCGGTGACATAGCATGCAAAGAGCCCATTAAATACTGACAAGGTGCAATGGAAGCAGGATAGCTAGAACCCTGAACACAAGCATTCCATGCTTCAACCTTTTGTTGCAGTTTCCACTTGTAACCTAAATTGACCAGACCAGAGGTTGACAACCTAAGGCCCATGGGCCGCTTCTGGCCCATGAGCTTCCTGGAACTGGCCCACGGCCATTCCATGGATCGGCATGGGGATTCTGTGTTTTTCCCCCCCATGGCACCATTTTTTCCCTCACTGCAGGGACCGACTTCCAGGTCGGAAGAGCGCCGATGGAGGAGCCGGAAATAGCTTGAGCGCATGCACGGGCACACACGCTCCAGCCCACTGAGAGGTCTGCTGGGGAGTGGACCAGATCGGCCTCAGAAAACGTTGCCGACCCCTCGACCACACCCTTCTACAGTGGTACCTCGGGTTAAGAACTTAATTCATTCTGGAGGTCCGTTCTTAACCTGAAACTGTTCTTAACCTGAAGCACTACTTTAGCTAATGGGGCCTCCCGCTGCTGCTGCGCGATTTCTGTTCTCATCCTGAAGCAAAGTTCTTAACCCGAGGTACTATTTCTGGGTTAGCAGAGTGTGTAACCTGAAGCGTCTGTAACACAAGGTAAAGGTACCCCTGACCATTAGGTCCAGTCGTGGCCGACTCTCGCTTTATTGGCCGTGGGAGCCGGTGTACAGCTTCCGGGTCATGTGGCCAGCATGACTAAGCCGCTTCTGGCAAAGCAGAGCAGCACACAGAAACACCGTTTACCTTCCCACCGGAGCGGTACCTATTTATCTACTTGCACTTGATGTGCTTTCGAACTGCTAGGTTGGCAGGAGCAGGGACCAAACAATCGGAGCTCACCCCGTCACGGGGATTCAAACAGCCGACATTCTGATCGGCAAGTCCTAGGCTCTGTGGTTTAACCCACAGCGCCACCCGCTGTACCACTGTATTAAAAGCTGCTCTCTTTATAGAGTGAAAAGTAAAGAAAGGTTATGAGTGAGCATATACCGTAGGACTTACCACGGTCATACAACCTCTAGCAGAGGCCAAAGAACCATTTAACACAACAGCATCCTGCTTCCCTCAGTTGCTAAGCAGATCCCAGCAAGAAGCCCACCAGCAATGCTTAAAGTTAATAGCACTTTCCACAGCTGAACCCAAGCAACTCAATATTCAGAGGCAAAATGCCTCCCTATAAAGCTGATAGCTATTGATAGTCCCACCCCACCCCCTCAGTATGGATCTGGCTGGTCTCCTTTTACAGCTGATGGTCCACAGCACTTCTTGTGACAGTGAATTCCACAAACTACATTGTGTGCAGGAAAGCATTGCTTCCAACTGAAGCAACATGCAATACTTGGCTAAGCCATTAGATGGAGATACGTTCACAGGCATTTAACCAGCCTGCAAAATGCATCATGTATTTTAAATTGGTTTATTTTATTTTTTTATTTTATTTTTAATTGTAATTTTACTGGTGTTAGCCGCCCTGAACCCGGCTCTGGCCGGGGAGGGTGGGGTATAAATAAATAAAAAATATTATTATTATTATTATTACTATTATTTATCATGTCCTCCAAAAAGTATTTTAAAAAAAAAGAAAAATATTTAGCTCTCTCCTCCTCCTCCTCCTCCTCCACCACCACCACCCCATCAATTGGCAGATAATGTAATAGCTTTGCTTTCCCCTGAAGATGTTATGTTGTATACCGAAACAATGAGGTTGAATGTATAAAAGTTTCACGACAATATCAAAAGGCAGAGGAAATTTTACAGACGGCTGAAACATAAAAGATAGGCGGGTAAGGAAGAGGTTAGGAAATTTAAACGAGATTAAAAACATATATACGAAACTGTTCAAGCAACTTTTTATTGAGTGACATGCATGAACACAGTAAAATATAAGTAGTGTTGTATGCTCAAAACAATCTGGATCGAAAGCTGCAGGACTTAAAATGTGGAGGCATCCCCTTCAGTTTGCACAAACACATTTCTGAGTATGAACGAAGGGTCAATGCTCACCCGCCTTCAAATGAAGGCTTCTCACAGGGCTATTGTTAAGGCAACTGCTTTGCACCAATCTCTCGCTGTTAGGTTATTTAGAATCACATTGCGAAAGCAAAAAAGCATTTCTACATCCTTTCCCGTGGCTTGCAAAGAACAAGCATCCATTATGCTTAATGAATCTCACCCATGAAGGGGGTATGCATTAATAGACTGAAAGCTATTCTGCTTTCTGCAAACAGCGAAGCAACTAGCAGTGTCAGGGTGTGTTTTTGGAGCCCTTGCTGCATTCTGCACAGGCAGCTGCAGAGGGACGGTGAGGATGAGCAAGCACCCCTCTCCCAGACCAGTAGCTTGCCCTCAGTCATCTCTCCCAGTTCTTGGACCCTTATATTTCCTCGAAGAAAATACCCTTTTACGTACTAGAAGTGCTTTTCTTTATTGGGTCAAGGACCTGTAGCCCCCTAGACATTGCTGGACTCCAGTTCCCAGCAGCCTCAGCCAACATGGCCTATGGTCAGTGATGATGAGAGCTGAAGTCCAACAACTGATGGAGGGCAACAGGTTCCACAACCTTGATCTATTCATGCAAACAGAGATCCTCTGGAACTTATTTCCCGGTCACATCCACACCACTTGGAGGGTATGCACTTTGAATTGTGCTTGGAAACGTACTGGGAGCCAGTGAAGATCCTTTAGGACCAGTGTTGTATGGTCCCGGCAGCTGCCCCCCGTTGCCAATCTAGCAGCTGGATTCTGGATTAATTGCAGTTTTCGAGTCACCTTCAAAGGTAGCCCCACGTAGAATGTGCTGCAGTAGTCCAAGCAGGAGAAAACCAGAGCATGTACCACCCTGGTGAGACAGTGGGCAGGAAGGCAGGGTCTCCTGGCTTCTTCTCACTCCAAGGCTGTATTCCTGGCCTCCTTTGCAAGAAGTAGTTGTGTTTTCTAAAGAAATACATCCATGCTGTGTCTGCTTAATTTGAGCCTCAAGGAGATGTTTGTTTATGGGGTCTCTTTTGTCTGAAAGGCCTTTTCCTTATTGTGATTTCAATCTTGGTGGTTAATATTTAAAACATAAAAAGTATATCATCGGCCTATGTCAATTAGACTTATTTCAGGGGGAAGTGTGCATAAGATAAGAGTATTAATGTTAAATAATATCTCTTTCAGAAATTGAACATGCGAGACACAACCCACCCACCAAGAAATGTTCTTTACTTTTCCTGGATATCCCTTTTTCTCTCTCCCTGTTGCCATCATGAGCATTATATGAAGGGTTAAAATGTATTGATTCAGCAAAGAAGTGCCTCTCCTATCAGGTTTTATTTTCATCCATGAGATTTCCTGGAAGGAACCTCTTGAATTAGGGCACAGATGTTCTAGTTAGACACTTGTGTTAATGCAATGATTGATCCTGCCTCAGACAGCGAGAGCACGAGCAATGTAACAAGTGTTCAGTGAATTTCCCCAATGTGTGGCTTAACAAGTTCGTGCTTCTGGTTATATGATGCCTGACAGAGACTGGAAGTTTTCGTATGCCCCCCAGAAACACAAAGATTCCAATACAAATGTCTCATTTTATCAGCAGAAAGAACAGTATCCTTACATTTACGTGGTTGTAAGTCTTACTGTGTTCAATGGGGTTTCGGTTTAGGCTGCAAAACTCTCAAGCAAAATTCCCACATGGTTGGTTTTTTTAAAAAACACACCTTTCGGTGCACATTCTAAAAGGGAAAATTGCTTTTTAAAAATTGGGCACGGATGCTACTCACGGGTATTACTGGATGACAGCCAATATATAAAGTGCCAGGGATGTTCTGGTTCAGGCAAGACAACTCCTAGGGATTGAGGAAGTTTCGGTCCCCCTCAAGTATTTCTTTTTCTTTTGAGAGGGCAGAGCGGCGTCAATATTCAGGGAGCATTCGACTCCACCCCCTGGACCTTCACAGCGTGTGCACATGATGTCATGACGTCACACGGTGTGACACGCATGATGTCATGACATCGTGCGGCATCACACACAGGCTCCCTCAAACCTCTTTAAGAAGATGGCGTCTCTGTTCTGGTTGCAGATTAATACCTTTTCATTATATATTTTCTGGGCTTTTTTCCACTCCAAACAATAGTTCAGAGTATAGTTCTTTGTTTTTCTCCACAAATAAATCCTATGGATAGATTCAGTGCATAAAGAGTAAGCTGTAAGACAGTGATAATAAGAAACAGAGAAATTATTGTTTCCTTCCTTCTTCCTTCCTTCCTCTTGACATGAGGTGAAACAATACATATATCAGCATCTCTGCATATTTAACTAAAACCCAGTGATCTTTGAAGCTACCAGGAGTAACCAGTTTGTTTATTTTCTTCCATTTGATATATCCCACCTTGCCTCCATTGTGGAAACCAAGATGGCATACATGGGATTCCCAGGTGGTCACCCACTCAAGGCCTTCATATTATTGTCATGTGTATTTTATACCATACTGTGAGTTTGTTGGTTCCCCCTGACATTTAGTTTTAAAAAGCCAGTTACACAAATGTTAATTGTGTGATGTGCGTTTCATCTAGTTTGGTCCTCAGTAAGATAGTGAGACACTACATATTTCCATCGGTGCATGGAGAATGGCATTCTCCAAGCTCAGCATTTTGGATACTGCCTGTGTTTGAAACCCCCATTGTTCTAGGCACATTTTGCGACAGGGAATTTCATTAGCGCAAGCGGTTTCTGAGCTCTGGGTGCAGTACTGCGCCTAAGATTTCACATTAAAACTGCAGAGTGGAAGGAAGAAAGGACATTTTCTCTGCCTCCCCATTTCCAACTACTATCTGAAGACTGGAAGAGAGACCCTCTTAAGAATATTAGGGGGGTGGGTGGGCAGGGGAAGGACTAGACCATGTGAAAAATGAACATAATATTTTAGCTGCAGTTCATTCATCACCATGGTCCCAAGTGACTTCCTTTTCACTGGATGAAATTTTTAGCTTTGTATTCTTGTTATAAAAAAACACACCTAGACATTCTGTTGTGGCACCCATAACCTAGGTTTAAGGTGTCATTTAGCTCCTAGCTTTATCTGTTTCTAACACTGGAGACTACAGAGATTTCTCTTTCCAGCCATTTTTCCACAGAACATTAACCTTCAAAAAGTCCCAAGATGGAAAGCTTAGAAAGAATTCCCACAAAACATTGTTCTCGTGACCCTTGCCCCCAAACTTTTAGGAAACCATCCCTCCAGTGTGCAACTGCAAATATTATCAACATTTCTGTTACATTATTAAAGACAAATCACTATCATTCATGAGTTTCTTGACTACAAAAAAGCCAGAACCAGCACAATTGCATGCTCTATTCCCCAAAGGGTCCAAAGGATTGGGGGGGGGGGAGAGCAGAGTGCTGTGGCTGTTCAAAGATTGACTAGCATACTGCAATATAAGTGCACAGACTTACATCAGGTGGATGAGGCACACTACAAAATAGGCTGCTACCTATGAACCTTTCTGCAACAATTACCAGTTAAACTCTAATGTACCAGTCATTTGGGTTAGTACAGACTTTGCATGACGAGCAATCTTCTAAACATTTCTTCATACCAAAAGGATTAAACCATGCTAGGGGAGAATATACTTTTCTGAGAATGTCTGCAACTTACCACAATGTTTTTGGGTGCTTCCAGATAGGTGTTTAGTGTGGGATGTGTGCTCCTCATGGATGCAATTTTTCCCCACAAGTGCACACATGGTGTTGTTGGCATTAACATTTCCCCCCATTTAATCCAGATTTATCCTTTCCAAGGGAAACCCAGCATGTTTTGGGGGGGACGACAACAACAACCCAACCTACTGCTAGTTACCTATTTGCAATATCTAAATTACCCGCACTATTAAGCCCTCACCCAGGAAGCACAGTAGTTGCTGTGGCCCCAAGTAACTTTCTTTTCACTGGATGTAATCAAGTCCATAGGATTTTGAAAGAAAATTCAGGCATTGTTGTTAAAGATCCTTAAAATGGAGGAAAATGACTCTGATTCACACCACTTTATTAGAAAAAAAACCACAGGATCTTTTTGTAAAACAGACATAGATCATTCACAATTTTATTTCCAGCCAGCTTTGATCTTCCATTGTCTACAGAAAAGTTTACATAAAGGAGGGCCCCCTTGCAGAAGCGAGGTTTCACCCCCCAGGACATCTTATAAAAGTACATATCCAAAGAGAACAAATTGAAATCAAGCAGGTGTAGGAAAGTCATTTGTAACTCTGGTGTCACAGTTTTAGAGGTTATAGCATATAATACAGCAAGCACACATACAATACACATGAGAAACATAAATATTTATACATGTCGTGTGGGTTACATGACTGGGTACAACTTCAATACTGCGTGAATCAGTGTTCAGTATGCATCAGAGGCTAGTACCTTAATCCTAAATATATAATCCCATTTCTCTCAGCGGTGCTTCGTTCCAAAAAACAAATGTTTGGGGGCCAGAGTGAAAGTGCACTCTTAGACATCATTAATCCAGTCCTTGTGTTAGCCTGAAACACTATATTACAAAAAGGTAGATTCTGCATAATGGTTAAGGGAAACTACAAGGCGTTCACCTATGGCAGGCGTTCCCAAACTGTAGTTTGTGGACCATCACTGGTCTGTGAGCTTCACTCATGTGGTCCAAAGCATATCTGCGGATTTGTGGTTGAAGGCAGGAAACAGCGCATCCATCACATTTAATGTACTGATTTTTGATTGTATTTGTATTGTTTCATTCCTATATTCCATGGAATGCAAATTGTAATGAAATAAAAAATTGGTAAGAAATAAAGGAAGCAATAAAAATACAATTAAAAATCATGCAGCATCTAGTAGAGCTCATTACAAGTGCTACAACAAGTAGAAAGATTACCAAGTGGCTCACCAAGACCCTTCGCGATTTCCAAGTGGTGCTTGGAGGGGGAAAAACGTAGGGGAACCACTGAGCTATGCTATAAGGTAAGTCCAGTCAAAGGTGAGCTTGAGAGATGTGGCACTCATCTTGTTTTGCTATGGAATAAATGCCAACAAGGTGTGATGAAATTATGTCTGATCAGATTATGCTTGGATGCTGATGGCGTGGGAGGGAGAACTTGACTCTGTGTTTCCTTTCAAGCATGTTTCTTACTTGCTTAAGGTGCATGTCAAAAACCATGACCAAGACCCAGTAAGACACATTGTAAAGTTACTCCAGTTCCCTTCATAAGGCCTTCTCAGCATTAAGACTTCAAACGATGCACATTCAGTTTGCCAAGAGGGGCCGCTGCAGCCAGCCACCGTAAGGTTCCATCACATCAGCAATTATGCATATATGAATCACAGACCTCAGAAAATTATGCTATTCAATTACATTGCTCCACCAGTGCTGTGCTTGGAAGGAAATTTATATCTGAACTGTTGATCTGTATGCCGATTTTTTGTGTGTGATCCATCTAGAGCAGAACCACTATATAACAACCAAGAGAAATGGAGAGTTTTAAAAAAATAATAATGCAGCACTAAAGCAAAAAGGAGAAAGCCTGAAGGAACAAACGCCACGAATTGACAAGAAATCCATTTGTATTAATATGTATTGCTAAAGCCCCCCTGAAGGAAATTACTTGAGTTTTATTGTTGTTTTGTGACTTTGTAATGGCTTGTTGATTAAACAATCAATCATCTGATGGCAATGATAAAGAAGCCGTTTGCTGTTCTATAGTCTGGGAGTTATATATAAGCTTTGGACTAACGTCTTGATTCATGTATGCCAGTCTTGATGAACCAAATAGCTGTGTGTCCCTGTGGAAGTTTGGTTCTGAATGGAGACCAAAGCCAGCACACAGTATTATGGATCTCAACATATCTCTTAAACTGTCCATTTCCAAGGCGGGGCTGGACTTGTACCCTACCATGAGGTCAAAATAAATTATCTCCAGATTATTAGTATGTCCCCCTACATGACAACCAAAACAACAGAAAGCCCGATCTAAATTTGCACTGTACATTTAATCACCTCTCATTTCGGGCTATTGTACAACCAATTGCAGGATGACATGGGGAGATCATCATGTTTCTCCTTCCAGAGTGAGGAGGTGGGTTTAATGAACAGGAATGGAACAACCCCAACTATTCTGGGTTTCTCAGTGGGGTATAAGTTGTTTTCCCTGTCTCTTCTTGCTTTGCAAGCTATTACTGTGCAGGTGGCATTTTATATGGCGGCATATCATAGATCCGTACAAAAGGTTTCCTCTCTGAAGTGGCCAGAACTGCTGGAAATGATCAGACAGAGGCTTAAGACTATAACCCAACAGGTCTCTTTTATGAGCAGTTCACATTATAATAGGAAGGAACTGAGATAGCCAGACCAAGTTGCCCAGAGGACAGCTACGGCCTGTTGTCCATTGATTATCCAGTTCCTAAAACCAGTTTGCCCCAATGCCAAAGGCTTGAGTGGAAGAGTGCAATGCATTATGGCAGGAGCCTTGCTTACAATCACTTCTATCCAAAGTGCACTTACAGGGTCTTTCCTACTACAACTCCTGCTCTGTGGAACCAGAGTCCCACTGGGCCAGCATTCATACCAGTTCACCTGCACTGACCCTTGCTAAGACATTTGAATGTGTTGCTTAAAGACCATTGTTGTTGACATCCATCTGTCTCAAGAAACAATGGAGTGCGCCTCCAGGGGTGAAGTCAAACTGCTGCGTTAGCAGCACTCAACTGACCTCCCTGGGGTGCAAGCCTGGGGCATGTGTATGGAAGTCCTGGGCTGCCTAGATGGCAAGAGCCTCTTCTCAGCCTCGCTGATGTGGTCCAAAGGAAAGCTGAGCAATATGTTTGGCACCAACATGGCTGCAGGAGTTGCTGGAAGGAAACGTACAAGGCGCCATCCAGCTGTCTTAGGGACTCTACTCTGGATTTGTGTAGGGTTTGCTTCTTAGCCTTCTTCTACTGAGGGCCCTATATTGGGTGGGGAGGAGAGAATACAGCTATGAATAGAGATAGATGGATCTGTCAATTTTGGTTTCTCTCAGTTTCATGTATTATTTTCCTAATCTTAAGTTCAGTTCTCCATGTTTCCACATCAGTTTGTGATTATTATTTTTTAGCCTTCATAAAATCTCACCAGCATTTTAGTGTCGATTTCTCCTAATATACACAATCAAGTTTGCTTAATGGGCACACTTTTGCAAAGCACTTCTCCCTAATATAGTGCAATTTCATACGCTGTGTTGACTGATATACAATTTTTTAATTTATACAGTAGTATGTGCATTTATCTAATTTTTAAAATCAGATTAGTTGGCTGGAGAACTGCAGACAAGTGTGAATTTCAAAGGCTGGCTGGCTGTGCTTTGGTTCACACGTTGCTTCAGAAAGTGTGAATTAGAAGGTTCATCCTTGAACTGAATCAAACTTCCCTCCCATCCCTAGCTACTTCCACTACTAATTGACAATCATAGATATGCTGCCAACAGTGTGTTTGTTAGGTGTTGCGCTGACACGGGACCAGCCAGAGGCTTACAGCAGGGGTCAGCAAAGTTTTTCAGCAGGGGGCCGGTCCACTGTCCCTCAGACCTTGTGGGGGGCCGGACTATATTTTGAAGGGGGGAAAATGAATGAATTCCTATGCCCCACAAATAACCCAGAGATGCATTTTAAATAAAAGGACACATTCTACTAATGTAAAAACACACTGATTCCCGGAACGTCTGCGGGCTGGATTTAGAAGGCGATTGGGCCGGATCCAACCCCCCGGCCTTAGTTTGCCTACCCATGGCTTACAGTCTGAGCTATGCAGGTGAAACAGGAGAGGTCAGGGGCTGAAAAGGAAGCTGTGGGGTGGGTTACAAATCAGATAGCAGCGAAGAAGAAGAAAGCAGGGTTCAGAAGCATGAAATGGCAGGTAGCAGCATTTGAACATCCCTACAGGAGAGAGAATAAAACTATTCACTGATGAGCAGAAAGAGACCAGATGTTACCTGGTCCCTTTGCCCTGCAATATGCCTGGAGCCAGATGCAGATCACAAAAGCAAAGGAACTGGTTCCCCACCCCCCAGTGAAATGTGTATGCATCTTTAGGTAATACATGGTGTTGCCATGGATACACATTCCTCTGATCAGACCATATAGTTACGCACCCCCTTTACATGCAGCATGTGACGAGAAGCACAATATAAAAAGCACAGGCCTAACAATGCTGGTTGAGACTACAGATCTGCAATCTAAACAAAATAATAATAAAACAAAGTAATATCTGTTGTGGCGTGCTGAGTCTTGAGGCTCTTTCTGCAGCACTTTGAAACAGACAGTAATTTCGTTCTGCCCAAGCGCAGAACCCATACTTTAGCTGCAGAAAAGTGGTAGATCATCTGCTTTTGTTTGCAGGAGGTCAAAGGTTCAACTCCTGGCATGGCATCTCCAGATAAGAGATGGGAGAGAGCCCTGCCTGAAACCTTGGGAGAGCCGTTGCTGGAGAAAGGATGGATAATACTGAGCCAGATACACCCTTGGCCTGACTCTGCGTAAGGCATTTCTATACCCCAATGTATAAGCCTACGCTTTCCAGGAAACAAGTCTACAATGAAGAGAAGAAGAAGAGTTTGGATTTGATATCCCGCTTTATCACTACCCTAAGAAGTCTCAAAGCGGCTCACAATCTCCTGTTCCCTTCCTCCCCCACAACAAACACTCTGTGAGGTGAGTGGGGCTGAGAGACTTCAGAGAAGTGTGACTAGCCCAAGGTCACCCAGCAGCTGCATGTGGAGGAGCGGGGAAGCGAACCCGGTTCACCAGATTACGAGTCCACTGCTCTTAACCACTGCACCACCACACTGGCTCAAGAAAAGAGGTGCACTGGCTCAAGGTGAGAAGTGGCAACCGAGAAAGCCAATCAAAAACTCAGAAAAGGTATGGGTAGTCAGCAAGAAAGAGGACTGCTGTCCTGAGATGATCAACGTTTTAGCTTGTGCAACATATTACGGTGAAAGCGGCAGGGCAGCCTGGGCATCGTTCACTGGGAGGGGCCATATACAGTGGCTCAGTAGTAGAGAACATGCAGAATGTCCCAGGTTCAAACCTATCCATCTCTCCTTGTGTGGGGTTTTTTAACGGATCAGGCAAACAGGTGGCATGACAGCCCTGGCTCTGAGATCTTCTACCACTCAGAATAGACCATCCTGGACCAGATGGTCAAATAGTCCGGACTGGCACAGCTTCCTATGCTCAGCTGGCGTGCCCTACGAAAACAGGAATAAATCCATTCATCTCCATCTTTTCCTCTCACCTCCCTCTCCCTCCAGATCACGGACATTGTACACAGAAAAGTTTTCAAAAGCTTTCCAGGGAGAAGGGAGGGTTTTTAACTAATGCCATGGCCAAAGATAGGCAGTGTGTTGCTGCACTAAAACTCTCATCAGCTGAACTTTTGGGTTTTTGCCACAAAAAGCTTACTACAACAGAGCATAATGTGCACTTGTTTACGGTGCACCAGAGGCATTGTCAAACTGTCTCTGCTGCACTTAACTTCACCCTGATAGCTCTGCAGAAGAGGGCTTTGGCTGGTAGCTGGGAGGAATGATGCAGCTAAGGTTAATCACTTTTAAATCCTATTGGTTTTAGTTGAAGAGAGGTAAACTTGCACTTAGCACTGAAATCACTTTGTTTTAAAGCAGTCATTTGCGAATGAATAAACTGAAATTATTATCTGGGGACATCTAAGTAGCCAGGTGTCTAGCAGGACACTGGGAGGCGTCACACAAATCAGTTTGTTTTTCTTTCATTTTCGAACTTTGAAAGAGGAAAAGAGAGAAAAGTAAGCTGGAACCAAACAAATGTTTTATTCCAATGTGTCTCTTTCAGGCTTATCTGGATGCATTGACCACTAAGTTATCTTTCTAGTCTAGAAAACAAATTTGGTGAGAACAAGCTAAAATCAGCTAGCAGTTTTCAGATGTTTAAAAGGTTCTTAGAAAAGGAGATGGAAATCAGCTGCTCACTTATCCACCAAGGATAGGACTAGAACCATTGGTTTTCAACTACAAAAAGAGAGATTCAAACCCAACAACTGAGGTTCCATTAGATCCAGGAATGCTGAACTTCTTCCAAGGTGCCCTGGCAAAAGCTGCAGGATTCCTTTCTTTCAGGTTTCCAAGAAAAAGTTGGCCAAGAATCTGATAGAGACGCTTTATAAATATATTCTTAAATAGACTATAAATATATAGAATAAATATATTTACCTTAAATACATTCTATGCAGAATATAAATATGTAAAATGAATATATTCATGTCCTGTTTGAACAACATATTGGATGAGAATATCCATGGGGTCTGTTAACACTATAATCTGAAAATTATATAAAGGTTTAGTTTAAACTTTAACAGGTGGCCAGGTGCAATTTAGAGGACTGGGTTCCTGTACCAGTGGAACTGATGGGGACATCGTAGCAGCTTCTCCAGCCTGTTGCATCTCTCTGGTCCAAAACTGAGAAAAGATGCACCTGCCAATTTCCCCCTCTTATATATAGAACGATTGGGTAAAGATACAGGAGCCTTGCTGTCTAGTGCATACGTCACTCTTTCAGTCCTAAATCAAAGACGTGCATACCTTTCATCATTCCCACCACATAAGAACAAGAGCTTTGCACAATGACCCTACATCTACAAACTTGAAACAAAACCCAGTGAGATGCAACCCGATATTGCACAATGAAGGGGAAGATGGCTTGTCCACCACTCCCTATCTTCTAGAGAAGCAAGCCCACTATTACTGATCTTCTAATTCAGGAACCTGCAGAAAATCCCAGAGTTCCCTGGAATACCATTTGGAAAACACTGCCCTAAAGGAATCATAGATAGGACTAATACATCACTAAGGACTCTTCTTTCTCGTTCAGAGCCTTTAATTTCTCAAAGGAGAATGGATGGGTGGGGGGGGGAGAGGCAGGGCAGTGAATATTTCATTAGGTGACCACCTAAATAAACACTTAAAGCTGGCCTCCTTTTCCTGATACTTCTCAAAAGATGTGAACACGTATGCTTTCCTCTTTGGATGTTTCCTGACAGTTGCTATTTTGGGGTGGGATTCAATCACATATGGGCAAATTCAGGTTGCACCATTAAAGCTGATTTGCAATGGTTGTGCAACAAACCCACTCCCCTCGAAGAACAGCCTTTTTTGCAATAAGGAAAGGGTAGGATATTACATATTATTCTTTTGATGCAACTGCATGTATGCCCTCCCTGCAAACAAATCAGAAAGAATGCTCAATAAAACAGCCAACGCTATCTGATCTCCTTGCAAACAAATCTCAGTTAGCAGGTCACCTGGAATTGCCCTTATAGTGAAAAGCAGTGGAGTGGCAAGGTGAACATGCTATTAAAGGAAACAAGGATGCTATTCTCTCCACACAGCTAGAGGATGCTAGAGATCTAAAAGTACTGAATGTTCTTTGGACAAACTTTTCTTGGCGTTATATGTTTCTGAGAGGGAGGACTCTATTGGGAGCAATTCAGCTGTGAGGTCCAAGTGAAATAAGTTGTGATATATAAAAGTGATAGCCACTAAGGAATCCCTCACAGCAGGAAATGGGTGGGCTGTGAAACCACTATCTTTAATTCCCCAAGCAATTAAAAATGCCACCAACACAAAAGAGGCATTTTGTGGGCATTTTGGGAATATTTGGCAGATAAACTCTCTATGGGTATGCCATGAACACTGAGTGCTAGTTCTTGATCTCTACAGATTGGAGATAAAAATAATATTATCGTTAAGACTGCCATAAGGAAATTGTATGGGAGAAGAAGCTCCTAGGTTCCCACTATTTCAATTGCCAGAGATTAACAACAGATTAAAATGCTTTGAACCTGGTTGACTTGAAAACTTTCAATGGAAGTCTTCTGAGTACAGAATCACAGAAATGACCGCAGCCTAGTGAGAGCTCCCAAAATCAGGTGTGGTTTACAGAACAGAGAAACATCATTGGTATTACTGTGTTGCACAACAGGAACCTACAAGGATGCATGAAGTGAAATGTGCCCAGACTGGCCAACTGAACAATCCACATAGAGCTCACCGTTTTTTCCAAAAGGGCTACAGTGCTTTACAGAGTTGTATAGAAAATCAGCATTTACCACGCATAGGCACCTGATTAAAATATCAGCAGGTTCTTTCGGTGAATGATTAAACTGGCATCCTTTTCTGACCTCCGAGCCTAACAACTCTTCCATCCATTCTGGCTTGCCAGAGCCTCTTTCCCCTTCTGACTGAGAAACAAGCCAGCTGTACTTGCAAGGTTCTATCACTCCCAGCTCTGCTGTGAGCCTGTCACTGAATTCTGCCTTCCCCTCGGACAGGGGTCATCTAAGCTGTTGCTTATTCATCCCTGAACCAACACCCCGTCTTTCTGTTGCTGCCAGTATACTCCACATACTACAACACGAGGTCTTCCATCTTTCTCGCCTTCTGGGTAGCCACACCAGGCCATTCGATTGTTGTATGCAACATAAAACGAGGTGTGCAAATTTTTGAATAGGAGAGCATGGCTGTATTTTAGTAGTCAGGCCAATGGTGGAGCAAAACTCCTCCTCTCTCTCTGCAAATACGCTCCCGTGTTACCCACTTCATACTAAAGTACTAAAGCCACTCTGACGCAATGTTGTGGCCACAACATTAAGCCATCATCTAATAAAAAGAAAGCGCCTTTATCAGCACCTAGCAGCCACAAGGCGATTTTTTCATCTTAATGTAATGTGCTGAGCTCCCATTTAATCCTCACTGGCATATTCTACACAGTCGCCACAAAGCCTCAGTTAATATTTACTTCCCTTAATAAAGAAGATCTAAGAATGCACATCCTCCGAGACCAAGAGAGATAATAAAATAATTCCACCGCATGAGGCACCAAATGTGGTAAGACATTATGCGCTGGATGGAGGCGAAGCCCCTCTGTTTTGCCTGTTTGCAAGAGGAAGCTGCAGTGATAGTATTGTAACTGTAAGGAATACTCCTGCAGCCTCGCTTAAGACTTCCAACACCAAGCTAAGCCAAGCCCCTTAGGAGTAACAAGAGACAACCTGGACATGAGGTGTGGGTGGAGAAGGAGGAGTGGTGGCTGGGGCAACTGGGCTTGTTGGAAGGTTGGCTTCGGGCTGAAGGACAGAGCTCTGGGGGGGAACCTGGTGCCCTCTAGATGTGACCACGCTACAATTCCCATCACCCTGTCTGGCTGCAGTTGATGCCCAACAGCACCAGGTTTCTTACCCTTGTGGCAGAACAACACTTTCTGCCAAAGGAGTTTAATCAAACCACATTGTTTCTTAGGCTCCAAAATGCCATTCTAATTTACATTTTCAACAAGAACAGGGAGAGTTTTACAGGTAAGGCTAACCCAGCCTTTCTTAAGCTGCTTATCTATATCTTGCTATCCGCCCAGAAGAGAAAATGGTGGGGAGGTATTTGTAATGCAAACAAGTGCCTGAATGAAGACATTTGTGGGGTTTTCCATTTCTACTAGGGCATGCAGGATCTGACTTCAAAAGCTTTCTGTTTGTTTGGTTTTTTTAAGTCATCTAAAAATGGGATATGATTATTTATTATTTCTCATGTTATATTTAAGAGACAATACATGCCTGGGAAAGTCAAAACTTTCCCATATGTCATATCGGGGGTGAAAATAAATACCAAAACAAGGCTTACATCAGTGCCTGCGGCTGATGCAAACTGGCTGGGGTATGCATTTGATTTTAAATGTCTCTCTTCTCTTGTCTACCCCGCTTGCATTAACTACAGTCAACAGGTGCCCAAATAACAGCGTGAGAGCTTCAGAGGCATTTTCAGAGCAATTCCTCCTGTGCACATCTACCCAGGAGTAAGTACCACTGAGTTCAATGGGGTTTGCTCCCAGGGATGCGCAGCCAAAAATGCAGGCGTGAACAGGAGCAGAAGCTTCTTCGCTTGAAGGATCCATAACGCATGAGCCTACTTACATTTACTCAAAAGTAAGTACCACTGTGATTGGTGGGAGGAGGGGCTACTTTCCAAGTAAGTATGAACAGCATCGCAGCTGAAGAGCTGGACACATCAATCTCAACCCCAGCTGCTGTCTGGGGTGTCTTCGAGGAGTGGAGCGACGGAGCCACATCAACAGCCCAAGCAAGCATGCTGGCTGAGGCTGAAAGTGGTTGAAATCTTTCCGCTGGCTGCCACCAGTAGAGTACCCATCAGTGGCAGTTCAGCGGGCAAAAGGGAGAGCTCTGCGCCAGCAGACTGGTGCTGGCATGGCTCTGCAGGCAGAGGGTGGCAGGGCTGTGTAAAAAAGCCATCTCTGCCCAATCCAAACCCCCTCATCTCAGCCTGGTGCAAGAGGCATTTGGACCGCTCTGTAAACAACTAAGAAATTGTTGCAAGAATGTATTTTAGAGTTGACGGCTTCATTTTGGTTGCCTTTCTCCATAGTGTCTGCTGATGCATTTCTAAAACCCTGATTTTCCAGGGGTCTCAAATGCAACGGAAACAACCGCTGCTGATGCAAAAGGTTTTCCATTGCAGAAGTTCACCTTCCACAAGTTTCAGGACGGTTAGAACCGAAAATGAGGCTAGGGTGGCAGAGCCAGGATGCTCCTCCTGTTGTTCTAATAGCCTGATGGTGTGGGCTCTTCCTTCTGTTTCTTTTTAATCAATCAGAGATTTGTGATAAATGAAACAATTTACTGTAAAGGAGGGAATTCTCAGCTCCTGCCAACTTCTTCATCAGGCTCCTCTAGTTGTGACTCTGCTTGCCTATGCTCAATAGTAAAAATCACAGCCCAAGACAGAAGTTGTGGGAGTCGCTTGCCATCTGGAACCCTGTCATAATGCCCTTCCCTGGGCAGAGCTCTTTAAACCTCCCAGGTCATAAAACTTAATAGTCTACACTTAAAACTCCCCGAAACATACTGACAACAGTGCAAATAGCCCCGCAGACAAACTCTTCTGCTGAGGACAGGTAGCGGGAGAACCAGAACTACTCTTCATCAAACAAGTCAGCTTCTGCTGCCAGGAAACCTTGAACTAGGAGAACAAAAACTCTATAGAAACTGGACATACTTGCATACTTTGCTCTGAATGTAAACTTTGGTGAAATTGTGTGGGGATGTGGGATTCGTGAGTCAAGCATTTGAATGGAGGAGCAAAAGGAGGCATCATAGGCCAGGGCACTGTGGAAATGGGACAATGAGAGGGAAATCAACAGGATGATGAAATTGGCTCCTGGTTGCTTACTAAACCAATCCGCCCGACTCTTCTCTTTCTCCACCCCCACCCCCGTCTCAAGCTTTTATTATATGTGACCACTCTGTTTTTAAGTAGGCTTAAAGGCTCGTTCTTTCTTCTCTCAGCAAGTGCAAGTTAAGCTCTCGAGCAATCTCCACAAGGTTATAGATTCTGAAATGGAAGCCATGCTCAGGCTTTTCCCACCCACAGTGTCCTTAGTACATTAAAGTCCTCTGTCAGTAGCAAACTCAAGACACCTTCTTGGTATGTAGCGGGCAGGGAGGACTTATAAAGGCTCCTTCCTTAAGTGACCTGAAGTTGCAACCTAGCTGGTTGCTTGGTTGGTTTTGGAGAGTTGTTGTTTTGTTTTCAGTGTCCAGGCCAGTTTTTATTTTATTTTTTACTGGTTAAAGTAAAGGTGGCAAGCAGAAATTATGTTAAAGCCCTGCCTCTGTTGTTTGATCTGTGATGGCTATTTCACTTATGCAAGACCAACGAGGTATGCATTCTCACCCGTCTCTGATCATGGTTTTGACAAAAATTGTACACAGCCATGTTGATGCATTGGCGGGAGGGGAATCCAAAATCCACAACACATTAATACCTCTATTAGGACCAACCAAAATGTCACAAAACTGTGAGCAAGATCCAGTCTGATGAAGAGTTCTGGTGAACTCAAAAGCTCATTGATGACTTCGTGACGTTTGGGTGGCAAAGTTAACATATTGTGGCTTTTGGACTCAGATGCTGGAGATCTGATAACATCATTCCTATCCACAAAAGATTGTTCATTGGGGAAACCATTATGTAGGAGGCAAAGGGATGGAGGGATGACAACATATTTGCCATCTCTTTGAAGTCATGGAAATGGGCTCTCGTTACAGTTAGAGACAAGTCTCTCTGTCATCCTATTAGCATGCTTTATACTTATTTATTCAGGCTATGAAGATTTCTGATCCCATCTCTGAAGACCTCATTTCATTAGCTGTTCCATAAACAAGAGCAATATAATGCAATTACTCATTTACCACTGCACCCTCCCTCCCTCCCTCCCAATATCTCATGACAGTTTTTTATTTTATATAAAACATATGAGCTTAATGTTTTGCCTACTTGAAAAGCACATAGAGCTAAACTTTCAAAGTACCTATCATTTACAAGGTGGTGATGGCTGCAAAGAGGCTAGCTTGATAAAAAATATATATAATTCAGTATGTGAACTTGTGGAATACTTATCACCTTCATCCTTATTCCAGTGTCTATGTGTGTCAGCCAAGTTCTTCTTTTAATAATTTAACTCAAATATTGGAGATGGAGCTTTTGAAATTCTAGACCCTGTGTGGAAAATCTGAACTGTGAAGGGTTGTTTTTTTTAAAAAAAGTTCAAATTAACTCAAATGGATTTAGCACAGGGGTACGACCAATGCTGCATCAACCCTTGTATTCAAACATGCATGTACAAGTGTGTACACATTTATGACTATTTCTAGTCAATCACTCCCACAATATACTTCTCCTTTCAATTAATATCCTTAAAACCAGCCTGCTGTTGGCCGAGAAGCAAGTCTGTCCCCTGAACCAATCCTTCGCATGCATTACCATTCCCTTGAAAGAAGGACCAACGGCCGTTATGCTGACTTGCTGTGGGCTTCTGTGAAGAAGCAGGAAGGAGATGAGTGGGCAGAGATCTTTCAGATGCTTGTCTGAAGGTCACCATTGAGCAATGTCCTCTGGGTTTCTGTGGCCTCGTTTAGCCTGGACTTGTCCTGCTTGCTGTCACTCCTGTCGGCTTCATCCATGCCGCTGACTTTCATAAGGCAGAGGACATTTTGGAAGCTCTTCTTGAAGTTGTCGGACAAGAAGGCATAAAGGATGGGGTTGGCACAGCTGTTGGCATAGGTGAGGACCACTACAAAATCAAACATGCCCTTGAGGACAGGTGTTGGCTCAATCAAAACAGAGACCGACGAGACGTTGAAGATATAGAAGGGAAGCCAGCAAAAGATGAAGACGGCAACGACAATGGAGACCATCCTGGTGACCTTCTTCTCTGACTTTTTCCTCTTGGAGGAGCCCACCCTGATGCCAGAGGACTTGACCTTGATGATGATAAACAGGTAGCAAAGGCAGATGATGGTGAGGGGCACCAAGAAGCCCAAGATGAAGGTATAGATGATGAAGCCAACATACCAAGCAACAGACTCATCTGGCCAGATCATGGTACAGCTACTACTCCCGTGGTTATTGCTCACTCCAGCATATATCATGATGGGTAGTATGACCAGAAGGGAGATGCCCCAGACAGCGACATTGACCATCTTTGCTGTTCTTGGCCTCCTCCACTTGGCAGATTTTATAGGATGGACCACAGCAAGGTACCTATCAATGCTCATGACTGTGAGGCAGAAGATGCTGGTGAACTGATTGATCCCGTCTACTGTCATGACGACCCGGCAGATGGCTTTCCCAAAGGGCCAGTGAACCAGAGCTACCTGCATAGCTAGGAAAGGTAACCCCAACATGAACAGTTCATCTGCTATAGCCAAGTTGAGTATGTAGATATTGGTGATCGTCTTCATTTTGGCGTAACGGAGGATGACATAGATGACCAGAGTGTTGCCGCAGAGGCCCACAATGCACACCACAAAGTAGATGAAGGTGAGGATGGCATTGCTAGTCAAGTCATAGTGGGGGCTTGTAATGTTGATGGAGGTGTTGGCGGCAGGAGTCTCTGGGGGGAAGCTGTCGAACTGAGACGGCGAGGGGAACCAGAAGGCTGTGGTGTTGGGCAAATCATTCTCAAGGCCCATGGTGCAGCTGTTGTCACGGGCAAAGAGTACTCTTCAGGCAAGAAACCCTCTCATGTCGATTGGGTCAGGGTGGTCCAAGGCAATGTGGGAGGATCTGGAACCCAAAGAAAGAAGAAACGCTGTTATACCAACTTCATATGGCTTACTGCATCAGACCAATTTTCTGTTATCAGAGACAGAGCAAACTCATCGGCTGCTACCTTTCCCAAAGGCTCTTGGGCTTTCTTTTGAACAGAACTGCCACTGTGGGTGGGGTGCAGTGTTAGGAAACTCAGATATATAAGCTAGGTGCCAAATTGCACCTTAAACCACCAAAACGGAATGTCTAGTTGCCACTTGGGGACCAAAAGTCGCATTTTTCAATACGACTTTTTGTTCCGATGGCACAGATAAAATATCACGGGTAGAATTCTGCAGGATGTGTTGTTAGAGTTTAAAAACAGGCAAGATTCAACAATCCCCAGGCAGGCACCTCCAGATGGTGGAGATATTAGGCACCTAGGCATCTGCACTTGGTCAGATATAGGCAATAGTCAGGTGCAAAATGCGCCTGGTGCCTGGCAAATTTCAAATGCTGGTGGGCTGTTAACGATCCATCTCTTCCAATGTACACTGACTGGGAGAGAATGAAAGTGTCAGGGGTACAGGAGATGTCACAGGGAAATACATGGGTTGCTCTTTCATTGTGTTAATCATTCTTGTCTTAATGACTAGCCCAGAGACTAATAGCTGTGTCCTGTGACTGCTCATGCAGACTGAAAAACAATACCAACTTAGGTTCAAGTAGATAATGTGGCCCACTGAGTTGGCCTTAAGAGACTCCTGCCCAAAACTCTGGAGAGCTGCTTGCTGTTAGTGTGGACAACACCGAGGTAGCTGGATCAATGATCTGACACAATATCCAAGCTTCCTATGTTCCTACGACGTAGCCAAGGGGCCCCAGTCCTCCATAGTCTTTAACCACACCATCACTTAACATCTCCTATAGTACTTTATGTGTGTGTTTCACACACATTATCCCAGTAATCTTTGCAGCAGTCCTGTAAGGTAAGGTAAAGGGACCCCTGACCGTTAGGTCCAGTTGTGGCCGACTCTGGGGTTGCAGCGCTCATCTCGCTTTACTGGCCGAGGGAGCCAGCGTACAGCTTCCGGGTCATGTGGCCAGCATGACTAAGCCACTTCTGGCAAACCAGAGCAGCGCATGGAAATGCCGTTTACCTTCCCGCTGGAGTGGTACCTATTTATCTACTTGCATTTTGACATGCTTTTGAACTGCTAGATTGGCAGGAGCAGGGACCGAGCAACGGGAGCTCACCCCGTCACAGGGATTCGAACTGCCGACCTTCTGATTGGCAACCTCCAGGCTCTGTGGTTTAACCCACAGCGCCACCCGCGTCCCTTCCTGTAAGGTAGGCCAATATTATTATTAATCACATTTATAGAGAGCTCTTCCTCCAGGAACTGTGTGCTCGATATGGTATACGTGGAGTTGTTCTACTTGGCTTTTCTTTTTCTAAATTGTCGTAACGATCCTTGGGGTAGCTTAGGTTGAAAGTGACTGGCCAAAGACCACTCAGTGATATTCCTGGCTCAGTGGGTCTCCCCAATCCAAGCCTCACTCTCTCGCTAATACAACTCATCGGCTCTCGGATACTTTCCATTTGGTAGATCGTGGGGCTGTTGGGAGATGCTAAGCGACTGCAGCATGTGCAAGGCCACTAAGTAAATATATAGCTTAGGTGGAATTTGAACCTAGTCCTCTTCGACACACACTGCCAGCGTTGCAACATTGCAACAATGGTGTGCAAGGTTGAGAGCATCACTCTGATCAATACGGGGAGGGGCAGAGCATTCGTGTCCCCTCCTGCCCTCTTGCATGGCATGGTATAGAAATTATGCTGAGGCAGAACTGCCCAAAGAAGGGAAAGGAAGGGGAGGTGGTAAAATTCAGCTACACCAACGAAACTTTACCGGAGCCACTACTTCCAATTCTACGTTCCTCAGCCGAGCCACGGGATCTGAGTATTGCCCTTTCTCCCACAAACTCTTCTCCACTGCATTTAAAAACTAAAATGAAAACACATATCCTCATATTTTATTTCTCAAAGTTGTGTGTGATTTTATGTGCACCTGTACTGTATATGTATGCAAGTGGCCATTCGCTGGAGCAGACCACAAATGGTGACTAAAACACGATGCAGGTTGCAACTGTGCACCCACTGAACTCAGCGTTATTTATTTCTGATTAGACATGCCTAGCACTGAACTGTCAAATGTAGTTCTTCTCCCATCCGCGTCTTAGTTACCCTGGACTAGCGGTTTACAGTTACAGTGGACTAGAGGAGATTAAGCTAGTCCCCTAAATGTTCCCGGTAAAATAGAGAATTGAAGTATTAAAGGCTGGCGCCTCCTTCCCAAAGCCCAGTAGATTCTGTGCAGCTTAGGGAGGACCGATGATGGCAACTACCTCCACATCCTCATCCCCCTTCCAGAGAAGAGGAAGACAGCATAGATTTATAACAGGGGTTTGCAGAAGGTCACAACTCATGGCCCAGAGATAGAAGAGGGGCAAAGCTGGGGAATCATGGGGGAAGAGGAGGAGGGAGAAGCAGAGCCGGAGCAGCTGGCTGCAACGTTATCACTAGAAAACATTCCAGGCCCCCTTCTCTCAGAACCCGGCGAGGAGTGAAAGTAGTAGAGCAGAGAGCGAAGAGGCAAATGGCCTTAAGCAGCCACCGTAAGGTGGGCAGTGCTGTTGACGACTGAGAAGGGGAGCAGGCATGGAGATTACTCGGAGCAACGGCATTACTCCAAGAGGCAGTATTTCTAAGCCTATCTCTGTGAATATTGAATAAAAGACTTGGTAAGAGCTTTTCTTGTCTATCTATCCCTGGCAGCCTGCTGTGGGAGGGGGGCGTCAGATTCCCTGATGCCTGACTTATGGGGTCCAAGAGCCCTCCCTCCACTTTCCCAACTCCTGCCCAGCTTTGGGAAGAAGGCAGGAAGGCTCCAGCATCCTGTCAGATGCTCGACACCTCCTTCCCAAAGCTCAGGAAGCTTTTGCCTGGCTTAGGAAGGGAAGCATGATGCTCATGTGTGAGACATCACGACATTGCCACCCGCCCCCCATCGCCCTCACAAGCTGGTGCCTCTGGCCCTAACTGTTCCCCTACAAAAAAATTTCACTGGGTGCCACCACACTGCACAACATTACTGTAGTTCAAATCTTTGTGCTCTATAGCTGAGGAGCAGAAATCACATTTTGCTTCCCCCCTTTTATACAGAAAGTACTAACCCATTTAGGCTGCAATCCCACACATTAAAAAATAAAACCACACGCACCTGGGGGGTAAGCTGCCTGAACTCAATGGGGCTTACTTCTGAGCAGACATGTTTTCAATTGCCCAGTTTAATCCTTTTAATTAAAGGGAGCATTTTAGAAACTCTCAGCACTTCTAATTATCCTAGATGATTTTGAGGAGGGATGACCAGAGCACTCATCTGCATAATTGCGTGGACAGGCGGAGTCCCCAGATCCCGAGCGTTCCCCCCCCCTCATGTGGAATAACGACTCAAGACAACGTGCTATGGGGTTAAATTGGCCACAACTTTATTAAATTTCAAATGTGGGTAGACCTTGGCTCAGGCATTGGGCGTTCTCCCTCCCCAGTCGCCAGCCGGGGACCTAGGGAGCTTCAGGGTTATCCAGTGTGTGTGTGGGGGGGGGATGGGCCAGCTCTGGAGAACATATGTTCAAGCAGAGATAGCCGCCCCCGTTATGCTGCCGCCGCAGGGGAGAGCAATGACGACCTTTCGGCGTACGGTCAAAGCCTCCCTTCAGAAACCCCTTTAATGGGGAACCCTGGTATCGCCACCGCAAAGAGGAAGATGGACTAAAGGATTCCGCCCAAGGCCTGATACCGCCAAAGTTGTGACGTTTTGCTACGGGAAAGGCGAAACCTGCCAATGCAGGGAAATTCCTTTTTGGCCCTTTAACAGCGACCTTAACATAGCAGCGCCCACATACCTGTGAAGAAAAGTTAACCTGCAAAACCTATGAAGAAAAGTTAACCTGCAAAAGAAGACATTAACTGAGGGTGGGTAGGGTGGGAGAAGCTCTGGAGCCAAGTGAGGATTCCCAGGTAAGATCCTCCCTCTATTGTGTGGGCAGGTAATCCCTCCCCTACCTGGCCTGGTCTCCTTGGCAACGCTTCCCCAGGTGGGATTGGACAACTGACTGAGGTAGGCGGAGACCTCCAGGTATCCCACCTGAGGGAAGGCAAAGCCAAGCCTATGCTGATGGGGCCGCTCCAGATCTAGGGCTGCACACGTCCACGCAAAGGGCGCCCCCCGTTTTAAGCGGGGAGTGGTCATTAAGGGTATTGCAATATCATTTCTATTCACTTTTATTAAAAACCAATTTGGGTTTCTTCTTATAATCAAGCAGCATATAAATTTTCTGAAATAAAATAAAATAAATGAATAAATTCACTTTTATTGATTCTAGGGTAGCCAGGTGAAAAAAGAGGGTATGGCTCCAGCACTCCTTATAGCTGGGTAAAATGTATATATAAAGGAATAAATTTCAGCAGGTGTAGGAAATTCCATCTTCTACAAAACTATTGAAAGGGATGGAATCAATTTAGGGGGAGGATCTGACTACCCTAATTTTCCATTTATCCCCCAAACTCCATTGCTGTTGTTTTTTTAAAAAATATACAGCCGTTTTATATATATACAGTCTTCAGAGATCTGGACCTTCTCTTTATTGGATCTCAGAATATAACTGGATATGCTGAAGTCAATTGTTTCCTCTTTGATTTGTTTCTTTCCACCCCCTTTCGGCTCATCAATGAACAGCCAGTCCCTTAGGGACACAATCCAATGGACTTAAACATATTGAAGCTCACTGAAATAAACAGCCCCAAGTGTGATGAACTCAGTGCTATAGCATAATCTAAAGCTCTTAGGTCCCAGCTCAGACATACTCCTGGTGGATGACGGTCAAACAATCATATCTGAATCTGTGCCTTTTGCTTGTTGAATACCGTCGTTTGCCCTTACACATAAACCACAAGCTATTGTGGTCTGCCGCAGATTGCAGGAAATGTCATTCCAAACCACACAGTGTTAAGTCTGGGAAGTGGGGTGTGGGTGTGGGGGTGTGTGTATGAGAGAGAGAGAAAAAAAACCCCTCAACAAATCGGTTTCCTTTTATTTCTTTCCACCTTCATTAGAACGACATTCCCCCTCCTGCAACTTCAACAGTTCCTCTGAACTGCCATGTCTCACGCCAGATTTCCTAAGGCTGCATACACTATTGAAACCCTAGCATCTTATTCATCCCTCTCTTTCCTTTATGTTTACTGTGAGCTCCATGGTTGAGCTGCTGTTAATGGTTGGAGTTTAAGGTCTTAATTAGAGGAGAAGCTACCAGTCCAAACCAGCCCTCCTGGTGTGGAAGCCCCCTGTTTTCCCCTCCTTTCATTTCTTTGGTGGACCTCATCAAATTAAATGTTGAAAGAGGAAAATAAAATAATGGTGCAGGCAGGAGGGTGCTGAGGTGGGGAGGGTAAGCGTGGGAGGGTCACTTGGTCTTTTGCAGGAATGAGGCTCTCTGCCTCCAGTTACACACATAATTCTTCCTGTTGTTCTCAACAGAGTCAGTAGGCAGTTCCGGGTGCTGGCAGAAGAGAGACAACCAAGGAATGGATGAATAGCTCAGTTGGTTAGAGAGCGGCGCTTCTAACACCAAAGTTGCAGGTTCAATCCCTGTATGGGATGACTGCAATAACTTGGATTATTGAAGTGAAGATTATGGATTAATATTAACCCACAGAGTGGGTTTGCCCACAGAGCCTAGGGCTTGCCGATCAAAAGGTTGGTGGTTCGAATCCCTGCGACGGGGGTAAGCTACCGTTGCTCGGTCCCTGCTCCTGCCAACCTAGCAGTTCGAAAGCACGTCAAAGTGCAAGTAGATAAATAGGTACCGCTCCGGCGGGAAGGTAAACGGCGTTTTCGTGCGCTGCTCTGGTTCGCCAGAAGCGGCTTAGTCATGCTGGCCACATGACCCGGAAGCTGTACGCCGGCTCCCTCGGCCAGTAAAGCGAGATGAGCACCGCAACCCCAGAGTTGGCCACGGCTGGACCTAATGGTCAGGGGTCCCTTTACCTTTACCTTACTCGGAACAGACCTATTGAAGTTAATGGACATGGCTAACTAACATCTGTTCATTTCAATGGTTCTGTTCTGAGTAGGACCAGCATTGGAGACAACTCTTAAACAATGTGGTTTTTTTTAATGGTTAAATCTATATATCAGTTTTCCTTCAAGAAGCCTACGGGGATGTACTTGCTACCCATCCCTTGCCATGCCAATTTATCATCACAACAGCCCTAGGCTAGGCTGAAACCTAGTGACTGGCAGAAGGTGCAATCCTGACTCCATTTAACCTGGGAGTAAACCCTACTGAATTCAGAAGGAGCTGCTTCTGAGTAGACAGGGTCACACACTCTGTCCTAGTTTGACACTCTAACCACTATGCTAGCTGTCCCTGTGACACTCACACCCTCTTTGTGGAGCTAATACGATGCAGGGAGAGAATTATGAACCCTGGAGACGTTAGGGTGTTCAGAATGCTCTACATAATATTACACCAATACAACAACCCTGCAAGATTGCTCCATATCCCCTCCACTACAGATGAGAGAGTGAGGCACAGATCCAGCGAGCTTTAACCTCTGACCATTCAGAGGCAGAATTTGAACTAGGGGTTTTCTGACTCGCTGCACAAACTCTCCTCCGCTGCAGGGGGTGAAACTGGTAAAGATGGAAGTGGGTTGGGAAGCAGATGGAGAAGACAACGTGTTGAAGGAGGGGGTAGTGGGTGACACAATCCTAGAAATAAAATTTAGATTTGAAAGAGCCGCTTTCATTGTTCCACAGATCAAGTGTCAGAAACGCCGATTTAGGTACCACAGCAAAATCTCCACGGACTTTTAAGGCAGATGTTCGCAGGGAAGGGATTTCCTTCCTCTGTAGCGTCTTCAGAAAACAGACAGACAGACAGCGAGAGCCCACCCCAAGGTTGCTGCTGAGGATTCTGCACTGGATTCTCAGGCAGAGAGAAAGAAGCACGCAAGTGAATCCTGTACTTATTTACTGGGTTTGCTTGCTCCCGAGCAGAAGGCGCCTACAATCGCAAGCCTGACCCAGAAACTATGCCCACGGAGTTCGAGGAAATGGATGCCCCTCGGGGCTCGCCCACGTCTGCAGCCCAGGGTCCCCAAGCAAAGCCAGCTGCCACCTCAAATCCTACTGAGGAGGAGGAGACGAGCAACATCAGGATCTCCAAGCGCTGCCCCCCCCCCCCAGCTGCAGCCTGCAAGTTGTCCGGGAGCTCCCTTGACAGCGCATCCGGACAGCCTTCGAGGGTTTCCCCTTCCACCCAAGTTTCCACCTGTAGCCGTTCCTCCGAAGACTTCTTCCCCCGGCCGCGCACCGGCAATCCCCACCCCCTCCACCGCTTTCCCAAAGAGAAGCACTCACAATTTCGGCGTCTTTCTGCGAATTCTTCCCTCGCCCTCGACGCACGCTCCCGCTTGCTTGCATGTGTGTGCATGTATAATAGAGGTATATATATATATGCAGATCGTCGGTAAAAAAAGGAAAGCCAACGACTTCTTGCAAGCAGAGCGGAGATCGCCTCCGAGTGCAGGGGGCGCCAGACCTGCGCTTGGCGGTGGTGGCGGCGGCGGCGGCTGGCTGGCTGGCTGCTGCTTCGGGACGAGCCCCTACTCGAGGGAAACGCGAGTGCCAAGGAAGCGGCGGCGGCAGCAGCAGCTCGCAAGCTGGCGCGCAGATGCAGCTCACGCGGCGCAGGAAGGCTGCCGGCTGCACCTCCGACGTGCCAAGTGGCCAGCAGAGCCCGGGAGGCGCTCTCGTCGTCGCCCACCCGCGGCCACTCCCCCCAAGCCCGGGCAATCAATGGGCCCCGCTCGGCGCAAAGGCGCGCCACCTCCGACGCGCAACAGAGGAAAGCCGGAGTCCACTTTTGGGGGCTTTGCCGGAGGCGAGGCGGCGTCAGGCTTTCGTTGGAGATGGGTAGTGGGCGGGGAGGTGAAGCTCCCCGTAAACGAGGGGCAGGATTTCAGCTCCTAAGATGCTCCCCACCCCTTCCTAAAAAGATAGACACTGGCAGCGACCGAGAGCCCCCTTGCCATTTCCCGCAATAATCAATAAAGGGAGTGCGCTTTGGTTTGTAGATGCAGCGTGTGCCTTTCAAAACGCGTTCACACGGCCCTGATCACACGGCCCTGATCCAGGGGTCTCCCTAGGGAAGAAGAGACTCGGAGGAAGGGCTTACTCAGGAACTAGAGGTAGCGCCACCCCACCCCCTGGGCTCGGTCAACTTCCTTCCAGTAGACCAGTGTTTCTCAACCAGGGGGCCATATGGTCCCCTGGCCCCCCCGGATATTCCAAGAGGGCTAAAGGTGAAATTATATCATTTATATGATTATAAAAATTATAAATGAAACATGTCCTATTTACAAACAAAATAGCTACCGGTTTGAGAAACAATGCAGTAGGATACCCATCTTCCCCAGGCGTGCCAACTTGAATAAAATACTGGGGAGGGCAGGCAAGCCCCACCCGGCATAATCAATCACATGATATGGTGCGCGCGCACCATTTGAATGGCAATGCCCATCAACTTTGGAGGAGCCCTCCCCCATTTTTTATTGGGGGGAAGGTCAAAGGGACCTCAGCCTGCAGGAGTTGGCTTCTATTGGTCTCCACCACCGCTCCCAAAACAAGAGTGAAAGAGGAATTGGTAGTTGTCTTATATGGAGACTGCCGCTGTAACAGCAGTGGCCGTCATGGAGGTGCCAGTGGTCTGGGGGAGGGGGAGTTGCTTATTCTGTTTCCAGTAAGGTGGTCCTCTAGCAAGACTAGCTGGCTGACTGAAAGGCAAAGGCAACAACTCAGCTTTGTAGGAGGAAGAGAGAACCACACTTTAATTGGTATCCTTAGAAGCCTGCCTTGATCTCCTTCCATATCCCAGGAAGGTGGGAAATCAGACATTCCCGGCATGCGCACCATACATTTCAAGCACATGGCTTCCTCCCCAAGAATCCCAAGAGCTGTAATTTACCGCTCACATTTCCAGAATGGTAAGTTTACCCATCACAGCGCTACAATTCAATGGTAAGTTTACCCATCACAGCGCTAACAAAACTACAGTCCCCAGGATTCCTTATGCAATGCACAAAGCTATTGCTTCCAGTCGCAGACCACAACCAGTTTCCCTTTAGGGAAAACAGTTTTCTCTGAAGAGGCAGGCTGCCAGTATTTTAGTTAGGCAGGCCTACCAAGTGGATTCCTGGCCTAGAACCCATCCTAGGTTCTAGAGACTTCCTCTCTTGTATCTTGAACCCTCCGCAGTCAGCTTGGTGGATTAGCCCACACTCCCAGAAGTCCCCTGAAAATGTTTTCTCCTGTCAAAGATGTTAATCGCAGGATTTATCGGCTGAAAAGGCAGAGGAAACAATGAGCAACCAGAGTTGCTTTATTACCTTAATCTTAGGATTATAGAGTTGGAAGGGACCATGAGGTCCAAGCCCCCTCCAGTGCAGGAAATCTTGCAATGCATTAATTAATATTTTGCCCGATGTGGGGCTCAAGTCCACGACCCTAAGATTAAAAGTCCCGTGCTCTACCAACTGAGCTATAGAGACTACCTGTGCAGGGTAAATATTTTGCTCTAAACAAGAAGCCAAGCCAGGAAACTGGGTTGGCCATTTTGCTTTTGCACAAGAGCAATACCAGAAAAGTGGCAGGCATTATAAAGCCTCTTCACCAACAGTATGGCAGAAGTTGGCACAGAGATCAATAGATCAATGGGGGGGGTGTGGACACAGCAAGGAGATGGTTAAGGACAACCGTTAAGGTTGGCACAGTAGTTTTTCAGCAAGACACCTGCGGATTTCAAAATTGCAACCATTAAACAGATAGAAATGAAGAGATATTTGGCTTGCCTGTCCCACAGCTGTGGCAAAATACCACAGAAATAAGGTGGCAGCCCTAATAATTGATCAGTGAGTTGAGCAGAGTGTGTCTCTGGTTGTGACTGGGAGGGGGGGCAGAAGTGGGATGATTACCCGGTATGTATAGGCACCGAACTGTGTTCCTGTCAGCAGGATCGTGCTGAACCTTGACTTTAAAGCACATTTATCATGTTGGCAGCTGCAGCTTCCTCCAACACATGTTTAATACAAGCATGCTCATATTGCATCAGTTCCAACTGTACCAGCCGTTTTGGAATGGGAGACAGAGGTACAGAGCTGGGCAGAACTTTCTTTCAATACCTACGCAAGTTTGCTGCCGGAGCCCTTGGAGAATCCTTCAGGTCTAAAGGCAAAAGCCTCAACCAGCCATTCTCTTGATTTTCAGCAACCTGTTTGCCCCCGACATCAATTGACTGGGAGCCCTATAAAACCTGCTCCAGCTCACATCTAATCTTCTCTAATTTGCAAATGCCTATGGCTACAAGCAATAAATATTTATTGGACCGGAGGAGTTGTTCTCTAGGTGGCCTGCTTGGCCAGGAGTCAGGGTCCCTTTTATGTTGGTCTGTGTTTGTCTGGCCCTGCTGATCTGGCCTTTTGCGACATATTTGCCTTTTTTCTCTCTGCCAAAGACTACAGCTTCATTGCTAAACACAGCAGTTGCTAAACCTCAGAAATGGTACGCTTGGCTTTGTGACCGAGATCCCCCTTCCGAACACGTTTCCAAAGTGACTGACAGGGAAAATGGAATAAAATGAAAGCACGGTGAAAATAGCAAATAAAAAACGAGAAGCGATAAAAATTAATTATATAATAAAGCGCAGCAGCATTAAACCAGCAGATTGGAAATTAATTATAAATAAAATACAAAGCACAGCAGCATTAAACCAGCGAACTCATTATCCAAGTGCAAATCCTTATGAGGCCAAAGTGGTGCCATACATATATATGAGGGAGGTATCGGCAGGCTTGGGATAAACCCCCAAAAGTAGAACAAATATTTAGCAGACACAAAACTCAGGAAGGAGGAAACTTCAAGAGAAGCCAACGAAGATTGAGCATGCTCATGGAATGCTGTTTGTTTGGGGTGGATATCTTCCATGAATACCCTGGAAGGAGGTAAGGCTGGCTGGCTGACCTTCTGCACTACACCAGGACAGGCAGCCCCACCAATCTGTCTGCTCTCAGACAGCTCCCATCTTTCTCACAATACATCCAGTCCAGGGGGTAGGTAAAAAGGTAAAGGACCCCTGGACGGTTAAGTCCAGTCAAACTTGACTATGGGGTGCAGTGCTCATCTTGCTTTTCAGGCCGAGGGAGCCAGTGTTTGTCCACAGACAGCTTTCCGGGTCATGTGGCCAGTGTAACTAAACCACTACTGGCACATGGAGGACCAGAGCGCACGGAAACACCTTTACCTTCCTGCCGCAGCGGTACCTATTTATCTAATAATAATAATAATTTTTTTTTTAATTTATATCCCGCCCTCCCCAGCCGAAGCCAGGCTCAGAGCAGCTAACAACAATAAAAGTAACACAGCATTCTAAAATCAATTCATTCTAAAACCAATTCAAAATCAAATTAATGGCAACCATTGGTTCTATGAGGATTACCAAAGGAGGGGGTTAGACTGTGCCTTGGCCAAAGGCCTGGTGGAACAGCTCTGTCTTGCAGGCCCTGTGGAAAGATGTCAGGTCCCGCAGGGCCCTAGTCTCTTGTGACAGAGTGTTCCACCAGATCGGGGCCACAGCCGAAAAAGCCCTGGCTCTGGTTGAGGCCAGCCTAACCTCCCTGTGGCCCGGGACCTCCAAGATGCTTTTGTTTTAAGACCGTAAGGTCCTCCGTGGGACATACCAGGAGAGGCGGTCCCGTAGGTATGAGGGTCCTAGGCCGTCTACTTGCACTGATGTACTTTCGAACTGCTAGGTTGGCAGGAGCTGGGACAGAGCAATGGGAGCTCACCCTGTCGTGCGGATTCGAACTGCCGACCTTCTAATCGGCAAGCCCAAGAGCCTCGGCGGTTTAGACCACAGCGCTACCTGTGTCCCTGAATGCCAGCTTCCCCCTCCTCCTTAGCCTCAGTGTCACCCATGTAGAACTCAGCAGGGAGAAAGACGGAGACAAACCTAGACTTGTGCTTGGTGCAAGAATTAGCTGAGCAGTGCTTCTACCAGACCCATAACTGATGTCACAAATGGCAGCCATCAGGTGTGGGGCAAGTGGGCATCGCTTGGGGAAAAAGTAATTGCAGGCCAAATTGGGACCCATTTTGGGCTCAAGGTTCCCCAGCCCTGCTGCCATGCAAATGGGAGAACGGACCACCAAATATAGGCACACATTGCAGGGAACCTCAGAGGGATTTCCACAGCTCCTACCCGGTATAGGTATTTAACAGAAGTTTTAAACCGTGTTTTTTAAAAGCACATTATATTTGTAGCATATACACATTACGAATTTGGGGCACTTCCAAGTCCTGCTTCACCCCATCGGAATGGTGATTTGAGGGTCCGTCCTTGCGAAACAAGTCCTTGTCACCATGAAATGTACAGAAACACACCTTAATTTAGGCTAAGGCTTTAAAATTTAATGCACACTATAAAAATCCATCCACAGCCTTAACTATCGCAAAGTAGTAACTAAGACTGCAGTCCTCTGCATATTTACCTGGTGGTAGCAAGTCATCCTGACCTCAGATTGATGGATTTCCAAGTAGACAGGCATAAAACCAGGCTGTAGATTAGGAAAGGACTTCGTATCAGTGGTTTTACAGTGCAATCAAATGCTCGTCTAATCAGAAGCAAGTCCCCTTGAGATAAATGAGACATCACCGGGTAAGTGTATAACAGGATTGCAACCTTTGCTAATATTGGTGTCCAGAGCCAATATACAGTGGTACCTCAGGCTAAGAACTTAATTCATTCTGGAGGTCTGTTCTTAACCTGAAACTGTTCTTAACCTGAAGCACCACTTTAGCTAATGGGGCCTCCTGCTGCCGCCGCGCCGCTGCTGCATGGTTTCTGTTCTCATCCTGAAGCAAAGTTCTTAACCCAAGGTAATATTTCTGGGTTAGCAGAGTCTGTAACCTGAAGCGTATGTAACCCAAGGTACCACTGTACATACAATGAACAACACAGGCATTAACTGGCAGGTAAGTCCCCAGAGCAGCAGGCTAGATAGAAAGACTCTAACACAGTGTGTCCCAAACTTTGATCTCCAGCTGTTTTTGGACTATAGTTTCTATCATCCCTGACCACTGGTTCTGCCAGCTAGGGATGATGGGAGTTGTAGTCCAAAAACGGCTGGAAACCCAAATTTGGGAAACACTGCTCTAAAATAATTCAGCAGAAGTCAGCTTACTCAGCGAGGAAGTGCAAAGAAGGGGGAAAGAGCCTCACTTCCCTCAATAAAGCCGAGCTGAGCAATTGGCTTCTCCCAGGCCATGACTTTAAGAAGAAGCAGAAGCAGCTAGGAAGGGAAAATAGGAGTTTAGGGTTTTTTTGGTTTTTTGGTTTGTTTGTTTTTAAAAAAACTTTTATAAATTGTGTGTCTTTGTTTCTCAGTTTCATCTTTTTACATGGTTTTGTGTGGTGGTATTTTATGCACTGCGTCTTGCAGTTACTTTTATCGGATCATAGTTTGGTAATTATTCATTGTAATTGTTAAGAGTGAATTTCTGTTTAATGTTTGCTGGTGTTTTGAGAGTTAATTTTATTGCGTGCTATTATATTCTAGTAGATTATTGAATATTACTTCTTTTGATAACACGTTCCATTTTAAAGTTACGTTTTCTTATTGGATCAGATTATTTATTATAAGGTGTGCATTCTTTGTTGTGTATTTTGTTGCTGTAAACTGCCTTGTGTACAGCAAAATGGAAAGGTGGTACAGTGGTACCTCGGGTTAAGTACTTAATTCATTCCGGAGATCAGTTCTTAACCTGAAACTTTTCTTAACCTGAAGCACCACTTTAGCTAATGGAGCCTCCTGCTGCCGCTGCGCCGCCAGAGCACGATTTCTGTTCTCATCCTGAAGCAAAGTTCTTAACCCGAGGTAATATTTCTGGGTTAGCGGAGTCTGTAACCTGAAGGTTACAAGGAACTGGTTTTTGGAGAAGCAGCCTTCGACTCTTGCAAGGAAGACAGAAGAAGCAGGAACTGGATGCAATGCTTTCGCTGCATGAGATAACTGTGTCAAGAGTTAACACTGCCTACACACCCTGTCTATCAAGCAAGAGTAGGTTAACAAGCAGCAGTTCAGACAGGAGGAGTGGTTTAGGTTAGAAAGGTAGACTCTTCACTGGATTCCCGTGAGATTTCAGGTGGCAGTTCAGTTCTAGCTTTCCTTTTCCACCTCCCTCACCACCTATCAAGGAGGCAAAATCATGCTGGGAATTAAGGGAATTAAGATGAAAGGCTGCGTATTGATACCCAGGAGAAAAGGATAAGGTTCAATTTGCATCCTACAAATCCATACGATATTAAGAGAGCAGGATTTCAGGAGCTCAGGGGAATAATCACTAGCATAATAAATAACCCATAAGGCAGGAAAATGACCTTTCCCAAAGAAACAGATGAGAAATAAATATCCAAATAAGCTTCATTTTTTTCAATAAAAAGAAAGCCCATGGTATCAGCACGACAGAAAAGCAGATGGTGTTGCCACGAGTGTCTTAGTGAATGGGATACATGTACCTCACTGGATTTGCAGAGGTGGATGTTACAGATTTTAAAACCTTCTCCTTGGATTCAAACAACGCCTCTGTGGAAAAGCCAAGGCCAAGCTCCAGTTAAAATGCAAAGGTTTATAATTACTCACCAACACCTTTGTCACACAGACTTCATTTGAAATGGATTCTAGGCTTCATGAAGGCCACTAGAAGACACTGGATTAAATGTCATGAACAGGAGGAATCATGAGGCTTAGAAGCTGAGATATACGTTATATGCACATTTTAGCCCACCAAAGTAGCAGAAATATAAAGATCACAATATAATGGCAAGTAAAAAATATGGATATGTGTGTGTGTGTTTAAAACTATCCCCATCAATGCAAATAATTTTAATGTGCATACATTAAAATTCTTTTCATACTAATAATTTGTGGGTTTTTTCCATGAAGTAAGTTACATTTGCTGCTCAACAGTTATATTCCAAGCAGGCCGAGGGAGCCGGCATTTGTCCACAGACAGCTTTCCAGGTCATGGTTAAACCGCTTCTGGCACAATGGAACGCTATGATGGAAACCAGAGCACACAGAAACTCTGTTTCCTTTCCTGCAACAGTGGTACCTATTTATCTACTTGCACTGGTGTGCTTTTGAACTGCTAGGTTGGCAGGAGCTGGGACAGAGCAATGGGAGCTCACCCATTGCAGGGATTCGAACCGCCGACCTTCTGATCGGCAAGCCCAAGAGGTTCAGTGGTTTAGAATACAGTGCCACCCACATCCCTTAGGTGGTTGTCAGAGGCAGTGCCCACAGAGAAAGGAGTTGGTAAAAGGGACTTGCTCTTGCTCTTTCCACATTAAGCCCCAATATGGGTGTTAAAGGTTTATTGAGGTCGTCGTCTTCTTCTTCTTCTTCTTCTTCTTCTACAAACATGAAGACTAGAAATTGTGCCTCTCTTTTAAAATTTGAAACTAAGCCTGGATAAATGCATCAGTTTTCTTTTTTAAGCTCGGAAGCATGCTAATAATAAACACAGATCTGTCAAGCGCAAGTGAATTGCAATAGCAACAGTTGTATGTATGACTGGTCATATGGTTTCTGTAAACCAATTTGAGGGTTTTTGGTTTGGGGGTTCGTTTTTCTTACAGTCACATAGTGTGTAAATTTTATGAAATAAATAAATATCAACCAACTTTGGCAGAAGTCCTTCTCTGAAATGGATGGTAAAACTTAGAAGATTTGGATGATGTGGGATGTTATATCTACAGAGTTTGTGGCAAACCTCCCTGTGCTGCCCATTTTTTTTTATGCTTGCTAGCATGGCGTGGCTCCTTTTGAAGCTGCAAATGCATCAGAAAACGACACGGGAGGCAGCAGTTATGAGTTATAACCTCAACTTGATCAGCATAAGGTATGAGTGCTATGGGTTACCTCTGTAGCTGAATACATAACACTAACTTTTCTCAGGCTGCTGAAATGAGGAGAGCTAACCAGGCATGGATGTTCATGTTATTTAAAAGGATGGTGAGTTCAGTTCAGTTGTGGTACTGAAAACAAATAGACTCAGAATGTGCTCAGAGGCACCCTGTCCTCTAATTATAAATCTCTTAAGTCTTTTTTGACCTGATTCTGGTTGGTAGATCTTGCAGGTTCTAGTAATGAAACAGAGTAGATTAGACAAACTTGAAGTCCGCCCACCCCTGTTCTGACAGATGCAAGGAATATATTGTTGTCGTATGTGTCCATACAAGACATCTGATGCATGATTACACCAAATCAATCGACAGCTTATCTGCTGATGTTGGTGTTGATTTAAACCGTGTTCGTTGGGACTCTGTGAATAAGGCCCATTGTATCGGGGTTATCGACTTGAGTTTGGAAACATGGCAGAGTTTGGCCTTGCTCCTGGTATCTCCTTTAGAGGCAGGTGTGCAATCAGCCTGGAGAAGAATGGCTGAGTCAAAACTGGAAGACTAAAACACAGGTAACTATGCTGTTGTGAAGTACCCTGTAGAACTGCAGTATCCCAAAAAAGCGGGGAAGAGTAAGAGATGTCCCCAAGTGTGATCTCCAGCACAGTGCGACTATGATAAAGCAGGAGTTCAAATCCTAGTTCACCCATGGTTGAATATCTCCCAGCAATAGCGAGATCCTGTGGAAAGCTGAATACACCTTTTGGTAGCTTTTGATTGCAGATTAGTGCCTATGATCTGCCCAGTGGCGTGCAGTTAAATTTTTTGTAGGGGAGCAGTTAGGGGCAGAGGCACCAGCTTGCGAGGGCGATTGGGGAGTCCCAGTGTTGCTCTTGTGAGCATCTTACCTCCCTCCTTAAGCCGGGCAGAAGTTTCCTGGGGTTTGGGAAGGAGGTCCCAGACCTTTGACAGGATGCTGGAACCCTGCTCTCTCCTTCTGAAGGCAGGCCGGGCTTTGGGGAGGTGGCAGAAGGGCTCTTGGACCCCGTCAGAGCATCAGGCCTTCCTCCCTAGCTGGGCAGAAGCTTCCCAGGCTTTAGGAAGGAGGCACCAGGCTTTAATATAACAACAACAACAACAACAACAACAACAACAAATTTATGACTTTTACCCCTGCCCATCTGGCTGGGCCTCCCCAGCCACTCTAGGCAGCTTCCAACAGGATATTAAAAACAATAAAATATCAAACATAAAAAACTTCAATAAAGAGGGCTGCTTTTAGATGTCTTCTAAAAGTCAGATATTCGTTTATTTCCTTGACATCTGGTAGGAGGGCGTTCCACAGGGTGGGCACCACTGCCAAGAAGGCCCTCTGCCTGGTTCCCTGTAACCTCACTTCCTGCAGTGAGGAACCCACCAGAAGGCCCTGGGCACTGGACTTCAGTGTCCAGGCAGAACGATGGGGGTGGAGACGCTCCTTCAGGTATACTGGACCGAAGCTGTTTAGGGCTTTAAAGGTCAGCACCAACAGTTTGAATTGTGCTCGGAAATACACTGGGAGCTAATGTAGGTCTTTCAGGACTGGTGTTATATGGTCTAATTTACCAGGAACATTTAGGAGATGAGCCTAGTCCCCCTCATCCATTGACCACATGCCACTGGATCTGGTTGCCTTTCTGCCAGCGCTCAGCTGTCCTTGATCCTAGAACTGGGGTGAGGAAACCTCATCAGCCTGAGGGCCAAATTGTCTTCTGGGTAGTGTTCTGAGGGCCGCATGCCAGTGGTGGGCAACGCCAGAGGGAAAAGTGGGTAGAGCAACAAATGTAAATCGTACCTTTGGAAAGTGCACCATTTTCTACACACATTCACACATCCTTCTCTATCCTCCAACCAGACAAGCGAGAGGCATTATTGGAGATCAAGGTCATATTGCGGATGGGCAAAAACACTTAAGTGTGAAGCCTGGGGAGAGTACCCACTACACCAGCATGGCATAGCGGGTAGTGTCTCAGAGTAGGACCTGGAAGACCAGGGTTCAAATCCCCATTTGGCCATGACCTATGGCCAGTCATCTGTTTTTGCAGCATAAAATACTTCACAGGGTTTTGGTGGAGATTAAATGGCGGGGGTGGGGGAGGAGAAGCAGGTACAATACTTGAGCTCCTTAGAGAAAAGGCGGGATAGAAATACTTACATACTGTGGAACTAACAGAAGCCTTAATATACATCTTACCATGTAAATTGCGTCAGTCATACATAAGTGCCCCAATCTCGCTTGAGTCATACTTTTTTTTTTAAATGATATTTATTGAATTTTTTTTTAAATTACAGAAAAAGACAAAGCAGAGAAAGAAAAAAGAAAAAACAAACAAAAAAAACAAGCCACATCCAACAATACAAATTCAAAAAACAAAAATACACCACAAACAGATAAAAATAAAACCATCATTCTCAAATCTTCAACTTTCATTACCTTCTTTCTTTGACCTCCTCCTCCTCCCTTTTTTGTATCCCAGTTAATAATTATCGCAGCAAATCCTTTCCATATTTCATAATATTCTGTCATTACATTACCTTAATCTATTTTCATCTTATCTTATAAAAAACCTTAAAACTTAAAACTTAAATCTTATTTTTACCCACTTCTCATAACCATAATATTCTTGCCTAATTCTTTAAACATTTTTACTAGAGCCAAGTAATTTCGTTCCAACATTTTTCTAACAGTCATCAATTTTATAAAACAATCCTAGTGATAAATAAAAGAAATAGAAACAATCCAATCTTCATCCAGCGTCCCTTCCTCCTGGTCCCGGGTTTTGTCAGTCCTTTTTATCCCATCGATCTAGCGCATTAACCTGGTAACCTTATATCCGAGGCCCTTAAGTCTCTTCCATGTCCCTTCCGCAGCTCTTCTTCATATTCACCTTTCACTCGTGGGAACTCCAGCTTGGTAATGTTTTTGACCCTTTTCAACAAATCAGCCCCTTTTCCATAGTCCAGACTAAACTCCATGTGGTATTTAAAAACATGTTTCAGAATCCCTCCAAAGTTGAGAGCCCCCACAGCTCCAAACATCCCACGGCCCATTGCCAGACTCGGAAAGTCCAAACATCCCTGCATAGGGGGGTCTATCCAACCCCCCATTTCCAAACCAGTCCAAACTTTATCTTTCCTAATCTGGCTTTTTCCAAGTTCATTTGTCAAATCCAAAAGCTCATGTTCCTGCTGGGCCGCAGCTCCCTCCATCTCTGGCGCCCAAGATTCCGCAACATCCTCTTCTCTCATCTGTTCTGTCAGGGCACACTCCTGATTTAATTCCTGGGTGGGCTCCATATAGTTTCCCACTGCCTGTTCAAAAATTCTGACCGCATTAGTCATCAAATCCGTCTTCTCAGTTAACTGTTCCAGTAGAGCATTTGTTTTACAGAGAGCACACAACAGAGCTTCTGAATACATTGTCCTACAAGGTCACAAGCCTATTCCCACGATTGTAATCTGTGACAGCTGCAAGCTCCCTGGAATTAGTTACAGTTTCCCAGTCTCCCTCTAGGGGGAAACTTCTATTTGTTCTTGCAACAAAGTTTTCCTTTTTGAGATATTTTGTCAATATTTGTTCCTTTAAAATGCGAAAGGAAACAGTGGAATCACTATGTTTCTCTTCTTTTAGCTATCTGTCAAAAACGTTTGTCTCTGGTCAATGAGCTTCAAACGTCAGTCCTGACACCCCGCTCCAGGATCAGGACGGTGGAAAGTTACTTTACTTTAAACTCACTTCTGCAGGTTTATACAGTCCGAAAAGATCCCCCTTCTTCTCCTGCTGCCGAAGGGGGGTTCAAGAATTTTAAATGATGAAAGCCAATCCTTTAGAAGCGATTTTCTGAGCTCTAGTTTACGTTGTCTTTGCTTTATTCTGTCTACAAAGAAACGGAAGGCTGACTTCCTGTTTAGACCTTCCCGTTTCAGTACCAAATTGAAGTAAATTTTTAAGTCCAATTCCTTTCTGCTCGCAAGTCCTTATTTAAAGTCCAATTGTTCAAAGTTTAAGTACTCACGGGTGCTTATTTTAGAAGCCAAATTGTCCCAGGAAAAAGGCAGCGCTCTCCGGCAACGGCGATGCGGCTTCGCTCCACGGAACTAGCAGTTGACTCACAGCACCGCGCCACTTCCCCTCTTCGCTTCGGAGCCCGTTAGTGGGTTCCTTTGCAGGTTGGGGGGGCGCTAAGGGTGCCCGCCGAGTCCCATGGTCACAGGCTTCATCCGCCTGTGATTTTTAAAAGGGTCCCCGCTTCGCCGTAGCGGAAAAGACCCGTTTCGCGCGGAGCTAGTCCCTCCAGTTCAGAGGGAGTCCGCCATTGCCGATGGGGCCACCCCGGAAGTCTTTTCGCGTGAGTCATACTTTTAATAGTGTATGATTTGTTCAACCAGAACGGGGATGCACAGGCTAACTGGCATGCCACATCTTTTTGCACATTTTACACTCACGGTTGCTGTTCCAGTGAGTGATACATCCGGAAAAGTCTGTCTAGGTGTGCAGCCGAGGTGAGTGTGGTAAGAACTGAAGCAAAGCTCCCCCGCCATAAATCATACATCTATTGCTACTGCCTGTTTATAAGCTGTAGAATGATGAAGAAGAAGAGTTCTGGGAACATGGCAAGTCGCTTTATTTATCATGTGGCGGAAACACTTCTGTGCTTTGCCTGTTCCTTGACATCTAGAATAAGATAGATATATGAGCCCGTATTTGATGGGCTTATGTAAGAGTATTACAATTCCAAGCTGGGATGAATGGCTCATTATCTGTTATTTCACTTTTTTTCCTCCACCCCCAGTCACTATTTATTGCTGCCTTTTCTTTTAAAAATATATCTAGAACTGTGGACCAAGCTGATGTGGAAATGTGTCTGTTACAAAGCAAAAAGAATACATTCACAGGAAAATTCTCTTGAGATTTTAACAATGGCAGCAAATTTTTTCATAGGGGAACAGTTAAGGCCAGAGGCACCAGCTCACGAGGGGAATCGGCGGGTGCTTACATTGTGACGTCCTGCATTTGAGCATTGCACTCCCATTTCGTGAGCCGGGCAGAAGCTTTCTGGGCTTTGGGAAGGAGGCTTTAATGTTTTAATACTCTAATTTATCAGGAACAAGCCTAGTCCCCCTCATCCACTCACCACACACCACTGAACCTTAATGTCTGTTATGCCTTCACCCCCTCATGACCAAGGCAGCAGTAGCCTTGTGGCAAAACGGAAAGATCCCAGAGAGCCCTGTTTCTTTCTCCACAATTCCAAATGCAGATCAGAACCTTAACCTATAAGCATCCACATTTAGTTTCTGAGAGCATGTGCAAAGAGCCAGACTTCTTGTACGTGTCTGAACTTTCCAGTATATTCTCACAGGAAAAAACTGCTGTGTTCTGCTTCTTATATTATAACTGGATGCAACTTGGCATACACGGCTCGGTCTTCCAGACATAAGGAACACCTGAGGTTCAGCTTTATACTAGATACCGCTTTTATTCATGTGCCTGGCCCAATAAGCATCCAGGCTCTTAAGACCGTCTGTTGCAATGTGTATTTTCAGTTTCCCTCACAGCGAGCGCCGAGCTAGGCAAGCATCCCTGATGCCTCAGGCAAAAGCAAACATTGTTCCCTGAACAAACCGAAAAGAAATTCACTTACCAAGTGGAAGCAGAAACGTTTCCTTTTATCAACACTATTAGTGCTTTGGATAAACTGCTGCCGAACTGTATCCTTCGCTCATTCTCTGGCACACACAGGGAGACGGAGAGGCCATTGGAACACCTTGTTTTCTGACAGAGGCATGTTGTCAACAGCTGAAAGGGTGACAAGCAAAGAGTGTGTCGAAACCTACTCATGAAAGGGTTGCCTCCTCCAAATCTGCCCTTGACCTAGGCTTTCTGGCCCTGTTCCCGAGCAAAGTGTTTCCCCTTATCTCCGTCTGTGGCGCTCTGTAGAAGAACAGCTCAATGGGGACAAAATCCGAAACAATTACCAGACTAGGCCTGATTCATTTAAAACCAGCTTGATGGTAGCCACTGGAAAACCACTTCCTCACAGTTTACCCTCACGTCACCTCAGTACCTCGTACATATTTCATCCCGTGGCCACACACTGCTCATGTTGTTTCCCCGGCATTGCATCCTTTCCATTACAGCCATTGTTGATGGTTTGGAAAAAAAGTACCACGATCGGCACAGCCTCACATCATCAACTGCTATGGAACATAGCTGTCAACTTACAGATTTGAAAATAAGGGACCAGCAGCCTTGAAAATAAGGGACCAGCAGCCAAAATAAGGGACTTGCAGCCTCACCTGTTCCAGGCACTCCAGTCTTCCTGTCCTCCTGCAGTCTGGTCAAACTCATGCTGGTAGCTTCGAGAACACTGTCCAACCAACTTTGTAACCAGAGGTTCAACTGAATAGAATCTGAATCACATGCACCACAAGGCCTATGCAGCCTCAACTTAAGATGGCTCCCCGACCTGGCTTTGCACTGCAAAGTTTGCAGCAGCACGTGCAACAAAATGGCGTCCAGCATTCAAAAACCCCCTCAGCTTGCATTAACTAGCCACACACAAGGCATGCAAGCTCCACCCCCCAGTCTTTCTTAGACTTCTTATTGGGTGAGCAACACAGCCAAGCAATACAGTTGGAGCCTCCCTCCTCCCTGGCCAGCAGGGAGGGAGGGAGAGGAGCTACTTCCTTTGAAATTTAAGGGACATCATTTAAGGGACATTTAAGGGACATCCATCAATAAGGGACAGCAGCGGGACATGGCGCTGGAATAAGGGACTGTCCCTTCAAATAAGGGACACTTGACAGCTATGCTATGGAAGCAATGTGGGACCAAAGCATGGGGAAGCGGGTTATATGACTGAATATATGAAGTGTGCCTTTGTTTATAACAGTAAAAAAAAAGGGGGGAGGGAGTTGACACTCTTTATGGGGCCAACTGGTTTGATGCAGTATAAGGCCTTGTAGGTCACACACCCCTTCAAGGACGTTAGCCGTTATGTTCAAATCCCCATATCACAATTAACCTATTAGGGCCTTTCTGCATGATTTAACTGAAGCAGTTGCAGTACCTTCACTGGACTGAGGCAAAGGAGGTGAACCCAGCAAAGCATTCTTGCTGAGGGAGAAAAGCTGTTTACCACCAACTCAGATCACCGAATGAAATTGCTGGTAGATTAGAGGGAACGGTTGGACCCAGAAAGCACAGTTTTCACAAACGTTTTTCCTTGCAGCAGTGACACGGGCACTTATTGGATATTGCCCATGATAGAACTGCCAAGTATCTTTGCCTTCTTGTAACAATTGGAGTTCCTGGTTCTTGTTTTTTGTTTTTGTTTAATATAATTTTGTCCCCTTTTGGAAGTTGAGAACCCGGAACAGTTCTCAAGTGTTCATAAAAGGCGACAGGGAGAACTATCCCACACCACAGTACAGTGGTACCTCGGGTCAATACCTTAATTCGTTCTGGAGGTCTGTTCTTAACTTGAAACTGTTCTTAACCTGAGGTACCACTTTAGCTAATGGGGCCTCCCGCTGCCACTGCTGCGTGATTTCTGTTCTCATCCTGAAGCAAAGTTCTTAACCTGAAGTACTATTTCTGGGTTAGTGGACTCTGTAACCTGAAGCGTCTGTAACCTGAAGCATCTGTAACTCAAGGTACTGTACCACTGTAATGCTAGACTTCTCCATTCCAGTTTTCTGTTGTTTGTTGGCACGGCAATTTCGCTTAATTTGGCTAGTGCAAGGAAAGTGCTAACAACCAGAACACTGTTATCTCCAGTCTTCTTCTTCTTCTTCTTCTTCTTCTTCTTCTTCTTCTTCTTCTTCTTCTTCTTCTTCTTTGTATACTGTTCTTTACCAGCACGTCACAGGGCAGTTCACAGCATAAAATCACAATATAAAAACTCAAAATACATAATAAGAACAAGAACAACGCAATAATCCCCCCCTTCCACAACACATTTTAAAAGGTCACTGGATGTCAATCAGCCAAAGGCCTGGTTAAAGAGGAACATTTTTGCCAGGAGCCTAACGGTGTATAATGAAGGGTTTCATCTGAAAAGACCTTTGTCTTTTAGGATGCCACACCATTTTCTCTTGCTTTCACAAATCCACGGGTAGCCCCAGCTACCCTGAGGGGATCCCAATGCAATTAACCTGTACTAAATGCTTAACACAAACATGTTCCCTCTGATGTGACCACTCAGGCCACTATTGTTCTTTTAAAACATGATAAGAAAGGAGAGTAGGTGCGGAAGTGGAAATCTAAACCTAGAAAGAGAGGGACTTACCTGGGGGGCACTTGCATCCTTAAACGACAAGATTCCAGCCCTTTTTCTGACGCCAGTGGTCTCCTGATACCCAGAGAGTGCCCTCTGTCCAGCTCAGTCCATTCTGTCAATCCGTACCCTTTTAGTCTTGTTAATTATTTACAGCAGAATTTCCCATGGCAGCTTGTTGATCCTGAACTGCTACGATTTTGAGGCTCTGTATAGTTTTAACGGCAGAACGTACCATGCTGAGTTAACCCATGCCCCAAACAAGGATCCATCTGCGGCGTGAGGAATGCTTTTAAGTCTTGGAGAAGGTGCTCTGAGAGCAAGTGAGATTAATAGCGTGCCACAGCGCAAGCTGCGTTTCTTGTTGAGCGATCAGGTGGTGAGGCAGTTTGCTAAAGTCCACCCCCCCAAAAAAGGAGGGGGCAGGAAATTCTCCAACCACCAACACTGGGACCCTATTTACACCATATCGTGGAGAGAACAAAAAGCGATATCTGATCGGCGCAGAAGTCCTTATAGATGCAGTGCTCATTAAATGACCCACGAGGGTAATTTAATCCAAAGTAGGAATCTTTTGCCCAACATAGGGCTCAAACCTATGACCCTGAGATTGAGCGCCTCATGCTCTACAGACTGAGCTATCCCAGATAATACTTGAACAACTGACTGCCACTCTGTTAATGCTTATAATAATCTGGGCAGAAACCCATCTCCATTTTTTCGGACTCCCCAACCTGCCTGGTAGGATGCACTGTGGATTATTTTACACCGGGGCAGCCAACATAGTGTTCCCCAGATATTGTGTACTACAACTCCAAACACTGCCGTCCATTAGCCATGTTTGCTGGCACTCATGGGAGTTGTAGTCCAAACAGGGATGGCACCAGATTGGCTTTCCCTGTTTTGCACACAGACTATTGAGTGTTTGACAGGTTAGCTCACATCATCTAGTAGTTACTAGATTCAAGGAGACTGTAGCATGCCAGAAGCAGATATGAGGAGTCAGCAACGTGTAAGATGCAACAAAATCTTCTGGAGAACGATCCAGACTGCAAACAAACAAAATCCCTTTATGATCAAGGAAGAGCAAGGAGGACAGATAATTAAAGTATAATTTATCTGACTAGCTTCATCATCTTTGCTTGTCTTGCCCCAGGAGAATACTGAGTAGGCTTTTCCACTGAGGATTTCCCAGGAGTGTGAAAACTAACAGGCTTTCAATGGGCCAGAAGTCATTTTAGCATGTAAATTACTTAACTGATGCCAAATGTGAGGGGTGTTGTTGTTTTTTGCTTTCATTAATTGCAGTGTGGAGCAATTTTTGATTTTCATCAGGATTGCAGCTGGGGAGGAGAAAATTAAACTTCCCCTCCTCACCCAATACAGTCCCAAATGAAGCCCCCCCCCCTCCACTTTCAGCCTTAGAAGGCAACAAACTCACTGGGAAAAGAAATGCATTTTCTGAGAAACGTATGCATTGTGGCTTGAGTACAGTGGTACCTCAGGTTACATACGCTTCAGGTTACATACACTTCAGGTTACAGACTCCGCTAACCCAGAAATCGTGCTTCAGGTTAAGAACTTTGCTTCAGGATGAGAACAGAAATCGTGCTCCAGCGGCGCGGCGGCAGCAGGAGGCCCCATTAGCTAAAGTCGTGCTTCATGTTAAGTTGTGGGTTGACATAGCAGACGACACAGCGATTTCTCCAAAGCAGCTCTTTATTTTGTAAGCTGGAACAGAACTAAGCTGAGGAGCTCAGTCAGCCTGCTTATATAGAGCTACAGAACTATTGTAACTGTTGCAACGTTCTAAAACTATCCAATCACTGAACGTCACTTTTCGATCCTTCATTTGCATACAAAACTATCCAATCACTGAACGTCACTTTTCGATCCTTCATTTGCATAACTATCTACAGTATCCCCCTGCTGGCCCAGGGTGAGAACTTCAGTACATAACACTTTAGGTTAAGAACAGTTTCAGGTTAAGAACGGACCTCCGGAATGAATTAAGTACTTAACCCGAGGTATCACTGTACTGGGCAAATGCAACAGAACTGCATATTCCTTCCTTTATAAACCTACATCCTGAAAAAGCCTGCACTGCACAGTGCCCTGAATGCCACTTCTCTGCCGCCCTTCTATTCCAAAAATAAGCCTGTTTTCCAAGTGCTAGGGAGCAATAGTATTTAATTACATAATTGGAAAGAGTTAGAAACTTTGCATTAACTCATTTTCTTAATGGGTTGCAGCTCTGAATCACCACCAGACCCCCCTGGACACAAACAGAGTTAATCTCTTTCCTGGAGCCTATCAAGCCAAGAATTACGTGAGCATTTAATTACTACTCAGAAGCGATTTCCTATTAGGGGCCTATAATGCACATTGCCGTGGCTTGCATAAATGTGTAGGACCCACATCAGCCACAGAGCGCTTAACTTAAGGTCGTCTCAGTGCACGCAGAGCCTCAGTATTCAACATGCTATTTTGATAACAAAATGTCAGCCAGCTCCACGAAATGCAGGGGAAAGGAAGGAAGTGCTCAAAAACTGTCACAGAACACAAAAGCACCTTCAGGGGCAACAACTCCTGTAGCTGCTTCTCATTAAGCAAGCTGACCAGATACCAGAGTGGCCTGTCCTTTAACAGAAGCTTCAGCTGCATAAATCAGGAGCTGCTTATCACAGCATGGAGAGAAACATTATCACCTACCAATATCTGCACATCCTCCTACTGCTCAGGGGCAGATAAACCATGCGCTTGGCATGCAGAAGGTCTTAGGTGCAGCTGGGAATCCTACACAGGGGATCTCTGGATAGTAGCTCTCGCCCACTGTTGCTGATACTCTTGGGTGCCTAAAGTTTCAATAGATGACTGGAGTGCAGAGGTGTGGGGGACTGGTGCAGAGGTACAGTACAAGGGCTCTCTAGGCTTCTTTGGGACCTTTTTTCATCTTGTCTGCAGTGTCTCAAGAGTAACATGTAGACTAGTCCTGATACAGGCAGCTGCTTATGCCAGACAAAAATTGGCAAGGAGTAGCACAGAAGTCAATGATTAACAGCATGGCACTTATTATAACTAAGAACTACCATACTCTTGCAGCAGATTTTTTTAAAAGGCTGTGTTGCTCTTTGTGTGCGTTTCTCACCATTTGGCACCCTGATAGTTATTGGATTTCCCTGGAGACAGAGTCATCTCACATACCCTCCAACATTTCTCCAATGAAAATAGGGATGTCCTATTTAATAATAATAATAATAATAATAATAATAATAATAATAATTTTGCTATTTATATCCCACGCATCTTATTGTGTTGCCCCAGCCACTCTGGGCAGTTTCTAACATATATAAAAACATAATAAAACATTAAGCATTTAAAAACTTGCCTATACAGGGCTGCCTTCAGATGTCTTCTAAAGGTTGCATAGTTACTTATCTCCTTGGCTCAGGGGTCGGACAACTCCATGCCCTCCAACATTTCTCCGATGAAAATAGGGACGTCCTAAGGAAAACAGGCCATTCCAGGATCAAATTGGAAACCGGGACGGCTTTTGTAAATCCAGGACTGTACCTGGAAAATAGGGGCACTTGGGGGGTCTGATCTCATGCCAGGGATCAGCACCTAGTGGCTCCTGGACCAAATCCGGACCCTTAAAGGCCACTGCCTGACTCTGCAATGGCAGGCTCAGAGGCACAGGGAAGTGGCAGCTCTAGCTTCTGGTAAACTATTTGCTGGCTAGGGTCTGAAGCTCTGGGGAGCCCATGGCATTGCTGGTTCTATGGTTGTGTGAGTCCTTGGTCAAGATGCTCTCAGTAGGCCTCTTGGTTCATTCCCGTGCCTCTTTCTCTCACTCATGCCAATCAGGAGCATCCCTTGCTCTTCTACTTGCTTACTCACCTGGAAAGGGCAGATAACAGGTAGTAGCAGCAGCAGCTACAGCAAAGAGCAGCAAACACAAGAACTGATAGTAGAACTTGACAGTTGCCTAATGAGGCTGACCTCCAGAGATGGCCTTGCCCACAGACACAGGAGAGATGGAAAAGCCACTTCCGGCCTGCCCAGGAGGTGGGGTTGCGGGCTTCACGCCCACCCCCCACGTGAGCGGGGGCTGGTTTCAGCCCCCGCGAGAGCAGGGGGTCTGCCCTATTTAGGGCCAGCACGGAGGGGGCTCGCCCTCTTTCGCCACCTATAGCGGGGTTTACTCATTTCACCTTTAGGCATTGTCCCCCCATAGACTCCAGGAGAGTATCCTATGATCCACAACCTACCCTACCCTAGAGGTGGCTCAGTCAATGATGCAATACCACAGAAGCCTTGTTCTGGGAAGTATGCCTCCTTTGATCAGGCTATAAAGCGTATGCGCAGGTTCAGCAGGGCGCGCTCTTGGCTAAGTGCGACATTGAGTCGACTTTCCGTCTCCTGCCAATTCACCCTGAGGAATTTCTATGGCTAGGTTTTGGATTTGAGGGGGCTTATTCCATAGACAAATCTATGCCGATAGAGTGCTCAGCAGCTTGTCCAGCCTTTGAGTCAGTTAGTACAATTTTGGACTGGGCTCTTCGCCTTAGAACTGGTTCTGAAGGGGTGACCCATTACCTCGATAACTCTTCCCCGCGCCCATCATTAGTAATAGCCCTGATTGTGCTTCTCCTTTAGAGGCTTTCACCTCCCTGGCTGAGGAGCTTGGGGTACCTTTGGTGGCAGACAAAACATAGGGTCCAGTTTTGACCATAACCTATTTTGGGTATTGAATTGGACACAATTGCACAGACATCCCGCCTACCAAGGGAGAGGCTAGCATTAATTCTGCAACTTCTTCCCCTCAAGAAGATCACCCTTGGCCAGAGTCAATTCACGCTTCGGTCACCTCAACTTTGCATGCTGGGTAGTGTCCCCTGGCCGCCCCTTTTGTGGGCGATTGGCTACGCTGTCAGAGGGACTGCGTGCTCCGCAACACTGGGTGCGCCTCTCTAAAGTGGTCAAGTCAGACTTGAAGGTTGGGTTGAAGTTCCTGGAAAAGTACAATGGCATTTGCGTGTTGACGAGTTCAGGAATCACCAGGTATCCTTCCGGACCGACAAACGGTTGTCAGTGTCCCGTCAAAGCAATTATCGCACTCTCCTAGATCTGCCCCGGACCTTTGTCCTTTTGTGCTTAGAATTAAACATCTATTTCTCTACCAAATTTACCCCTAGGGTTGACAATGACATCAGATGCTCAGGCGCAGCAAATTGCCACAGCCATTCTGGGAGCACCTTTGGAGCCTTGGGAACGTGATGTCTTGAAGGGAGTATTAGCTCCAGGAGCCCCGTCCACGCTTAGATCTTTTAAAAAGGCTTGGTTGGACTTTACGAAGTTCCAAGGCAAATAAATAAATAAATAAATAAATAAATAAATAAATAATGAATAATATATAATGAATGAATGAATGAATGCTAGGCTTGACACACCTCAAGGCAAATTAGAAAATCCTAGGCTTGACACACCTACCAAGGCTGAACCTCTGCAATACTTGGTACATTGGAGGGTGCTGGGTCATGCAGCAAAGACTCTTAAACATCTAGTAGGCGGCAATCTCCCTTTTTCTGTAAGGTTGTTTAATCCATAGACCCTGGTGTGGACTTCTTAGTGTGAAGGACAC